ATGGTGATGAAGATGGTGATGGTGATTAAGATGGTGATGAAGATGGTGATGGAGATGGTGATTAAGATGGTGATGAAGATGATGGTGATGTATAAAAATGAAGCGTGTCCAGATGTCGGGTTTTGTGTTGTCGCTATTTCTTACGTTTAAAAGGGGTACTTGAGATGTACTGTACACATTCTGAGTGGAGATGCGTGCACACCGCTATACACGTCGATGCTACAGTTGTTTTTGTCAGTACATATAACACATTGTTGACCTTCAATTTTGAATGATATGCAATATAGAGCACCTTTTATTTTTTTTAAACTAACATTCTTAGACACAGACACTACTAGGCTATGTGCCGATGTTTGATGACTCATTCCATTTGTTTCATCTGGTCAGTGCAGGATCTGTTTGAGACGTAGACATTGAATAGAAAAATGTCATCCTTTTATAATTAACATCAGCCATGTTCGATGCACTCCTGGATGACCGCAGACTCTTTTTGTTCACCATCTTCCATGGTTTCTGAGATGATACAATCCGTCTTGCTCCTGCACACGGGTTGATTTCATCACTCCATCTCTGCCGTGGTCGTCACCTCTCAGGCAATCCACTCCGTTGGCTGACATTCTATCCATTCACTCGTCTTGTCCATCTGCCATCTCCCCTTCTCGCTGTGTCCTGCCCAAGTCCACGTTTTATAAACAATCAATGGCCTTGTCTCTTCTTGGCATGTTCTCTGATTCATCTGTTCCACTTTCTGTCTCTCAGTGTCATTCCCAGTATGCTGCTGTGCATGCTTCAGCTTTTATAAAATGTTGTTCTTTCACATGGTCCATGTATCCGATCCATGTGTCACGGCAGTGACGTTTGTGCAATGACTGAAGTCTCTCACCTTATCTTGTTTCCGATTATGAAATACATTCTCAAAATCACCCATTCTGCTGTCACCTCTTTCAGTTCGTATTCTGTCACCCCGGTCCGCCTGTAACGATGCCCTGCAGATTTAAACTTCTTGCGCGTCTTTAAAATCGAAGTCCTCGCAGACCATGGAGCGTGCACCAACACGGAGGAGGAAGAGGAGGAGGAGGAACAATAGGAGGAGGAAGAGGAAGAAGAGGAGGCATCCCCATCACAGTGATGATGATTCACCCCTCCGCTCCTCCTCGTGCATTCACCACCTGGCACATTCACCTCCTCAACGCGCAATCACAACATCACAGCTGTTGCCGCTCACCAAATCGGTGCATTCATCACGAGACAGGAAACGGTTATCGGTTCCTGACCTTTTTTACAAAACCGGTAATGAATTATGAAAACGGTTACCGGTTTTTCCTGCTGGGTGTCCCCTAATCGGTCTCAGAGCGGGGTGCGGTTTGCCGCGGTCCCTCGCCCCGCGGGGAGACCCCCGCGACTGCACCGAGTCTCACACCACAGACGAAGATCCCCGGGTAGCCTGAACAGACTGCTGGGGCAAGTGCTGTGAGCGAACAGCACCAGCAATGAGGGCCGACACGGCACACGAGGGGGTGGGTGGCCAGCACCACGCCCGGCCGTCTTTGTCTCCCTAGTGGCGATGTTTACACACCGCGCCAAGTACTCATTTGAGGCTGAGTCGACCTAGGGGAGGCCGAGGAGCGGTTCAGATAATCGTCACCGGTGTTGGCCGTGAGCGGGAATCGAACTCGGGTCGCCAGGTTCGTAGCGCAGCGCGCTAACCACTACACCCACCGCTCCCCTACTGTGCCACAGCACTCCGACACTCACTCGTCTACAGTCTCATCTACAGTCTCAGTCTCACTCGTCTACAGTCTCGTCTACAGTCTCCTCTACAGTCTCACTCATCTACAGTGTCCTCTACAGTCTCACTCGTCTACAGTGTCCTCTACAGTCTCACTCGTCTACAGTCTCCTTTACAGTCTCACTCGTCTACAGTCTCACTCCTCTACAGTCTCCTCTACAGTCTCATCTACAGTCTCAGTCTCAATCGTCTACAGTCTCACTCGTCTACAGTCTCATCTACAGTCTCCTCTACAGTCTCATCTACAGTCTCACTCGTCTACAGTCTCACTCCTCTACAGTCTCATCTACAGTCTGACTCCTCTACAGTCTCATCTACAGTCTTACTCGTCTACAGTCTCCTCTACAGTCCTACATGGTTACAGTTATACACAGTTACAGTCCTATAGAGCTACACAGTCCAAAACAATTAGAGTCTTCGCGAGCTACAGTCCTACACAGCTACAGTCCTACACAGCTACAGTCCTAGCGAGTTACAGTCCTACTACACTGCTACAGTCCTACACTGCTACAGTCCTAGTGAGCTACAGTCCTACACTGCTACAGTCCTACAACACTGCTACAGTCCTACATGCTACAGTCCTACACTTCTACAGTCCTAGTGAGCTACAGTTCTACACAGCTACAGTCCTAGCGAGTTACAGTCCTACACTGCTACAGTCATACACTTCTACAGTCCTACGCTAGTCCTAGTGAGCTACAGGCCTACACAGCTACAATCCTACACAGCTACAGTCCTAGTGAGCTAAAGGCCTACACAGCTACAGTCCGATAGATCTAGTCCTACACAGTTAGTCATAGTGAGCTACAGTCCTACACAGCTACAGTCCTATAGATCTAGTCCTACACAGCTAGTCCTAGTGAGCTACAGTCCTACACAGCTACAGTCCTATAGATCTAGACCAGTGGTTCTTAACCTGGGTTCGATCGAACCCCAGGGGTTCGGTGAGTCGATCTCAGGGGTTCGGCAGAGCCCCCGCCACGGAGGTCCGGACACACTTGAATTATTGTGTAAATTTGTGATGACACACACGGCCCGCTTGGCCATCACTGGCTGCAGATGATCATGCTACACTGCTTGGCCAATCAGCGCTGCGGGGAATTTAGTGCGTACTCAGTAGTCAACGTGTGACTGTTGTTGTCGTACGTCGTGTGATTTCTATAATATTTTATTCATACTAACTATGTCGGGCAAAAGAAGAAAGTGGTCGGACGAATATGTACAACATGGATTCTCATGTATCACGGAACGTGATGGGAGTGAGCGTCCTATCTGCATGATTTGCAACGCCAAGTTGAGCAACTCTAGTCTTGCACCGGCAAAACTAAAGGAACACTTCTTGAAGCTGCATGGAGACGGGGAATACAAGAACACAACACTTGCTGAATTCAGGGTGAAGAGAGCCAGATTCGATGAAAGGGCCACTCTGCCTGCTCTTGGATTTGTACCTGTTAACAAACCGATCCTGACAGCATCGTATGAAGTTGCTTACCTGATCGCAAAGCAGGGCAAGCCACACACCATTGGTGAAACACTTGTGAAACCAGCTGCATTAAAGATGGCGAATCTGATACTCGGAACAGCGGCCGAAGGTAAATTATCCCAAATTCCCCTTTCAAATGACACCGTCAGTGACAGAATAGAAGACATGAGTAAAGACATCTTGGCTCAAGTAGTCGCGGATCTGATTTCAAGCCCGGCAAAATTCAGCCTTCAACTCGACGAAACCACAGACGTTTCTGATCTAAGCCAGCTTGCTGTTTTTGTACGCTATGTGAAAGACGACATGATAAAAGAAGAGTTTTTATTTTGTAAGCCTCTTACAACAACAACGAAGGCAGCCGATGTGAAGAAGCTTGTGGATGACTTCTTCAGAGACAACAATCTTTCATGGGATATGGTTTCTGCAGTTTGTACGGACGGAGCTCCAGTCATGCTGGGAAGAAAGTCTGGTTTTGGTGCGCTAGTAAAGGCCGATGCACCACACATCATTGTGACGCATTGTATTCTGCACAGGCATGCGTTGGCAACAAAAACCTTACCTCCAAAAATGACAGAAGTATTAAAAACTGTGGTGGAATGTGTGAACTATGTGCGAAAAAGTGCTCTGAGGCACCGCATCTTCAGTGAGCTGTGTAAAGAAATGGGCTCTGAATTTGAGGTACTTCTGCTCCATTCTAATATTCGGTGGTTATCCCGGGGACAGGTGCTGAATCGTGTTTTTGCCATGCGTGTGGAATTAGCCCTGTTTTTGCAAGAGCACCAACACTGCCATGCAGATTGCTTCAAAAATCCTGAGTTCATTCTCATTTTAGCGTACATGGCTGATATATTCGCAGCTCTCAATCATCTCAATCAGCAGATGCAGGGTGGTGGAGTCAATATCATGGAAGCGGAAGAACACCTGAAGGCTTTTCAAAAAAAGCTACCGTTATGGAAACGACGAACAGAGAACAATAACTTCGCAAACTTCCCGCTTCTGGACGACTGTGCAAGTAAGATCGAAGATGTGTCTGGAATCGGAGATATTTCTGTATCCACGGAACTGAAGCAAACAATTGCCACGCACTTAGATGAGCTTGCAAAGTCTCTCGACGGATATTTCCCTACAAGAGAGTCATATCCAGCATGGGTGAGACAGCCGTTTACGTTTGCTGTTGAAACAGCAGATGTCAATGATGAATTCCTCGACGAAATCATTGAAATTCAGCAGAGCCAGGTTCAACAGCAACTCTTCAGAACAACAACACTCTCAACGTTTTGGTGTCGACAAATGAACAAGTATCCAGTTATTGCTAAGAAAGCCCTGGATTTTTTTATACCATTTGTTACAACATATCTTTGTGAGCAATCCTTTTCGAGGATGCTGGACATAAAAACGAAGAAAAGGAACAGACTTTGCTGTGAAAATGACATGAGAGTGGCACTTGCCAAGGTGAAGCCACGCATATCTGAACTGATCTCTCAAAGGCAACAGCAGAAGTCACATTGATTTCCAGGTATGTAATTTGTTGTGAGTTTATGCATTGTGTTGGTTTTATTCTTTGAACAAGGTAATGTTCATGCACGGCTCATTTTGTGTACCAGTAAAAAACATATCTATATCTTGAATTTGAAAAAAATCACATTTTATTTTTCACTAAAGAGGGGTTCGGTGAATGCGCATATGAAACTGGTGGGGTTCGGTACCTCCAACAAGGTTAAGAACCACTGATCTAGACCTACACAGCTAGTCCTAGTGAGCTACAGTCCTACACAGCTACAGTCCTATAGATATAGTCCTACACAGCTAGTCCTAGTAAGCTACAGTCCTACACAGCTACAGTCCTACACAGCTACAGTCCTATAGATCTAGTCCTACACAGCTACAATTCTCTAGAACTGCAGTCTGATGCACTTCAGCACGAATTCCAAGTGGATATTAAATTTGGTAAAAAAAAATTTAATTGTAAAAAAAAAATGAATCGAGCATTTACACGATGAAAAACTTGTATGTCGAAGTTAGTTTTGCTCATATAACAAGTGTTAACTAGTAGCTCTAGATCCTAGCGAGCTAGAATCGCTTCGATCTAATTTCTTGCTATCAGAATGCATTGTGTAGTTAGACGCGGCATTCTCCACTAGTAGCCCCAAGACCTGTGACATGTTCACAAAACTAACTTCACCTGCAGTCATGAACTACTTGCACACTTTACTCAGGTTGCCATGAGTGTGTTTTTTCTGTTTTGCGAATGCACGTGTTGAATAATTTTTTAATATTAACGATCGATTTTTTTTTAAATCTGCTGTGTATCAGACGATGCATCCTGGATATGGCTGAGACGAAACGTCAGACCTTTCTGTCTCCGTCTGTACGACGCATGGTGTGTGAGCTGGGATTTGAGGACGTGCGGAGGTTCACCACTGAAGATGTGATCACCTCGCTTGGACTTGTCAGCTGGGATGCTCTTCAATCTCATGTCAAATACCATCCAGACGGTACACCATCCGCTCTCAAGTCTTTTACCAAATTTAAATAATACGCATACTGTACTGTATATCCAAGCTCTGCACTATGCACTTTAAAAGTTGAATTTCATGGGCATCCCAAGGTTTTTGTGTCATTGTGTCTTGCAATATGTATTTTAGTAGCTACAGTTGTCAACCGTGTATTGCAAGGTACCTTTAATGAGAAATGAATTACCACACAAATATACAGGCGCTGAATACAGAAGTGTAATGTGATACAGTTGTTTATGTAATTTGTTCTATTAATCGTTTTAAAAGTGATACTGGAAATAGCTTGAATACAACAACTCCGTTTGATAAATTCAAAGGTTTAAATATGCGGTGCACTGGCCAGATATTCCATTGTTTTGACAGAACGTTGAAAAAAAAATAATTCTCACAAATATTTAGCACTCTTGCAAAGTTTCCTTCATAGAAGACAAATTAATCTCTAATCTCTGTGTGGAATTACCTACCGAGTAGCAAACAATACAATAAATATCTGGTAATGTCATTACCAGAACAGAGACACTCGTGTGCTGCTGCTCTGTAAGGCCATCGTAGCGCAGCGTTTTCTCAACCCTGATGGAGGATGTGTAGCTGTTACAAACTATATTATCAGTGCAATCAAGTAAATCTGAGGCCGCCAAATCGGTATCAATCAGATCTAGCCTGTCTATGAGATCACATTAAAAAAAAAACATCATCTTGAGTAACCAATGTGTCATGTTTATTTTTGCATGTTCAATATTCCAGGTGAAGATGTGGACTTTGTGGAAAGCGTCCGGGGTCTGGGCCCACTGTGGCGGGCAGCGCACCGCTACCTGACGTCTCTCACGTGGCCCCAGTTTGGCAGCGTCTATCATGAATGGCTCAAATGGACCAATTGCCCACAGGTGAGCTTCTGTGTATTAAACTCTGCACGAGGTAACGCGGTTTAATAAACGTTCCAAATACTGTTAATAAATTGTGACTTAAAACTTTCGTGACAGGAAGGAATTCATATTCTTTGGTTCTTTCGGTAAAGTCACATAGATAGAAGATAATAAAATAAAATATCTAATAAAAAAGCAAAAACTCAAGACGTTTCGATCGCAACACAAAGCGGTCGTCATCTGGCGGAGATGAAGACCGCTTGTGTTGCGATCGAAACGTCCTGAGTTATTGTTTTTTTTAAATTATATTTTCTATTTACGTGACTTTACCGAAAGAAACAAAGAATACTATTAATAACTGTTTGATATGTCATATACAGTGTATGTTTTGAGGCTGCGCAGCCCTTTCTTTTAGTTTACATTCCCCCCAAGCCCGTGTATTCACCTCTATACCAGATATTGTTAGTTACAGACTTTGCTCAATGTGCCAAAATACATTCCTTTGTTGATAGGCTTTTTTCAGTAGCTTCATGCTTTTCCTCGCAAGTCACGTGTTTATTGAGTGACAATTGAATCTTGGAATCACAATTGAGGGACAGAAATCGTATTTTATTCTTTTTGTAAATTATACATTGTGGTGATATTCATTGTTCATTTTTCCATATTCATTGCTTAACTTAAACTTGTGTTTATCCAGATTAAACATTTTCAATACTAATTTTCTAATCTTAAACCTGCTTTACATCATATGTATGTGCCATCAGTTGCTTACACTTTCCTGTTATGTTAGAATGTGCATTATGTTGTGTCCAGATTTCTTGCAAGATATACTGTAATAGCACTCTATCTTTGTTAAAAGATTAAACATTTCCCCTCAATTTTAACTGTTTTACGAAGTTAAACTGATCTTTTTTGCAAATTAAAACTAAAATAGGAAATGCAAGGCATTTAACTGCTCGTATGTCTTTTTATAGGAATTTGTGAATTGCTTTCAACTCCTCGATGGTCTGGAAATCACGGGAACTAATTTATGTCTGTTGAAGGTGACTGCTTTCTTGGAGAGAGCACTTGGAGACGTGAGTTCTCAGTTTCCTCCTTTACTTAATAGAGCCTTGCAACAATTAGGTTTTATTGCACGTTCTGAGTACTCTTCTGAGTCTTGTGCATTTGTGTTTTGAAAAAACGATACTAATTTCCACAATGCAATGCACAGGCCTTCCTGTTGGTCGGTAAAGAGTGCCCTTTTTTGCTTCGTGACTTGCTGGCCTCAAGCGAACTGGCTTCCATCTTTGGCAAGAACAAAGTGAGTAATGCTTTGCATCACCGATAGACCATTTTGTAATAATTGCATCATGCACAAGTGATGAATTAATGTTCTACTTTGAAACGTGCTGATGTAGTACTCCATTGCATCTGCTGTTAGATGGACGTTTTGCGAGTGCTGCTGGGCTCTCCACAAAGCCTGAACCTCCGGAATGTTCTGTGGCATGGATTTGCTGCCCCAGGAGAAGTGGCCCCTATGTGAGTGAGAATGCACCGCCATGCAGTGTTATCATGAACGTTAGGCACTTATAACCATCATTTACTACGCTAGACTGCATTACCACACACCAAAATAACCATCATTCAATAAAGTACATTACACGACCATGGTAAAGTATGCTCAAGCACCCTCCGTTACATGGCGTGGATGGGCCTTCATCCAGTAGTGGATTGACAAGGGCTTTACATTATTTTAATCATTTTAGAATTGACTTTCTCTTAGCTGTAACTGACATACCTCTCTGGAACACTGTGTGAAATGGTGTTAGAGTGATTGATTCGCCCTGTTGTTTTGGTAATGCGTATGCGGCATGCGTTTTGCGTTACGCTGTAGGTACGGGTCAGCTCTCCTCTTGATTGCAGCGAGTCTGGGATTTTGCCTGGGAGAGTTTCTTAGCCGGCAGAGGGCCTTGACGCTGACTCACCGGCCTTTCTTCACGCTGCCACACCTGAGCGAGATGCTTGTTTTCCCAGGTAATGCTCCTTCAGAATCTTCTGGATGTAAAATCCAACAGCTTTATTGACACTTGCATCCATGTTCGGGTTAGGGTCTTCGTCTACCAAAGATACCTTCTCCTCCAACCGACGCAGTAAGCTACTTTTCGATCCAACAGGTGGCGGAGAGACTACAACCCTGATTGCTGTTTTACATGGGCACACAAAAACGCACAGCCCCTGCACGCAACACAAAAAATCCTGCCAGACTTCCTGCACAGCCAGCTTCACCAGCCTTGGTCCACATTGGGATTGCAGTTCCGTTGGTGTCGTTGAAACCAATAACTCGATGGAATTTCCGGACAGCGATTTTTCCAAAATTCAATGCCGAAATTGAGGACAAGATTGAGAGCCTCGAACCTGACCCACAGAATTTAAACGGTTCTTTCAAGCAATCAAAGCCACTGCCACAAATAACAAATCCTGTGGCCATCGAAGCCTATTCACAGTGTTGGCTCCCGGGGAATTACGTCCACACAGGCTACCCAACGCAGCATTAAAATCAGCATACGGTGTCAAGCTCTACATGAGTGTGTGTTTTGAGAACTACATACAATATATCACGCAGCTTTAAATACGAACAGCCTACAGTCCTAACTAACACTCATTTTCATTGTTTCTGCTGTGTGTCCCTTTCAGACGTTGGCGAGGAGGAGTTGTGTGTGATGGAGAAGCTCATCGGCAGCTCCACATTCGTACCCGAGCCGATGGAACCTCAGTGGAGAGCAGCTGTTCAGGCCTACAGGCATCACAGGTACTCCACTTTGGCCCTTAAAATAGTAAATGCTATATGTAACAAACAATAATTTTATCTTAACTCCTTCTGATGTGTAGCGACATCACTTCTTTCGGAGTGGAGGAAGGCGTTTTACTGTGACTTCTGACTTGAAGTGCCGTTTAATTGAATGATGCTAAGAATGTTGTTCTACTCGATGCTTGCGTGCCAGGTTCTTTGACTGCGTGGTGCTGCTGCTGCCTCAGCTAGAGATGGGGCTGAGGGCAACATTCGCGCGTGTGAATTCCTGCCCCGAGAGGCTTCTCACAGCAGAGGTGAGGCTTGTTTAAACGCACTCGCTGCTGTCTGTGAACTCAACATGGCCTCCAATCACATGGCGCTAAATATTTCGCTTGAACCGGGAGGGTGGAGGAGCCTATGGCCAAGTCACCGGGAATGCGCCCGATCTCGTCAGATGTCAGAATTTAACCAGGAGTTGAGCCTGGATAGTGCTTGGATGGGCGACCACCCTACACAGCAGGTTGTTATACATTGTCGGGCTAATTGGTGGGCACCAGAGGGTTGTACTGCACTTGTAGTCTCCCTGCATTCACCAACCCAGCACTGACCAGCGTGGTAAGGTATTGTCAAATAACCCCCATGACCTGCACAGTGTAGGGAGGCCGTCATCCAGCAATGGATTGACAGAAGGCTTAACACGTGCAGAGTGAAGGTTGTGTGTTTAAAGGGTTTAGTGCATCAAATGGCATTATGTTCAGAGCTTGCCCACTGTGTGGTACGCGTGCTCACAGGCGAGTTCACTTGTTCTGGTTTGAGACACTTGAATGACCGTATAGAAATTTTTCCTTTTGCCATCTTTGCTTGAAGTACATTGCATTTCCACTGCATTACTAGTTACTTGCTAAAAACCTACACACTCCAATGGTGTGAGCTAATTATTAAATGACTATTGTTGACTACTCACAAAGTGGTACCCATCTTATAGGCCCTGGAGAGATAATGGAATGGGTCCACTCCCGATTAGGGTTTGATACCACAACTTTCAGACGGCGAGGCGGGAGCGCTGCCGCAGCTTCACGTCACTCGAGATGCAAGGTTGAAGGCCTGTATGGAAGATACGTTAAGGGAGACACTTGGCATAATTGTGATGTATAAAATGACTACAGTGGAGCAGATGTACTTTCTCTCTTCCAGAGCACGGTCTTGTACACAACGTTTGACGAGGTGAGTGCAACATGGTTTTTGATAAATCTGAACAAATCACTTTCTTTTTGGGTCGGATATTTCAAGGAAACGATTTGCCCCTGTTCCATGTGTGGAAAATGAATTTGATATTACGTGAGTCGTGATGCTTGTAATAATGATTGTTGTATGATTGTGTATTTAGATACTGGAGAATACGTTTAACGGGAGCAACAATCTTTTACCAGAAGAGCTGGGAAATCCACTCATGGTAAACTTGTATGAATGTGTGCTCATAGATATGTATGTCCCCAAATTCTAAATCTAACTTTCCCATGATCTTTTTATTTCTCAAATAATGTGCTGTTCATTTTTTAAATGATTATACTTGGTTTGTGTTTCTTTAAAAGTTAGAATTAGTCCCACAATTCACGCACGATGTACATAAAGTTCTCATCCTTAAAGCTACCTGAGGCAGGCTGGCTCACAACTGCTGCATGTGAGATGCCGTTAGGGTCGTGGTGAAGACGGAAGGGTCCTGTACGCACGTTATAGCGAAAACACAATGGTCCTCTGCGGGATTTAAAATGGAGCTAATATCCAAATGTGCACCACTGCCAACACAGTAACACCCAATCATGTGTGTTGCTTTGTGTGTGTGCAGGACATTCTCTTGGATCTGCTGAGTTACCAGGAAGGGCCCCGGCTGCGTGACCACCTCAGCCATGGGGAGGTTCCCGTGCCCACAGTCCCCATGGCTGTGGCTGCTCACATCCTGTCGGTCGCTCTGGTTCTGATGTGCAGGTGCTGTACACGAGGGCACGACAGGCTGCAGGTGCGACCCTTGCACCTGCAAACATTGTCTTATCTTATATAGATTTTTTTTTTAAATAGCGCCATATTCCAAGGCAGTTTACAATTATACAATTGTACATGAGATGGTCGTGGTTGAGATAAAGGGTGGGGTTATTAAGAGTGGTGGTGTATATATATACACCTGATGATGACTGTTTGCGTTACAGTCGAAACGTCGTGATAATTTTATTGTTTTATATATTATTTTGTTGTTTCCCTTCAACGTGAAAGAACCAAGAATATGAATCACTGCAGTCACGAAAGCTTTAAATCAAAATTTAGTGGTGGTGTAGTTATGATGGCAGGAGATGTGAAGGAAGGGTTGGGGTTGGCCTGGTCAAGGCTGGGGGCGTGAGGGTAGAGAGTAGCAGTAGGATGGCCGAGGGAGTAGAGATGGGAGTTGTTTTAAGGGAGGAACAGAAGCAGGTTCATGAAGGTGATTGTACATTCCCACTCGACGCGTTTGTTATGAATCTGAGGAGAAATCAACCGACGGGAAAGAAGGGTGGTGTTGTCTCATTATTTCATAAACATATGTGTGTGTATTTTGTGTGTATATTCTGTATGTGTTGTGTGTATTGTCTTTGTCGCTTGTGTTTGTGTATTGTGTGTATATTGAGTATATTGTGTGTATTGTGTTTGTGTATATTGTGTGTGCATTGTGTATTAATTGTGTGTTTTATGTATATTGTGTATGTGTATATTGTGTGTATTGTGTATACATTGTGTATTGTGTGTATATATTGTTTGTGTATTGTGTTTTATTTGTGTTTGTATTGTGTATTGTGTGCATTGTTTATATTGTGTATTATTTTGTGTATTGTGTATATTGTTTATATTGTGTATATTTTGTATATATTTTGTGTGTTTTGTCACAATGTTTTTAATGGTTACTTTCATCTTGTTTCAGGAAAATGGATACATAAAAACGCTCTTGAGCGTTACGGACACATACCGTTCTGTTTTCCATCCTGTTGGGAGACTCGCACAACAGGTGAGCCACCTGGGCAGGTGAGGAGCGTAGCTGTGGCGCTGGCGACGCAGCGCGGCGTGGGCTAGTGCCAGTTGCTTCTCCCAGCGCTGCAACTCCGTGGGAGACGCTTCACCGCGTTGCAGAGAAACTTTTTAATCTTGATTTGAAGCTTTAGTGACTGCAGGAATCCATACTCTTGGGTTCTTTCGGTAAAGTCACGAAGGTATAAAATAAAATAAATCACGGCGTTTCACGTGAGCAATAATATGTTTACATGTTTATTAATTTGCTTGGTAACCTTGTGCACTTTGTATAGATATTCGAGTGTGTGTCTTCGTTGAGAATGTGGAAAGACATTCATGGACCGAGTGAGGAAAATTTGGATTCAGAGTGGAGGTAGGAAGCACGTTATCCGTGATCCGCTAGTTACACATGGCAGGTGACGTTTTGGGTAATCACCCTTCTTCAGAACACGCAGTGTTATTGACAAACTTGTTGATTTTTTAAAAATATTATTTCAGATTTTTGCATCACTGCCAATGCAGCAGTTGTACCAGATAATTTGTTTAAATAGTACACATAATCATTGTTCCATTTACACAAGAGATGTATACTGATCATTGTGTCTCTAGCCTAAATAATGCTTTGCAATTTCATTTGGGTTTGTTTTTCCCTTAGCAATTTTCCAGAAGTTTTGTGCGCTGAAGGAGAAGATTCCACGCGGAGTTGTGTGATGAATATGTTAACGTCAGCTCAGGAGTCTGTGCCCTGCTTAGTAACGACGGAGGCGAGCGACTCCTGGCTACGTGACTGCGGCGATAACGAGCGGACGAGTTCAGGAGATGAGCGACGTCGCGCTGCCACCCATCAGGGACGGGGCGGCTCAAAGAAGCACAGAGCGGAGGAGTGCCCCGCTGCTCCAGAGGAGCAGCAGCAGAAGCGTCCCTCCGCTCAAAGACGCTTATTAGTCAACCATGGGCAGTGGCTTGTCCAGCCAGAGGAAGGCCACCGTCTCCTTGCCAGCGTGCAGCAGCACGCCCAGCTCCTCAGGTCTTGTGCCATGGCTATGAGTTGTATTAGAACATGGAATAAGGCGCTGTATAAATCTGTATATACGATAACATGTTTTTGTGGGCAGGAAGTGTTACTGAGGAAGGTAACATGATTGGCACAGATTTAATAAAAGAGTTTCTGATAGTTTGGCATTTCGGATACTCGGCATTTTTATTTTAAAACCAACATTATTTGTACACTTTGTACTGGTTTGAAAATTAATATATTATCAGAATATCCTTTGAGTTCATCAGCAGTGGATTGACAAAGGACTAAAACGTATTATTAAGAAATGGTAAATTACTGATGAGTGTAATTAGCAATGCATTTAAATAGCCGATTGTTTTATAATGATGTATTACCAAAGTGGAAATTCATTCCTGGATAAGTCTACGTCCAAATCAGTTGTGTGCCCAATATCAGATTGCGAAAGAAAAGTTGGGTTAGTACTTAAATCAGGGATTGCCTGAGGATGCCGCTCATGTGAGCCATGGCTGGAAATTGAATTCGGGTCAACCGTTCATAGCGCAGTGCACTTACCGGTACATCACCGCTCCCCAATTTATAATAATTTCATCATCCCAATCCATACTTATTGGGCCAAAAGTTATATACGGTAAGTCCTCGCTTCACGCGTGCTCACACGACGCGTTTTAGCTATAACGCTGTTCTTCCATTCGGGACCACTACGCACAATACGGGACGCGCACCGTTATAACAGTTTGAGCGGTTTACGATTAACTTTCTTGAGCTGCGCAGCTGAGCGGTACGATACAGAACAGGGAGTGATACAGTAACGCAGCGGTGTACTCTCAGTTATTTGTCCCGCCATCTTATTGTGTGCGTACAGCGTATCTCCCCAAACTTTGTTACTTTATATATGGGGAAATCGTTTTTGCTTAACGAGGCACTTTTCAGGCATGCATCTACCGCGTTAAACGAGGACTCACCATGTGACTATCTCGTATATAAAGTTGTGTAAACCTGGAACAGTTGTGCTCCGTGGTTTGACCCTTTGACGTGCAGCTTCCCTGTTCCGCCGACTCGGCAGCAGCCGCGAGTGGCGCTGGAAGCGGTGGCGTTGCTGCGGAGCGTGGCGCGCCACTGCCTCGCGGCCTCCGCACACACGGTGGACGGAGCCGCCTCACGGCACGACCAGTGGCTCAGGAAAGAGCTGCGCTCCCGGCAGAGAACCAACTACGTGCGCATGCTGAAGAGGTAAGACACGTGCTCTGACATCAAAGTGGGGTGTGCCTCCATTCTCGGGTGACGTTACAAAACGTTGTAATTTGTGACTGTGAATGATTGGCTTAGGACCTCATTGTGGGCCCCAGCACTTCACGTTCCATCTAAAACGATACATTATTTGGGTTGAGGTTACCTTGGGGTTTGTGATAAAATTGTCGGCATCAGCCAGGCTTGATCCGTGCCAATGTAACTGTGATTCATACTGCAAGCAAAGACAGTGCAGTACTTCCTAAATTGCAGATCTGGGGGGCAATTCATGTGGAGGAAATCGTCATTTTCTCACCTACTAGAAAAAAACAAGTTTGGAAAAATGTCTGCATTTGTGGAAAATATTTGCAGAAATATTGCCTGAAACCAGCACTGCCATGTTGTGGACTTGTACATTTGTACTGTGGCTAAATCTAGCTCTGCAGTTGTCGCATTTCGTGCTGACAAATAATCCATTTAGCAACCATCACATTTCCCATAACGTACAGCATTGGCAAAAATTGTTGAACTACAGTGACGATTCTTCATGCTTTGTTACATCATCTGACGCCAATTGGAATGCTTGGATGTCGCCACGTACTTACCTCACATAGTTCCAGGCATATCTTGTTACAACGGCCTACCCTCAAAGTGTAAAATTTGGCTTGTGAGCGTGAATTCACGCACGCTTCGCGATGACTCCCCCAGTGTCCCCAGCCTGTCGCGTGCCCTGTGGACGGTAACCGCCACTGTGGAGTGGCAGCTTCACCGCCTGCCTCGCCTGTCTACCTGCCACCCACGAACCTCACAGAAGCACATCAGGTACCTTGAGTGGTCGGAAGATACGGACCATGGAATCTATAATCTAATTTATATTTAGAGCGCCTTCACTCAACGCGCTTGACATAGCTTACAAAATGGTGACACAGAATGGAATGATGCAGTTGACCGGTGGTATGTGCAAGGGTTGAAAAATGTGGTAGCGGTGGAGGGGTACTTAGAGATCACAAAAGGGTAGAGGAGGGATAGGAAGGAGTGGAGTGTCGAGGGGAGGGAAGCGGTGAGGCTTTAATAGAGAAACGGAAGGAGATTAAGGAGGGGGGGATGCTTTATGCCCAAGGGAAGTTTATTCCAGTGGAGGGGTGCAAGGAGGGAGTAAACGGGATTGGGCACGTGGAAGAGAGATGGAGAAGGTTGGGAAAGAAAAGGACGAGAGGGGGGATATAGAAGCAGATGAGGGAGGCAAGATGAGGTGGGGCAAGGCCATGAAGAGATTTAAATACTCGCGTCCAGCAGCACCCTCGCCCACCTCCTATGGGCCAGGGTGCTACTGGGAGCAACCGAGGTCCAATGAGTGAACACAATGAGTGAACACAATGAAAGGATTGCCCTGGGAAATTCTTGAGGGCCCACGACATCTCATCGTCCAGCAAGGACACTTTTTTTGAAAGGCCGATTGCATGGAATCAAAAACTTAATTGTGAAGCTCATTGTGCAGCCAGTCTGTGGGGAGATGACAATAAAATAACGGATTTTGAAGTGGTCGAATAAAGCAGGCCTGGGTTATCGTAAATCACGAAAGCGCCAAATCAAGTTTACATGTGGGATATCAAGTGTTTCCAGAACACCCTCTCAATTACGTAATTTGCTAACATGTGATGTTGCTCCTTTACATTCTAGGTTATTAAAAGGGGTTCTTCAATGCATGGAGAACCTGGTGAGCTATACCAGCCCCAGCAAGAACAAGTGGGCAGAAACCGCAGAACTTCTCGACAAGCTGTACACTGCTGTGCACCGGTTGCTGCATCACCTCCCAAGCCAGCACGAAGCCGGTGGTGTTAGTGCTCCACAGTGAGGGCACCACGGCGACTTGGTGTGCATCGCTTGGTTCTTAATCCGCCCATGGAAATGGTTGTACACGTCGTTCGTAGGCATGAAATAACCCAATGTCCTGATCCTTTGAGTTTTAATTCACTGTTATTTGGGGTTGTGATCTTAATCAAGAATCTATTGTCTGATTTTGTAGTCATGTTGGTTCCATAGTGACCTCTTTTCAAAAACCGACTGCATTCCACAATATGGAGGGACCTTTTTCTAAGTTAATCTTTAATGTACTCAAAAAATGTTCATCATGCTCATCTCCTTGTTTGTACCAGATTTAAATCTTCATAACCAAATACATCCTACACAAATCTCAAATTATATGCCAATAATCAACACGAGATTCAGATGCTCTTTTGTTCATACTTAACAAACCTGGAATAAGCTCTTCTAAATTTAGCAATGTCCTCTCAGTTGGTTTTCTACAATAAACTAGATTTGATGCGAGTATAATTTTAATGTAAAGCTTGATTGGCGTTTTAGTCTTCATATTACAGATTCGTGTTAATATCTTGCACGGTAAAATGCTTAACTAGTATTGTGTATAATTTAAGGATGTGGATATTTAGTTTTTATAGTTTGCTCCTTAGTTGTTTTTGTAGTAGTTTTGTATCATCACATTTTGCACCTTTGTTAAAACTGTTTTGATGTCGCCACCCACTGGGCATCTTTTGAACATCAGCGACTTCCCTGGAGGTCTCGGAATGTGCAGTTTTTGGGGTGGGGTGCACAGCACGGGGCCCCTCCACTTCCTCTCCCCGAGACAGCTGCCCCACATCGTGCCTCACGAGCAACAAAGCCATTAGGAGACACTCCCTCTCCAAGAACACTTTTTTGGAGAAGCGGAGAGGTTGGAATCACACGATTTTTGTTTAGGTGTCAATGCCCCCAGAAGTGCGAAAGAAAACCGGGGTGGTCCAGAGAAACCAACGCATACAAGGGGTATATATTAAAATGTGCCACAGACGGATTCATGAACCCGTTGCTGTAAGCCACAATTTCTGGTCACCTTGCTGGCCCAGTTGATTGAGACACTACACAAACACGATACACCATTTAAACCAAAGTGTGCACCAACATGTGGCTCTGCTGATGACACAAGTTTGAAGAAAATGTGATCACGTTGAATTTAGATTTCACGCTATACATCGTTCCCACTTGAAAGAAATTAGGTGAAAGTATTCTCTATAATGCAACCATATGGGTTCCAATTGGGGATCACCTCTTTTGCATCAGATGCTTGTTTCCGTGGCCATTCAGGTGCCCTGCAATGACAGGTCACTCATATTGTGCATGCCATTTTATAGTTTGTGTATTGGGAATTTATACAAAGATTCTTGAAAAAATATCAGTGTTTAATGTCCGCTTTCCCAGAGACGTCATAATTTGGCAATCCACAAAAAATATAACAGGCATCAAATTCCACAACACAATGGGTTTCCAAATGTGTGAATACATTAAGTTAACATACTTCCCAAAATGCATATGAAGTGGATTTATTTGACAAAACAAGTGTAAATATACATCCTGGTATTGAGTAAGATACTTATTTGCAAGGTTTTTTTATTTTGTCTAATAAATGACTGGAGCAGCAGGAAAGCAGATGAACCCCGGTGCTACCCTATGGACGGACAATCCATTCACTTGTTCAAACCCTGATGTACGTGGTTTCTAAAACATGTACAAGCTCTGCAAATAAAATTAAAAATTCCATCAAACATTTTAACAATTACAACTACAAGAACACAAGCGAGTTCGTTAATTGCTGTTAAAGGATGTTTTTTTGAGAATCATCCGCTCAAATCGTTAATTTTTTCAAAACGTGCAAGCTGTGATATCACCATCTCAGTCATACATAAGCAGCATTCATTTGCTGCTGCTGCCACAAAGATTACAATTACTCTCTTTCCTGCACTTATTTTTATTTTATCGTTCAGGAACAGCTTCATAACGATTTACAGCCACTCCTTTGCATCAGACTCATCTATGAGAGGTTTGTCAATGGACTTGAGCATTATTTCCCCACAGTAGACGCACTCGACTGCGACGATGTCATCCAGCTCTTGCTTCAGCGTCTCTCGTGACTGCTGGGCATTGCTGGTGCTCGCCTCCTTCTGCTTGTGGGAGCGTCCCGGGGCGTCTCGTGACGTCTCCCCCAGCTTGCGCTGAATGTCGTCCAGCGTGGCTTTCTTGCTGCTCGAGAGATGTGGGTACACCTCCCGCACCAGGCAGTCTCCGTGGAACATGTGTCCGCAGGGGAAGAGGTAAAAGCCCCGATTGAGCAGTGGGAAGAGGCAAGAAGCGCACTTCTCTTGAGCATTCACCACACCGTACTTGTTCCTCATGTCTTGGATGTCCTGACGGATACGTCTAGCGCTCTCCGTCGCCTCCTCCATCTCTTCCTTTAGTTCCTCAATGTGCTTGTTGTATTCTTGCAGTGAGCTGCAGATTGCTTCTTTGAAGTGGTCAATGGTGACGAAGTCTGGAAAGAAGGGGAGAATATCTTCGATCTTAAGCAGATCACAGTTAGGCAGACATGCCATTGCCTTCCTCACATCCTTCTCCTCCTCCACCACGTGGCGTGCAATCTTCAGCCACAGCTTCTTGCGCAGGTCCTCGTCATCCTCCGGGCGATCCGCGTTCAGCTTAGCCAGTTCGACATCCTCCTACAAAACAAGAACACACGTGTCCATTACCGCTGCCTGAAGCTGGACACAGCATCTGTAATCACACGTCTGCTCCACTTGTACGTTTTTACGATGAAGTTTATTCATAAAGCCAAATCCAAAACGACTTCTGATTCATTATCCTCTTATCAGCAGAGAGCAGCTGTCAACCGCAATGCAATCATGTGCAATATTCTTGGCATGGGAAACGTTATTTAATAAACATTTTACATGGATTAAATTAGTTTTTCGAAACATTACATTTAAAAGTATCAATGACGTACTGCAGTATTCTCACTTCCTACACCCATATCTGCGAATAAAGTGGAAGAGCCTCATCTCTCACCAATGCCATAAGCCGAGCATTTGGAAAATTCACCTTCATGCCCAGAGTTCAGCATCAAGTGAAAACTGCCAACGGTTCTGATGTCCCAGCTAATCTCTTAGCCCTCACAAAACCTGCATCTGACACTCCATTCCATTACTCCTTGGCCTTCTACTCTTTCAACTCCCCGAGGTAGATTTTCAATATTTCACACCAGAACACAATTCGGTAAGCATGAATTAACAGTAAAATGAAATGTTAAGTGATGCATCAGCAACATTCAAAGCTCACGAACCTTCAGTGCCAAGTCGACAGCCTCCTCGTACAACTCCATAGTTGTGTAAATGTGCACACAAGCACGATGTAGGTTGTGCTCTGCACACAACCGCAGGGCGTACTTGAGGTCATACCCGACGTTCTGAGCATTCTGCCCCTGGCTTTCCAGGTACGTAATCAACTGGTGGGGTGCGTGCCGAGCGTAGAGAGACAGGAGGTAGTTGTGGATGGCCTGGTCTTCCACGTGCAGCTGGTTCACGCAAAACTCTAGATAGCAAATTGCCTGGTTCACTTGTTCATTTCCCTGAGCCTGGTGATGGCTAACCAGTGCTGGAATGAGCCGCCTGGGCTCCAGACGTCGGCCCATCTCTATCCAAGTCTTCACGAGCTCTCGAGGCACGTGCTGCATCAGCACGGGGGAGAAACGGTACACAAGGTCCCTGTCCCCATGCCTGGCCAGTACCTCCAGAGCTAACGTATAATCCTCATGCTGGATATGGTGCGAGAGGACACGCTCGTAATCTTGTATCAGGACTGCAAAAAAGACCAGGTCCTCCACATTCCCATGACTGGCAATCAATTCATAGATTGCTGTACGGTTGTTTTGAAGGCATTCTTTTAGCTTGCTTTGCATCAGGAACTTGTGAAATTCTTCCTGCGTAGCAGGGAAACTCGAGTCTCGGTCGTCTTTCAGCTGTCCAAGCTTGTTTAGATAGAGCTCTATGATCCAGGTGACCAGCATGGTCATCTGTGTCTTGTCTTCTGTCTTCAGGTTCGTGAGCTTCTTCGTGAGAAACACTTTCAGTGCTTCCTCTTGCTTGGCTTCGATGAATTTAAGAGCAATTTCTTCAAAGTAGCTGTGGGTCAGTGCATAGTACATGGCACTCTCGATGTACTTTCCAGTCTTAAAGTAATGTTCGGCCTGTTTTGTCTGAACCTTGTCCAGGCATTCTGGTCTGTCCTTGCAGTATTCCTTCGCGAGGTCAAACTTTCCCATGCCGAGATACATCTGCCAAACATCTCTCGACTCGCGAGCAATGTAATACCGGAAAACGGCATTCTCCGTATAACTCCAAACTGTGCCCTTCGTTGGGTCTTTGATCATTCTCAACAGGCGGCCAAATTTAACGGGGGCAATATCCTCGTAGGTTAGCTGACCATTCAGTGTGCATATTGCAGACATGCGATCAGGGAACATGAGCAGGAAGTGAAACTGAGTGAGGACGATGGAATTTGGCTGCTTCGTATCGCCATCGTTAGAGGTAGGGTAGGGCCACTGCTGTGCATCGGCCAGCATCGAGCCCTGCCGATTGTAATCGAGGGATCCAAAGTAGACACCGGAGCCGGTCATCCAAGCAAAGGCGCGAGGGGATGAGCGCAGCTTCTGGGTGTACAGCGCCAGATCCGAGTACCCGACCTCAGCGGGAAACTCAAGGAATCCAGGTGGCTCCTCCATGTAGTTGTTGAAGACCGACTGATACACTGGGTTCTCGCCTCCTTCGGGCATAACCGCAAAGAATTGGTAGAGGCGTTTATTTGTGGTAGCGATGATGAAGCACTTTCCCTCAACTATCCTCTCCACTTCAATGCAGCACACTGGGCTGGGACTGTCAACCTCCCCCAGGGTATACAGATGCTTGAAGTACTGATCTGGGTTGCTTCCAAAGAGACCCTGATCGGCGGAGCTGATCTCAGACTCCCAGATGGTGCCAGTGCGCGTGCCCACCAGAATGGGACCCGTAGAGACTTCGTTTCCTGCCAGCTTGTTCCAGCCGACACACTCAATCAGGTGGCTTCTCCATTTGGAGAGGTTTTTGGCTTTGCGGGAGTTTCGGCTGAGGTACAGGCACTCCTGTGATTCTAACGCAATTAGGAGATGAGAACCTGCAACAATAAACATCAGTTTCGATGGCTGTATCACAGTGAAAATATATGAACAGCAAGCATATGAACTTTTTAAACAGTCATGAATAATTATAAAAGGTAATTGATAACCACATATAATATTGTAAGATATTTTCTTCTTATTAAAAACACCCACAAATGTACTGTGGCATACAGTGCAGCAAATGAGTTCCATACTGATGGGTCTCTTGGTAATGCTGCATTGGGGAGACATGAGGTTTTCTTGACTACTGGGGGAAATGGATTTGGCAGTACCTCTAAAATCTTCACCAATTTTATTTTAATGAAACTGGTCAAATCTCAGCATCAGACAATACCTGTGGGATCCAAGAAGAGTTTATGTATCTTATCATCCTGGGCCCTGAGGACCTCCAATTCATCAATCTTGTCAGGGTTATCCAAATCAATTCTGAAACAAAAAAAATCACCGTTAATGTTCAATGCCCTAAGTGCAAGTTTCACATTTTTGGAATGAGCATCGACATTTAAACCTTCATTTAAAATCAAGGCAGTCATTGTAGCTGAGTTTTTTCAAGGCAGATCTAGGATAAAAATGCATGGTGATCGGTCAGAAGTGATAATCGTTTTTTCCTCTTTTCTCCGAATTATATTCCACTTTTGTTATGAGAAGAACAAATTGATATTCAGCACGCCAAATAGCGAGCACTGCGCCACTTTATGTGAATCATCAGTCCTGAAGATTACACCACAGACGTTTTAAGTCCCCTTGGCAGATATGACCATCAGCACAATGGATACCACCTGATATATTCCCTACAAAAGTGTTCCGTCACATGGCAATCACGCCAAAATATTTATTCTGGCAGCCAAAATAGCCATCACGAGCTGAAATAAACTGATTTTTTAGTCCCATCATTAGTGACAGGCAAAGACTATCAACTCGCTCTACCTGAGAACCGCGATAACTACGGGTGGTTGAGACCTGAAGTCAAAGCCAGGTTCCCAGCAGTGTCAGCTCAGTACAGCTCCCTGAGGGGGGCTACCTGGCCACCTCCGGACACAAAGTTTTTATTTTATAAAAGGCTTATTAACAGATAACAAAAAATACAATTTAATATATATTACACTGTTGCCCCGAGAAAACATTCCCACCCAGCGTATCTTCCATCTGAGATGATAAAATGCAAGTAGATAAAAGTGTTGTTCTATTGAGACTAAAAAGCTATACAATGATAAATAATTCTTATTCACCTCAACAGCATATTCTTCCCCATCGCCAGACACAGTTGGTTGTTGGAAATGACCAGGTAGGTGATGGGCTGGGTGGGTGTGAAATTGATCTTCTTTTTGCTGAAAATGGGCGTTTCATCCTCAAGCCGTGCACTGACAATACCTAAACAAGCCCAAACAAAACATCACAATTTAACAATGAACACTACAAGATTCATGTGTTGTTCAAACTATGTAAGAAATAAACTAAAGTGTGCAAAAAAATAAATGTTGTCACACAATTCCACAAAACAAAAGTTAAATGTATTAATTTATGTTAATCAGAAATTATACCGCAGCAGTGTAATTAGGATATTTATTAATATTCAGTGTTAAATAATTTTACAAGTTGGAGAAAAAAATGTAATGCCAGATGTAAGCCACACGTAGCAGCGCAGCACGCGTATTTGGATAGAAATACAATGACAAATGATTTGTATGATCATTAATAAACCAATGCATACTTACTGAAGTGGTTTACAATTGTGATTTGCTAAGCTTATATGGGTTGTTCTTAGATATGTGTATGACTACACACTTTCTATCTATGCTCTGCATGCAAGCTGATGTTATCGCTCCACCACCAACCGAAAGAGCTAAGAATATGAATTACTGCAGTCACGAAAGCTTTAAATCAAAATTTAACATTCAAGGGTTTATTGGATCATAATTTTAAAACTCAACTCTTCAGTTTTTCACAAGTTGTTAATTTTGTGTTTCAAACATAATTTGCAAAAGTTCAACAAAATTATGAGCAAATGCATATTTATTTTAAGAATGACTTTTGTGCAGTGATTTGCAGCCTGATCGAATCTTGTTAAAACGGCCAAACACAACTGATAAGTTTCCTTCATTCAAATGGTCATCTCAAGTTTAAACCAGGCCAGGGCAATACGAACTACGCATTGAGCATTACAAATAGCCCCTTGGAGCAACAAGGTCACTGCCACCAATTATGCACACTCCCGTGAGTTGCAAGGATTTAACATCTGACCAGCACAGAAAAGCAAAATTTCAGATCCACCTGTTTCATGCAAAATTAGCGATTATGAACTTCAAATGGATCATCAGCCAATAATGAAAGTGCGTTGTCTTCCTTGCATTTCGCGCGTACCAGACTGCATGAAGGGCTCGCTCGCCCGCTGCTGCTGGTACCCCGGCCGCGACTGCGCATCCTCGTATTGGTCGAACAGCGAAGCCATGACTGCGCCTGACGCAGCGCGGCAGCACTGTCAGGACACACACACACACACGGCACGTAGAACGAACCTTCATTATTACTCCGACTATTTTTAAAAGCTACCTTTAACCAACTGCCAAATGTAATGCTTAAATTGAAAGGCTTTCTGGAAAGGCATAAGGCTGTCCCTGCAATTCAGGAAGCATGGGACTGCAGCAGCAGGAGCAGCACGAGGGTGGGAGTGGAGGCGTGGCACGTTCAGCCACAGGCAGCGCCTCTCAGTTCTCCAAGCACAGAGCGGGTGACCGAGGTGCGAGGGACGGAATGTGGAAGTTTGCGGTCTGCTGTTGGAGTATTCGGTTCGCGAGGCACTGGGGGACGTGTGTGGGGGTGCTGTGTGCTGCACACACAACTATTCACGTGCACAGGACCCCCACTTTGTCAGGGGCCACACACTCGTCTCCCTCCTGTGGCTGTCTTACGATTACTTGTGTATGTCTTAGCACTGTAGCATTCTCTTCACGTCTCTCTGCATAGTTTTCCTTCTTTCAGTTTAATATATCCATGTTTGTGTCTCTCCTTTCCAGCGTTGTCCCTCTACTTATTTGTCGCTATCAATGTGTTTTTTCCCCCTCAATGCCTCTATATGGATCTCTATTCATTTTCGTTTGTATTCCTCCATACGTATTCCTCTTTATCCACGTCTGTCCCCGAGTCCCTCCGTAGATGTCAATATCTGTATGTGTCAATCTTTATTAATGCATCTGTGTCTAGACAGAGAAACTCAGGTGCGAGGAACCACAGACAAGCGGAAAGGCAGCAGCTGCGCAATGAGCCGGCGCAAATTATTTCTCCAAGTTCTGCGGTCCTCTACATATACATCTCTCTCCAGGTTTCCGTCTCTTCCCGTGTCTGCAGAGGACCCCCAGTCAGCTTTTGGTGCCTGCAGTCAGCACGACCAGCATGGGCCACTCGGGCAGCACAGGGAGAAAGAGTGGCGGGCAGAGTGACGGGCAGCGTGTTGAGGGCAACGATGGGCAGCACGGGCAGCGCAAAGCACGATGGGAGAAGCACGGGGCCACAGTGGCAGAGGGAAGAGCAACGAGCAGAGAGAATCAAAGACGGCGCGGCGCACGGGGAAGCACAGAAGGGCTCTCTTGCTGCACTGCCAATACCCGCCAGTGACTGTGACGTCACCACGGCGCCTGTGCCAGGCTAGGTACACATTTGAGGTTGCACTGCAGCACCAACCACCGCCATTCGCCACTAAGTGGCGGTGACGTCACCACGGCACTTGTACCAGGCTACGTGCACGTTAAGGCCCTAACTGTAGCACCACCCAGACTTACACACGTATTTGTACAAAGATAGCCAGCATAGCCTCGACATACTTTTGGGGCAAACGTTGTTAGCGACCAGCGGCTATGAAGAGCGGCGCGGCACACGAGGGCGCCACAAAGACAAAGATTCCCCGTGCAGTCGGCACGCACTGTCGGGGCAAGTGCTGCTGGCGAGGACCACGCCCGAGTGACGGGCGCCGTGGTTCGCGCCCTGAACCCCGCGCCACTCCGAGCTCCACTCCCGCTCACGGCCAACATCAGTGGCGAGCGAGCGAAGCGACTCAGCATTAATTGAGTACCTGGTCGTGGCGTTATAAACATCAGCAATGGGGAGACAAAGGCGGCCGGGCGTGGCTCTGTCCCAGCCGTGCCCCTCTGGCCGTGCCGCCCTCGGCAGAGCGACGCGGGAGACGCGGCGGGCCGAGACGCGGAGATGGCGGCCCCGGTCACGTGATAGCGCGCGCACGTGACCGCCGCGGACCGATTCCGCGATTCCAGGTCGAAATCGATTCCCTGTGAATGATGATTCGGAATCGTTAGAAAATAATCTTCATTGAAGCCCGCAGGAAGAATCCGAGGAGCTGTGAAGCTTTTTCTTGGGATGTCCAGTCGGGGCGGGATTGAGTGGGAGGAGTTGAGCGGCGTTGTCCGTGTGGGCTAACGGATGAGAGATTGAGACTGTATGTTACACTAAGACAACGATCCCCGTGTAGCCTTAACCAGACTATTCTTTGGGTATTTCGGTAAAGTCACGTAGTTTGAAGAAAAAAATATGACAGTAAAAAGAAAAAATGAAAATAAAGTGAATAGAAATAATAAAAATATCACGACGTTTCGATCGCAACACAAGCAATCGTCATCATCTGATATTTTTATATTTTATTCACTTTATTTTCATTTTATCTTATTTTTTCTATGTGACTTTACCGCAAGACCCAAAGAATATGAATTCCTGCAGTCACGAAAGCTTTAAGTGAAGACTTATTTATACCAGACTGTTGGGGAAAGTGCTGTTAGTCAGCACCGATTAAAGGCCGGTACGTCACACGAGGGCGTGGGTGGCTCGCACCACATCTGGCCGCCTTTGTCTCCCCAGTAGCGATTTTGTTTACACACCGCACTAGGTACTAATTTGAGGCTGAGTTGACCTAGGGGAGGCCCAGGACCGGTTCAGACAATGGTCAATGGTGTGGGTGGCCGTGAGCGGGAATCGAACCCGTGTGGCCGGGTGCGTAGCGCAGCGTAGCGCTAACCACTACACCACCACTCCCCACCACCACCACCACTCCCCACCACCACCACCACTCCCCACCACCACCACCACTCCCCACCACCACCACCACTCCCCACCACCACCACCACTCCCCACCACCACCACCACTCCCCACCACCACCACCACTCCCCACCACCACCACCACTCCCCACCACCACCACCACTCCCCACCACCACCATCACACGCACCAATTGAACCAATTGCCTGTTGAGGTGACGCACTCCGAGAAGGGACGTGTGGGCTGATGGGATGTGTACAAATAAAATGTTATAATTTTTGTGTGTGGAGGGACTGATATGGGGGTGGAGGAGATGATGATGTCTCGTTGTTTATTTGGCTCATGATGATTTTGATGAGAATGAATGCAACTGAAGCTTTATTTATTTAAACGCACCGTGGCGCAATATAATCCGTGTGAATAAGCACGAGCAACATCGAGCCAATGGGAAGCGATGCTACACAATGACCTGGGATCGAGCATGGGGTCGAGCAGGAATCGCTATTTCTGGTGTAACACGCAGCAGGCTTTCGAGATCAATATCCATAATAAATGTGTCGTTAAACCCGCCACCACCCGACACAGCCAACTAGTAAGGGTTGTCACGTAAACAGAACGTGGCCAATTCGTCACTAGTACAGCACACCGGTGTGTTGGAGTGCCAAGCCACAACATTTACAATCTGAGTACTGTTTTATTTCTAGACGGCTGTTCCAAACTCCTATGGCCAAGAATACGCCCAGGATAACCTTGTTTGGACATAGGGAACCTACTTTATAACGTATCCTTACATCTGTAGTGTCAACAATTCAGAGACAGAGTTTCTAGGAGGCACTTTCTTTATTAACAACTTTCACGGTCTTGTCCGCACACTCTCCACAGTAGCTTAGCCTAGCCTGTACACAACACCGGCCGTCTAACACTGACGGCGCTGACTGAGATAGCCAACTCCTCTCCTTCGTAGCGCGATGTCTAGCGGAGACGTTCAGCGACGACGGCGACGAGTCCACTCCCAGCACCGGCAGCCCCGAGCCCCCTCGCTCTCGGCTCCTTTTATGCTCCCGGCGCAGCCCTGGCCCCGCCCTGACCACGCCTCCCTTCTCGAACCTGCCAGCAGCAGGTTCCAGGGGCCTCCATCCGTGGTCCTCCGTGATCCTTGCCCCAGTTCCTCCGCTCTGCCCACACGCCGTGCTCACGCCCTCCCCGGCGCGCTTGCTGTCTGTCCACCACAGCTGCCGCTGCTGTCCACCAGCCGGCGCTATAACGCTAAACATCTATCACGGACTCATGCTGTACTTTACAGCTTCTCACCCGATTGCAGACTGGACCAGAATATATCTCGGAATGAAGCCCGCCTCTCAGACACAAGTTATGCTCGTGTGTTAGAGATAACTAGTGTCTTGTGTTGGCTCCCTTCAACCGTGCGTTTTTTGTAATTTTTTTGAGAAGTGGGAAGTCCCCGTCACGGTAAGTTACTGAAAAAAGGACTTTCGCATTCGAAGAGCTGTGACTGTAAGTGCCTCTCTGTCCGTGCCACGGCACCCAGTGCCGGCCCTGCTGGGACATCCTGCACGGACTTTGACGCGCTGTGGCCTGTCGCCAGGTAGACTCGCTTAAAACAAACGCTGGCGAACTGCCAGATGTTTGCCGGCACGTACCGTATCTGTTAGATATGGGTCGATATTATTGATTGTTTTTGTGTTACAATTAGTCGTGCTCTATCCGCTCCTCGGTGCACCGCTGACGTCTCTGACCGTGTCATCTCTACGTTCGGCTGGCGGCTATACGGGACACGGATATTCGGATTTATCTCTGTAAACTGCTGTCTGTGAAATAATGTGGGTGATAATATTCTGTCTGCAAGTTAAATAAAAACACGTTTCGTGAGGCATAGACTTGCTATTGCTGCGCTGCCCTCTGGCGCCCAGCACGAAGGGCGCGTATTGATCCATGGCTGGAGTCCTGTTCACCTCTAACGCGTGAGACGGGCAGATCGCAGAGTTTGTGGACGCTTACAATCACACTGTGTTTGTCATCTGCGCTCATTTTACAAAAGGCGACAGTGGTTTGCGCGGACAGACTTGACCCCGCCATGGGAATGTGAATTCACCAGTGCAGGTGAGCACGGCCCTACTCGCGGCTGAGCGTAGAGATTGTGTTGATTTGTTAGCGGTGATAACACAGCCCTAATGCGGTTCGAGCAATATAAAATATAACACATTCTTGGTTCTTTCGGTAAAGTCACGTAGAAGGGAAACAATAAAATAATAAAAATATAAAACAATACAATTCTCACGACGTTTGTTTCCCTTCTACGTGACTTTACCGAAAGAACCAAGAATATTAATCCCTGCAGTCACGAAAGATTTAAATCAAAATATAACACGTACTGCAAAAATAGTTTTCGATGTGGGTCTCTGCTAGTCAATAGTTTTAATCTGGGATGGTAAACACCACCACCATTTCACTCTCATGAATCGTAATTGTCCTTCCCCGGCACCTCCGATTAGCACGGTCGGCTACGTACGGTGCGGAAGAAGTTCAACATACGCACACACAATCATGAATCATCGATGGCGTCAGGGAAGACAGCGACTATGTCACCTTCATCCATTACCGTCATCATAGCCAATGCACTGGGTACAAACAAGAGACATGGGGATATTGAGAGATATATAAAAGTCATTGCCAATTGTATCATTCATCATTTGTGTGGCCAAGTTGGCGTACAGCTGCGTGGGCGGTGTACAGTGTGAGCACAAGCGTGGCGAGCAGCGGAAGCCATAAGCCGTGGGTACACAAGTCATAGCTACCCGGGCACTATACAATACCACAGCTGCACTGTACCATGACAAGCCTGCCCTACAGAACCCAGCACTGGCAATTTAGATGTTTGTTTGCCAAGGTGCACTGCAGAAGTCGTTTGTGAGTCTGCACTGCGAGGCTCACCTGTGCGACCGTGGAATGGAATGTGCCCCTCAACTCGCTCTGCAACCCTCATCCACAGGTATGAGAGGTATGTCATGGTTGTGTTGAATTAAAGTATTTGTTTTAACACAAAAAACCCACAAAAAACTTGATAAGAACAAAATATGTTCGCCCCATTCGATTATGAAGATGTGAATGCAAAGGGATGTCCTGTAAAAAACGTAAACCCATGTACACAGCATCAGGATAACCCATGCTGCTCGCTTCATTGGGACACTTCACAATCCACATTCGTATGGCTTTCATTGCATATTCTCATCACACAGATAGGCAAACAAAAAAAACGTAACATTCAACTTTACTCATCCACTTAATCTGCCAATTCTCAACAAAAATTCGCGTTCTGAACAATGTGGGTTTTGGGGGCTTACCACGCATTTTCAGCACGTGCCAGTTGTTCACCGTGCGGATAGCATTATTATCGTTTTCAATGTCTTGCACACGCATCGTCCCAAAATTGTCACGAGCAAAGGTCAAAATTGATGCTCAACTGCTTTGTCGGCCCTGGTCGAGTGGTAGAGTGTCCACATTCCTATGGCAGAAGCGAGTCAAACTATAATCGGGGTTGTCGATACAACCCGTCATCCCCCCTGAGTCAATAACATGATAAGCGCTGTGCAGGTAGCCAACAGCGGCTGTCCTATGGGTTAATCCGTTCCTGCCATAGGAATTAGGAATGACCACCCTGGTTCAGGGCAGTATGTGTGTACGTTGAACGTCTTTCGCACCGTACGTAGCCAACCGTGCTCATGGGAGGTGCGGGGGAAGGACGATAAACGAGAGATGAGCACTGACTCAGGGCTGTGAACACCCTACGCACCATACTCTTTGGTTCTATTCGGTAAAGTCACGTAGGTAAAAAATAAAACAACAAAAATCACGTTTCGACCACAACACAAGCGGCCTTCATCAAACCCTACGCACCGTCGACGTGACACTTTTGAAAACAAAAATAGCGAAGTGTTTGGTGCAATACTACGTGGGTTTATAGCTGCCTGGGTGTGGTGGTGCACATCTGTAAGGCAGTGGAGTGGAGACAGGGAAGTGGAGTGGAGACAGGGAAGTGGATTGCACTGAGACACTGTGCATGAGATGCCCCCCTACAGGAGCAGCAGCAGCAAGGCGGCTTCATGAATAACTACATCTACGTAGATGTTTAAGTTGATTTTATTTTCTCGTAGGTTTTCTCCCAGAACAAACTTTGATTTATATTCATGTTCAGAAATACTTTACGGAAATGTACCAATCATTTCAAGCAGGGACACTCCTTGTTATAGTCTTACAGACTCATTGAATTGGTTCTGCGTGAATGTCATTGATAATGTGGTTGTAACTAAAGAAGAGAGATCACAGGAGGAGAGGCTGGGGGGTTACAAGGCTCAGGGCAATGTGGGAGAGTGTTGTAGATCATGTGCAGCGTGGTACGTATACAGACAAGAGCAGAGACGCCTTGTTTGCGTGATCACTGTGAAGCTGCTGCAGCCAGACTGGGCTGGAGCACGTGGAGTTTGAGGCTTTTAGGTTTCAGGAATGGAAATGCGCGAGGCTATCTCTTGTCTCCAGCAGCACTGGCTGGTAAAATCTTCCATCGACGTTGCGGTGAAGGGGTGGCGATGAGTGCGTGTGTGAGTGTGACGATGGCATGGATGTGTGTGAAAGTTCGTGGCGCATGATGGTTGTTGTTGATGTGGGAGGGTTATGTGTGCGTGCGAGGGCGGTGGACCGCGTGAGTCTCGCACACCGGGTGAGTCTTGACAGCCCCTGGCAGGGTCTGTCTCCAAGGAGACCCATTTTGACAAATCATTGCTGTTCTCAAGCGTACTAAATTGCTACCCCCTTTCACCTGAGACGACCCCAGGACGAGTCACTCACACGGCGACATGGGGTCACTGCAGCGACGAGGCACGTGCCCCACGACATCACTCGCCTGGTCATGTTCTAAAGCATCCCCTTACATTAAAGCAACCCCTTGCATTAAAGTGACGTGTTCTACTGAAGAGTTTGTTTGGAACGAGGTTTTTATCTAATATTGCTCCGGAACCATATCCCCCAATCCTAGCTTTCTGTCCAACGAAGCACACACCGTACACCTTCAAGGGGCACGCGTTGGGTAGAGATAAGATTTGGTCGTGCGGGGAGGGAGGGGGTTGGGGAATCTAGCAGAAGTGGCCGAGGAAACGGGGCCTCATTTACATCCGAGGCGTGGGGACTTCTGCCCGAGTGCTGCGACTGAGCCTTGAGCTGCCTTCTCGGCGAGCACATGCTCAGGCATGCACTCACGCGGTCGTAAACTACTCGGTCAATAAACAACTGTACAAGAGTCTCACGTGTGCAAGAGTCAATATGGTCATCGAGCGAACATAGCTGGTCTTTAATATCGGCTTGAACGAGAGGATCAGGTCATGACTGCTGTGATGAGCGGAGTGGGTGCCGGGTCACGGGAGCCGCAGGGGAGCAGGTGGGGTGGGTTCATTGGGAGGATTTGAGATGCGACGTTGCTTGCTGGAGTAAAAGGGAAGCAGAGGTGAAAAAAATAAAAATAGGTTTTCTGTATCGACACAAGCACTGCTTCCCCCTAATGTTCTGTTTGGAATTGATAAAAGCTACCATACTGCCTCTACTTGACTACTGTGACATTGTGTATAAATCAGCACCAAGTACTGTACTGAAGAAGCTTGATTCCATCTATCACTCGGCCTTAAGATTTGCATTGAACTGCCCATATAGGACTCACCACTGTGATCTCTACATTGGGTCAAACTTAACATCTCTTAATGTTCGACGGCTTGTGCACAAGATCTTTTTTATTCACGATGTACTTACAAAAAAAATCCGCAGACTACCTGCTGTATCTCCTCTCTGTTTCAAAGAACAAATTTGACCTCAGGTCTTCGCTCATTTGCCTGCTTCACATTCCTTATTGCCGTACAAAAACCGGAGGAAGAGCCTTTGATATTGATGCCCCCAGGGTCTGGAATGCTATTGCCAATAAACGGCAACTTGAATCACTACCTAGCTGCCACTGCTATTCAGTGGCCTAAAATATAGCTCTAGGGTTTGGTGTTATAATTTATTTATGTAGTTTATTGTTAAAAATTCGGTCACAGTCCCTATGATTACTGTTACATTGCATGTATGGCTTTTATTTTGGTGATTTCGAAAAGTTTTCTTGGTTTGGCCATGTTTTTGTTTATTGTAGTACGGAGTTAGACTGATGGCCTAAATCTTAGTTGTCTTGTGGTTGTTGTTGTTTGACTTGCATCCCACTGGGATATTTGCACACAGCGTTGGTGTACGGTGCTATTTCAGAAATATTTTGATGTTTTTTTCCTGGATTTTCTGTTTACACAGTCACATAATCACTTTAAGATGTTTTCTTGTTCATGTTTTTGTTTTTTGTTTGTTGCGGTTGCACCCGATTCAAGAGCCGAATGGCTCACAGGGCTATACCAAATAAATGGAAATGGAACTATGGAAGAAGCGTGAGGCAGCATGGAGCAGCACACCCATACCGTCAATACAGGACTTAAACAAAAAACACTTTTAAATAATACATTTGCAGAAAACTAAATTATTACACGCAGATCTACTTTGGCCAATAGCCAAAAACCGGAGATACGTTTGAATTGCCTCCTGCTAGAATCCTGGACACGAGAGCGGACTCCTGAACTGTCAGCATCTTAAGCGGAGAGGTCACTGCCCCACATGATGCTGTCGTCCAACCACTGGGAGGCACTCGGGCACGATCACACCCCCACATTCACAGATAATGAAGGCACTGACTCAATTATACATTTCCTCGAGATCAGTTTCATCATTAGACCGTGCACGTGACCATCCTTCACAGTCGTGCAATGCCACAAAAGTCGTCCAACGTCTACGGCTGAGCCTATCTCATCGCTCATCCTCTCAGATGGGGTCATCCCTTCTAGCTATGATGTGTCCTGCCCTGGACAACTTATTTATCTTAAACTTCACAAAGCGATGTTTCAAGCTTGCATGTGTTCCCCGATCCTGTGCTCCGCGTGTTTCTGCCTCTTGGAGATCGCCAGTGGTGGGTTTCGTGATATCCACTGCTCGGTTTTATCATCACCAGTTGGAGTTCGAGAGCAAGGCAAATGCGTTGTTTACATCGCTGTGGTTCAGGGATCACGCTGTGCACCGAGGCACGCTGGACTTTAATCAGAGGCCTAAGTTCAATACCGGCACGGCGATAACGTGAGTGGTAAATGGTATCTCGCCGGCCTGGCTCCCCCACAATCGTCCCCTTCATTGGCCTGCACTCAGCAGGGTGGCCAGCTATGGGCAAGCAGCCATCATGACTGACAGCGCGGGATATACGGATGGAAATGCGCCTATTTCGCGTAGCTCGTGAGCGAGACGCACGTGATGACACGGAGAGTGGGAGGGGAGTCCCGTGTCGCGCGCGTGAGAGTGGGAGGGGAGTTCCGTGTCGCGCGCGTGAGAGTGGGAGGGGAGTTCCGTGTCGCGCGCGTGAGAGTGGGAGGTGAGTCCCGTGTCGCGCGCGTGAGAGCGTCGGAGCTGAGCGGGAGGAGGAAGAGGGCCCCGTGGGTGTCGCGCGCGTGAGAGTGGGAGGGGAATTCCGTGTCGCGCGCGTGAGAGCGTCGGCGGCGGTGGTGGCTGTGCGGGGTGAGGTTTGCCTGCACGAAGCAGCAGGTGAGGCGAGCTACGGTTGCTGTGAGCGTGGCCGCTGGTGAGCACGGGTGAGTGGATGGAAGATGCTCCTTCGGTGAAACTTGTCACCTGATTGATATCGCTAGACGGTGACGAAGTGCGCGTGAACGTTTTACCCCGGGGCGTTTTCTTTAACCGGACATGTGCAGAGAGACGGAGATGTGGAGTCGCCCGTGCTGTCTGTGCCGCTGCTGCTGCTCGCTGTGGCTCTGTGCAGCAGCAGCAGGCGCCGCGGGCTGGGCCATTGCAGTGGCACCGCGGGCGCTGGCAGTGAATATGAAAGTGGAGTTGTGGAGTTGTGGCGTCCGGGGTGATTGACCACCATCGCACTGCGCTGCTGCATTGTAGCATCAGCATGAGAGTGTTTTAGTGTGTGCGGAGTGAGAGTGTTTTAGTGTGTGCGGAGTGAGAGTGTTTTAGTGTGTGCGGAGTGAGAGTGTTTTAGTGTGTGCGGAGTGAGAGTGTTTTAGTGTGTGCGGAGTGAGAGTGTTTTAGTGTGTGCGGAGTGAGAGTGTTTTAGTGTGTGCGGAGTGAGAGTGTTTTAGTGTGTGCGGAGTGAGAGTGTTTTAGTGTGTGCGGAGTGAGAGTGTTTTAGTGTGTGCGGAGTGAGAGTGTTTTAGTGTGTGCGGAGTGAGAGTGTTTTAGTGTGTGCGGAGTGAGAGTGTTTTAGTGTGTGCGGAGTGAGAGTGTTTTAGTCTGTGCGGAGTGAGAGTGTTTTAGTGTGTGCGGAGCGAGAGTGTTTTAGTCTGTGCGGAGTGAGAGTGTTTTAGTCTGTGCGGAGTAAGAGTGTTTTAGTGTGTGCGGAGCGAGAGTGTTTTAGTCTGTGCGGAGTGAGAGTGTTTTAGTCTGTGCGGAGTGAGAGTGTTTTAGTCTGTGCGGAGTGAGAGTGTTTTAGTGTGTGCGGAGTGAGAGTGTTTTAGTCTGTGCGGAGTGAGAGTGTTTTAGTCTGTGCGGAGTGAGAGTGTTTTAGTCTGTGCGGAGTGAGAGTGTTTTAGTCTGTGCGGAGTGAGAGTGTTTTAGTCTGTGCGGAGTGAGAGTGTTTTAGTGTGTGCGGAGTGAGAGTGTTTTAGTCTGTGCGGAGTGAGAGTGTTTTAGTGTGTGCGGAGTGAGAGTGTTTTAGTCTGTGTGGAGTGAGAGTGTTTTAGTCTGTGCGGAGTGAGAGTGTTTTAGTGTGTGCGGAGTGAGAGTGTTTTAGTCTGTGCGGAGTGAGAGTGTTTTAGTGTGTGCGGAGTGAGAGTGTTTTAGTGTGTGCGGAGTGAGAGTGTTTTAGTGTGTGCGGAGTGAGAGTGTTTTAGTGTGTGCGGAGTGAGAGTGTTTTAGTCTGTGCGGAGTGAGAGTGTTTTAGTGTGTGCGGAGTGAGAGTGTTTTAGTGTGTGCGGAGTGAGAGTGTTTTAGTCTGTGCGGAGTGAGAGTGTTTTAGTCTGTGCGGAGTGAGAGTGTTTTAGTCTGTGCGGAGTGAGAGTGTTTTAGTGTGTGCGGAGTGAGAGTGTTTTAGTGTGTGCGGAGTGAGAGTGTTTTAGTGTGTGCGGAGTGAGAGTGTTTTAGTCTGTGCGGAGTGAGAGTATTTTAGTCTGTGCGGAGTGAGAGTGTTTTAGTCTGTGCGGAGTGAGAGTGTTTTAGTCTGTGCGGAGTGAGAGTGTTTTAGTCTGTGCGGAGTGAGAGTGTTTTAGTGTGTGCGGAGTGAGAGTGTTTTAGTCTGTGCGGAGTGAGAGAGTTTTCGTCTGTGCGGAGTGAGAGTGTTTTAGTCTGTGCGGAGTGAGAGTGTTTAGTCTGTGCGGAGTGAGAGTGTTTTAGTCTGTGCGGAGTGAGAGTGTTTTAGTGTGTGCGGAGTGAGAGTGTTTTAGTCTGTGCGGAGTGAGAGTGTTTTAGTCTGTGCGGAGTGAGAGTGTTTTAGTCTGTGCGGAGTGAGAGTGTTTTAGTGTGTGCGGAGTGAGAGTGTTTTAGTGTGTGCGGAGTGAGAGTGTTTTAGTCTGTGCGGAGTGAGAGTGTTTTAGTGTGTGCGGAGCGAGAGTGTTTTAGTCTGTGCGGAGTGAGAGTGTTTTAGTGTGTGCGGAGTGAGAGTGTTTTAGTGTGTGCGGAGTGAGAGTGTTTTAGTGTGTGCGGAGCGAGAGTGTTTTAGTCTGTGCGGAGTGAGAGTGTTTTAGTCTGTGCGGTGTGAGAGTGTTTTAGTGTGTGCGGAGTGAGAGTGTTTTAGTCTGTGCGGTGTGAGAGTGTTTTAGTCTGTGCGGATGTTCTCTGCCTGTTCTGTTTGAGTTTCATCCGGACCGTGTCATCTGGTTTCCTCCTACAAGACAAGAAAACCCCACACTGTAAACAGCATTGGCTGAACAACCACTGCTGAAAGATTACCTAAAAATCACTCGATTGGCATTAAACATAGAAACGACATCAAAAAACTTGACAGGACCCTCCTGAGGAGGGGTCTTGAGACTCGGCGAGACTTGCCTGGTTAAACAAGCGAAGTGATAAATAACCACGATAGCTGTGGTTTAACTGGTTGTCTCTTTGTTCATGGGGAGCGGTGGCGGAGCGATCAGCGTACCGCGACAGGAACCCGGCCACCCGAGTTCGCTTCCCGTCCACGATTATCCGAGCTGGGCCTTCCCTAGATCGACTCAGCCTCAAACGAGTACCTGGTGCGGTGTGTAAACATCGCCATCAGGGAGACAAAGGCGGCCGAGCGTGGCGCTGGCCACACCCACCCCCTCGTGGGCCGTGCCGGCCTTCATCGGTGCTCGCTAACAGCACTTGCCCCAACAGTCTATTAAAGCTATACGGGGGATCTTTGTCTTTGTCCACGACGTCTCGAGACAGAAGCAGCACCTCTGCTGCCATGCGAGCGACGTCCAATCGCAGGGCCGCCGCCGTCGTGATCGAGCTGGACACCATGGCACTCGCCCCAATTTCCAGATACCGTTCCTGTACGGTACTAGAGGAGCATAGACGAGCGATATGTGAACCGGTTATGATGATACACCACCCACTCAACTTCAGCCAACTCAGGTTGACCAGCGTGGTGAAGTATGGTTACACAACCCCAATGACCAACAGGGTTTGGGGGAGGAGACCTTCATCAAACCGTAGCTTTTGTCTAGCTTCTGAATCTGATCCCCGATGCTTAATCGAGCATCGCACATTGGACGAGTTTCACTCGGGAGTGTCTCTGTTGACAGGCGTGACGAGAATGGAGCACTCTTCGGAAAGTGGCTCGCCCTGTTCCATCTGCGAAAACGTTTCCACGAACGCAATCCGATTGGACTGCAACCACAACTTCTGCTCCCAATGCACCAAAGGCATTTGCACCACCGACGCGGCCGGCGCGGGCAGCAGCAGCAGCAGCAGCTCGTGCCCTCTGTGCCAGGGCGACGCGAGGGCCCCCCGGCGCGTCGCCCCGGAGGAGGGGATCGTCCACGCCGTCGCTGCCGCCGGCTTGGACGATCGCCCGGGCGGCTCGGGCCACGACGCCGCCGGGTGCCCTGCGCCGGACGCCGGCTCCCTCCCGTCCTGCGACTTCTGCCTCGTGAGTAAGCTGCCGGCCGCCAAGACGTGCCTCACGTGCCTGGCCTCGTACTGCGAGATGCACGTGCGTCCCCACTTGCGCAGCCCGCCGTTCCGGGGACACAACCTGACGGAGCCCGTGCGCGACCTCAGCGCCATCCGCTGCCCCGAGCACGGCAAGGCGCTGGAGCTCTTCTGCCGAGACGACGGCGTCTCGGTGTGCGGCCTGTGCCCTCTCCTGGGGCGGCACAAGCAGCACCGCGTCGTCACGGTCGAGCAGGAGTTGCTCGACAAGAAGGTGAGAGGTGCCAGGACGCGGTTGGCATAAGCCTTCACTTCCAGCGCCTTCAGCGGAGCGGCTGACGAGTCGAGCGTTTGGGAGGGGCGGTTGCACCAGGCCGGTGTGCTACAAGGGCCTGGGCTTGGGTTTTCTTGTTCCTTCCCCACACCTCGAATTAGCACGGTTGGCTGCGCTCGGTGTGAAAGCAGTTCAACGTACGTACGTACATGCCTGTCCTGAGATTGCCCAGGATCGTCCTCGTTTTGAGGTGGCTCTTCTGAGACATCTGTTTCATCTCTCCTGGACCTTAAAAGTCCAAAGATTTTATTTAATTTTAAAAACAGTTGCTGAGCAGAGGCCCAAATGTCGAGTGAGATATGTAATAATAAAATAGTAATGTAGAACTCCCCTCTTACAGTATTCTCACCATGATGTGCCCCAGATATGTTTACACATCAGAGGTGGAAAATCTAGCCCAGGTGCGGGGCTACAAAGAGGGGGATAATGGACAGAGGGGTTGCCCCAAATCATTCCTTGTAACAGGGCCCACGACAACCTCGCCACGCCACTGAATGCACTGATGGCTACACCCACCCTGCTCAAGGTCCTCTTCTATGGCTTAAAACCATTGGGGGACCTGGGGAGTTGATGACAGCTCTAGAGTCTGGATGGGACCCTCAGAGGTTGTGTGCATTAGCTATAAACATGGCCTGAGTCTGATCCCCGGCCATGGCACCCCCGATTAACACGGTTGTCTACGTATGGTGTGAAAGAAGTTCAACATACATACATTGGTGGCAAGTAATATTTAAATTTATTCTGGGCTTCTGTTCTGCACCAACCTGTACCAACCTGCACTTAGCAGTGTGCTTAAGTGTGGTCAAACAAGCACACAGATCAGCGATAGCTTCAGTCAGCAGCAGTTTGACAAAGGGAAGAAATCTAAATGTATTTATCCAGGAATTCCTCACTCTCTTTTTCATCGAATGTCATCATCACCTGCAAGGGAGTAACGCTGAAAGGTCAACACGGAGCTCGCAAATCCACTTGCTCGACTTTCATCTCTGCCCAGTGAGCTTGTGTATTTCACAAATTTCTCTGTGATCCATCACCCCTTGCCTCTGGAGCGCTCGATCGCAGGTGTGCGCCACCACACCTGGCTCACATCCTCCCCGTCCTGTGTCGGGGCATGGCTCCAAAGTTTGTTTTGTCCTTCACCCCAAATCATATCCCCGTGGAGCCTCAGAGTTCCCATCAAGCAGCCTCTGGTCCAAACAGTAGGGGACGGAAATATCTCAGAGAGTTGTGTTCATCGCATAACGGTCAAACCGATACTTTCAACTTCTTAAGACTTGACTTTAACGAAATAAAGTGCAGAACCAAATTAAATGTGTTACAAAAAACAACAACCGTGCAATCATTGATGAACGGGCGGAGGGCATCCCCTCTTCACTACACTCGAGAATGTGGTTTTAATCACAGGAGGCAGCCGCTCTGATGCTAAGCCGGGACCTCAGCGGTACCAAATCAGTGCTGTAATGTTTGAGCCGCCTGGCCAGCTATGAGGGCGCCGTAGTTAATTAACAAGTTGCTGCATTCAACCCGTGACTGTTGCTGCGTTTGTGTCTCTATTCTAGAAATCGCTGCAAACCAAATTGACGTTTCTGGATGAGACTTCCCACAGGAAAGAGGAGAGCATTTCTCAATTGAAGGAGATCACAACTGGAATTAACGTAAGAGTGCACCCCCTGTTACAGGAGTGTCGATATCTGCTGTCGTATGTACAAGTTACAAAATAAATCACGTGTGCATACAGGCCTGTGGCCATGTTATGAAGTCTTTCTTCCAATTTAAATCGAGTGCTTGTGATCTATAGATGGTAACAGCAAATTACACAACCTCGTTTCCTCTTGTTTAAGAGAAACCATAAGTCTCCCATTGTTGTGATTATGCTTTGGCTAAACTCTGGAAGTTAGAGTACATTCCGTAGAGCTCTGTGTTCCCACATGCGGTAGCTATATACTGTACTTCCGTAGGGTTAGTATATTGGAAATATAACCAAAAATATATATTGCTGAATTCTACCACGTTTAAAACAAATACGGTAACATGCTAAGCTGATGTTTTTATATATATAACTACGCTGTCCTCCCAAGTAAATTCTAGTTGTGTCATCGCTGTCGCGTCGTGAGACAAGGCGTCCACTTGGAGATCTCGCAAAGCGGAGAGTTAGAGCAGCTCTTCCCAACTGGTGTGCCGCGGTAGACCGGTATGCCGTAGGAGACGGGTGTGCTGCGGAAAAGTCCTTGGTGTGCCGCGGTATTTTCGGAATGATAGTAAAGAAAAGAACCTCATCACTGTAGTTCAGAACGGACGAAGTCTCCTTCGTGCCGTTCAGTGGCCGATCCGACCCCCACTCCCGCACCTCCCACCCTCCCCTCTCTGTTGGTGGCGCGTGTGCAATCCAGCAGCAGCAGCAGACAGCCGTCAGCCCCAACCCCCGGCCCTCTCAACTCCGTCGCCGTGGAATGAGCAGGGTTGAGAAGCGGAGCGTCAGGGGATTAGAAGCACGCCCTGAGTTTGGCCCTCAGAGCAGGGAGAGAACACAGCCACCACACAGAGATGCGCCCGAGTCGGAAATACAACCCAGGAACTTCTTCTTGTGAGGCACGAGTATCAGCACTGCACCACTCTGCTGTCCTGAAACTATAATCGTGGCTGTGTGTGTATGTGTCTTTATCTGTAGGTGTCGTGTGAAGGCTTCCACGGTAAGCTGTTAGTGCAGTTTCAAGGCCTGCAGAGGGTACTGGAGGACTATGAGAGATGCACCATGAAGGCTGTTGACATGGAGAAGCAAATAACCCAATTAAGAGTTGACAAGGAGATCAAGAAACTGACGGCACAAAATGCAGAAATATCCGAACTACGGAATAGGATGTTGAATGCGCTGGCAAGCATCAACATTTGGAATCTGGCCAGCATCGAGGTACGTCAAAGTGAACAACTTGAACTTCACAGCAACTTTTACCTGTGTGGTCATGAATACGTCCAACACTTTAGTAAAACAAACATGAACTAACCTTGTAAATAAACACAAAATGAAATTTTCAAATTCACCAAGTATAAATAAAAAAAATCTATAAATTTAACAATCTCAATATGGAAGCTCAGTTACCCTTTTGTTTCTCAAGTCTGCTTGAGTTGAATCTAGTATCAACTTGAATTAAAAAAATGTTCAGCCATGTGACAATCCACTGCTGGATGAAGTCATCCCTAGGCCATGGCGTTTACGGGGTGATTGACCATACTTGACCATCAGTGCGGATTCATGAAGGGGACGTTTCAGGGCCCGTACAGAAATCACATGCTACTGATCATAACCATGGCCAGAAATCACATGCCACTGATCCTAACCATGGCCAGAAATCACATGCCACTGAGCCGAACCATGGACAGAAATCGACCTCTGTTCACTGGGTTCATAATGTTGGTGGTTTTTGTTATTTTTATTATTAACATGGACAATGATGAGGAAAATAGAACCGAATGTGAAACGATTCGTGTCACCGTGCAGGACTTTAGCGACGCGATGCCCCCGGAAGCCGAGGATCTGGAGGTGCAGCGTTTCTCCCTGGAGAGTGTGAAGCTGCAGAAGATTCTGGAGGCGGTGGATCACTTGGAGGCGTTTTGTGGGGACCACGTCAGCCACCCCAGCCACGGACAGAGACACCCATCCAGCAGAGGTCTGCGGCAGTGCAAATGCTGAAATCACTAGGTTCTTATTAACTTGTATTCTTGGTTCTTTTGGTAAAGTCACATAGAAGGGAAACAATAAAATAATAAAAATATTAAACAATAAAATTATCACGACGTTTCGACTGCAACACAAGCAATCATCATCAGGTGTGAAACCCACAGCAGTCGAAACTTTGTGAGAATGTTATTGTTTTATATTTTTATTATTTTATTATTTCTCTTCTACTTGACTTTCCCGAAAGAACCAAGAATATGAATCCCTGCAGTCACGAAAGCTTTAAATCAAAATCTTATTAACTTGTTAAACGATTCCATTGAATTATTGACCTTGCCATTGTGATCAGGAAATGCAGACGTGAGAGTTTAGCCTTTCTCTTCAAATAAATGTAAAATCCTTAAACGGGATGAAATTCACGGGGATTATTGGTCCATTAGGTTGGTGTTCCCAGGAAACTGGGAAATTTTTCACTCGCAGAATTGCCTGAGTGGCATTACTTTAAGAGGCTGGTTTTGAAAATACTTTACGAAGTATTTTTACTGCGACAGAAATTAACAGAGCAAAGCCGGAGTATGTGTGCGATCAGAGTATACTTCAAACCAGCTGGGATTGGAACCAGACTAAACATGGCTGAGTTTGTTTGGACACCTAACCCGCACCCCAAGTTTAATATATCTCCAGAAATGTTTGTGTGGCCAACCAGGAATTGCGTGACGTTAATGCTCTGCGTTGTGTCGTGCAGAGCCGCAAGCAAGTTCGGCGCAGGAGGTGCCCGAGTGCGGTAAGCGCTACCCCTGCATCTCCTCCACCGTCACGAAGCGCACAGTGGACATTAAGAAGCCTTTTCATACGCACAGGCATTGAGCGAACGCAGCGGCGGGAAGGTGACACCTTACAACTGTCGATTGTTTCTTGACAGCTCAAGCGTCCTCGCGTAAACCGGCACGGACGATGAGGCACGGCCATGGGGCACGTCCGACCAGGGTAGTGGTGGGAAGAGCTCATTCGACCGGCGACTGCGAGCCGCCCGCCGCCGCTGCCGCCGCCGCCACCACCAACCGACAGAGATACCTGCAGTGTGAGAGACCCCATTGATTCCCCTGCCGCTCCTTCGTAGAGTTACGGACGTGATTGGCGCAGGGCTCCATTGTGGGCAGCAGAGGGCAGTGCAAGAAAAACAATCGTCGTTGTATAGTACTCTTCTCTACTCCAAAACAACCTCGATGCTCCCCCCACGCCTTCCCCAACCGTGAAACGGCCCTGGGTCCCCTCCGCCCCCAACCCTTTATCAATCTGCACTCACCAACGTCGTGAAATATGGTCAAATTAGGCCCCGGCAAGGTACGGTAATTTACCCTTTTCACGGGGTAAAAGGGTAAAGGTGTCGACCATGCCAAGGAGTAACGTAAAGGGTAGGGTAAAGGTAGCGCGAAGTATTACCTGGTAAACACCTTGTTTACCGCTCGCTAATAGCTCCGTGGCGCAGTCCGTGGCCTCCATCTTTAATTGTAATCATTGATGTGGGACCAGATGGAGACGGACCACGTTCTTGAGGTAGAGGATGAGGTCGAGGATGCCAGCAACGGCATTTCCGGGGCCGTTGCGAACAGCAATCGAACGAGGCAGCAGCATGCGTTCCCGTGGGAGGACACTCACGATTGGATGGAGGGTGATCCCCATGTGCGGCAAGGAAAGCGGCAGTGCGTGCACTGCCACGAGTGGTTTTCCTCCCACACGAACGCGTCGGGGTGGAAAGCCCACCTCAAGAAGCACAACGTGCTCGCCCCAGGCAGCGAGGTCGGGACGTCGGCGTCGGCGAGCCGCCTAATGCGGCAAACGCTCAGCCGGCCAGCGATCCCGGATCGCCTCCTGGTAAAGTTTGAGAACGTGGTGGTTGGATTTGTTATCCAAGGTGCAATCTCTTTGCGAGCCGCCGGCAACGACAAGTTCAAGACCTTGGTCCACACATTGACGCAGGGATACGGGGGCCCGTCGACCCGCACCATCATTCACAGGATTGTGGAGCATCACGCCATCATGCTGCCCATCGTCGGGGCGTTCTTCTCCAACCTGGACGTCGCTATCTCGCTCACCATCGACTGGTGGTCGAACCGCAACCTGAAGGGATTTTGGATGGTCACGGTGCACTGAATCGACACCAAATCTGGTGCGTTGAAATTCATGCTGCCGACGATCCTCAATGTGCAGTCCTGAAGGGGTGTTGGCAAGCGCATTGGCACCGCTCTGTTTGAGCACCTCCAAAGCCTCGGGCACAATGTCTCGATCAAGCTGTTCGTTGTCACCAGCGACAATGGCTCCGATGCGATCAGTGCTGTCAAGACTTTGTTCGCCATGGTCAGCGTGGACGCCAGATATGAGCAGTTGCAGGCTTGCCACCATATTCGCTGCGTGGATCATTCGGTCCAGATCGGCGTCGTCCAAGTTCTCAAACTGATCAAGTCGACCAAAGCCGAACTGCGCGAGGCGCTCGTCAATATCACGCGCAGCAAGGTCGTCCGGCAGTCGTACCGCTGCGAGGCCGAGATCGCCAAGCTCGCCAGCAAGGAGCCGACGCACCAGGACTCCCCGACCAGGTGGAATTCGACGTTTTACCTGGGCGACGACGCCATCAAAAAGCGTGTCCCATTGGACATTATCATGGCGCACTTCCAGGATGTGATCGGCGTCGGTGCTTTCTCTGAACTGCAGTGGGCAAACATCGAGGGCGTGACAGCATTCCTGCGAATGCCGCGCCAGGTCATGACCTCAGTGTCGGTGGACCGCAAGTCGACATTGGATCTCGTGCCGGTGACGATGGAGCACCTGGTCCGTCATTGCGATCGCGGTGAAGCCGTTCTTAGAGCGCTCGATGAGTCCTTGACCGCGACAGGGACGAAGGCCGAGCTGGTGCGGTACCGCACCAGCCATTGTGGCATCCTACTTGAATCCACAGCTGCCGACAACGACAGACCAAGACGAGCTGGCTACACTGAAGGCCATGATCCGCTCTGTCCTGCGGCATCGCTACTCGGACGTGCTCACGATCCCGCCGACGGCAGTCGCTGCCCACATGGAGGAGCGGTCGCTGGTCAGTGCCCTGTTCAGCAACGTCGGCAGCTCCATCGACGACGGCGATGAACTCGATCGTTTTCTGAGCACGGACGTCACGACCGCCAGCGCCTTCATTGACGTAATGCAGTGGTGGTCTCCCAGCAAAGAGCTGCTCCCTGTCCACTGCAAGATGGCCTGCGACTGCTTGGGAGCGCCGGCGACGTCAACTCCCTGCGAATGTGCGAATAGCGGAGCCGGGCGAGAGTTCACGCGCGTTCGCCAGTCGCTGTCGTCGATGCTCTTCATCCAGTCCATGTGCTTGCGCTCGTGGATCGAGCCGGAGCGGCGCAGGATCTTATTGCCCGTCGTTCGTCCGAGGACGATGACAATGACGAACTTGATCAGGTTGTTGATGAGATTGTCATCGACCAAGATGACTGGGACGAGGAGGTTATGGAGGACGGTGTTGTCGACAGCCTCAACGCCCGATTCGAGAGTATTCAATATGAATAAAGCGCTCTACCTCGCATTTACCTGTTATAAAACTTTTTAATGTGTAGTACTCCGGTAATTACCCTGTAATCGGGTAATTTGTATGGGGTAAGGGTAAAAGGTAGGGTAAAGGTAGGCTCGTTGCTTTTACCTTTTACCTTGCCGCGGACTAGGTCAAAGAACCGGCGCAACCTGCGCGACTTGGGGAGGCCCTCATCCAGGAGTGGATTTAAAGGAAGGCCGTGCGTGTTGCTGCTGCGTGTACCGAACGGCGTGTTGTAGTACACCTCCGGGCTGTCCGACGCGCTGCCAGTTTGAGGTTTCGTGCATGAGCCGAGGCAGACGTCACGGTGGCCGTGGGCCGTGCCGGAGTGAGTTGGCGGTGCCATCACTGTCGTTGTCGAGTTACGGCATCACCACGGCGATGGCTGCCAGGCTGTGCCCGTGAGTCTGGTTCCTCACGTCGCGTACGAAGCCTCAATCTAGCGCCAGCGCAGGACACACGGCCTCGGTGAGGAGCTGAACGATGCTCGAGCTGTTGGTCTCATCTTCCTTTTCGCTTGCCACCCTTCACATGTTTACGTTAGTATGGGACTGCATGTCAAAAAGCTACACAAATCAGTGAGATGCATTTACCACATGCAAATATAGGCGTATAGGTACTGTATTATACATGAGTCAGTCTGAAGCAGACGAGAAGCGGATGGTCTCAATCCTGGAATTGAACAGGGGCAGGAAGTCGAGAGCAGGGAATGGCTGAGGAAACGGAATTACAGACCTCGCGGTCAGCACAGGAAAAGGAGCAACCTCCCAATGAGCACAGTGGGTCTACAGTGCTAATATGCAGCTTCTGCTGCATTGTGTTTGTGATAACTGATTACGTTTTGGGGTGCGGTACAATCCCCGTAGAGCAGCGTTGTTCATTGCAAAGCCCACGGGCCACTGGCGGCCCCTGGGAGCTTTTAGTGCGGCCCTCGACAATACACAAATGTGAAAACACCCTCGTTTATCGTGCTGTCAAACCCAATGGTTTCAAATGTGTGGTGGCCCTTACACCGATGATATGTTGTCGCCGAAAGTGAAGAACGCTGCCGTGATGTAATGACTATCGATATTCCATGCCACCCCCCCCCCCCCTCCTGCAGTCATCACGGAGGTGAAGCTGAACCCGCGGACTGCTCACCCCAACCTGACGGTCACCCCCGACAACAAGATGGCGTCGTGCGGCCGCTTCCGCTGGTTCTGCGACCGCGCAGCCGAGCGCTTCGAGAGCGTCATGCAGGTTCTGTGCGCCCAGGGGTTCTTCTCGGGGCGCCACTACTGGGAGGTGGACGTGCGCGGCGCCGGCCGGGGCTGGTGGGTGGGCGCCGCGTACGGCTCCATGAGCCGCAAGGGCAGCGACGACGCCTGCAGCCTGGGCCGCAACAAGATGTCCTGGTGCCTCAAGCGCTTCGACGTGGAGTACTGGTGCTTCCACGACAACCAGAGGGTGCCCCTCGTCATCGACGAGGAACCGCAGAGGGTCGGAGTCTTCCTGGACTTTGAAGAGGGGATTCTGTCCTTCCACATTGTTTTTCCTCAGATGATTCCCCTCTATTCTTTTAAAACCAAGTTCACAGATGTTGTCTATCCTGCCTTCAGGCTATGGGAGGGGTCCGTTAAGCTTCCTGTGAGTCTCTAATAATCACCATTATAATCATCAGCCGGGTTCCATCCACTGCCGGACGAAGGCCTTCCCAAGCCGTCGCCATCTCTCACGGCCTTGCGATGCGACCGAGCTCCTGCGCGTGAGATGATCCCATTGCTCCGTCTCCGTGGTGGACGCTCTTCTGGGGCAAGCTCCCTTCTTTGGTTGCCGCTCTGCCGTCAGTCTCGACCCACTCCTCTCGAGTCATCGTATCTGCAGCAGCACGACCATAGCGCTAACTGACCAGTGGTAGAACCGTGTTCTTGTTCGTACAGATGACCCCTTTTCAGTGCCGCATTAGGGCAATGGCACTTCTTTCGCCTTTGTTTTCAATTTATACCAATGCCAAGCTAAAAGGGAAAAAGTATTGCGAGCTTCTTTGTGCCATGGCTGGTCGTTGCTCAGGGGCCTGATCCCCGTGGCCGCCGTGTGACTTGCTCCCCATGTGACTGGCTCCCCATGTGACTTGCTCCCCATGTGACTGGCTCCCCATGTGACTTGCTCCCCATGTGACTGGCTCCCCATGTGACTGGCTCCCCGTGTGACTTGCTCCCCATGTGACTTGCTCTTCGTGTAACTTGCTCCCCGTGTAACTTGCTCCCCGTGTGACTGGTTCCCCATGTGACTGGCTCCCCATGTGACTTGCTCCCCGTGTGACTGGCTCCCCATGTGACTGGCTCCCCATGTGACTTGCTCCCCATGTGACTTGCTCCCCATGTGACTGGCTCCCCATGTGACTTGCTCCCCATGTGACTGGCTCCCCATGTGACTGGCTCCCCATGTGACTTGCTCCCCATGTGACTGGCTCCCCATGTGACTTGCTCCCCATGTGACTGGCTCCCCATGTGACTTGCTCCCCATGTGACTGGCTCCCCATGTGACTTGCTCCCCATGTGACTGGCTCCCCGTGTGACTTGCTCCCCATGTGACTTGCTCTTCGTGTAACTTGCTCCCCGTGTAACTGGTTCCCCATGTGACTGGCTCCCCATGTGACTTGCTCCCCATGTGACTTGCTCCCCGTGTGACTGGTTCCCCATGTGACTGGCTCCCCATGTGACTTGCTCCCCGTGTGACTGACTCCCCATGTAACTGGTTCCCCTGTGACTTGCTCCCCGTGTGACTTGCTCCCCGTGTGACTGGCTCCCCATGTGACTGACTCCCCGTGTGACTGACTCCCCATGTAACTGGTTCCCCTGTGACTTGCTCCCCGTGTGACTTGCTCTTCGTGTGACTTGCTCCCCATGTGACTTGCTCCCCGTGTAACTGGCTCCCCATGTGACTTGCTCCCCATGTGACTGGCTCCCCATGTGACTTGCTCCCCGTGTGACTTGCTCCCCGTGTGACTTGCTCCCCATGTGACTTGCTCCCCATGTGACTGGCTCCCCATGTGACTTGCTCCCCGTGTGACTTGCTCCCCGTGTGACTTGCTCCCCGTGTAACTTGCTCCCCATGTGACTTGCTCCCCGTGTAACTTGCTCCCCATGTGACTTGCTCCCCATGTGACTGGCTCCCCATGTGACTTGCTCCCCGTGTGACTTGCTCCCCGTGTGACTTGCTCCCCATGTGACTTGCTCCCCGTGTGACTTGCTCCCCATGTGACTGGCTCCCCATGTGACTGGCTCCCCATGTGACTGGCTCCCCATGTGACTTGCTCCCCGTGTAACTGGCTCCCCATGTGACTTGCTCCCCGTGTGACTGGCTCCCCGTGTGACTTGCTCCCCGTGTGACTTGCTCCCCATGTGACTTGCTCTTCGTGTGACTGGCTCCCCATGTGACTTGCTCTTCGTGTGACTGACTCCCCATGTGACCGACTCCCCGTGACTGACTCCCCGTGTGACTGGCTCCCCATGTGACTGACTCCCCGTGTGACTTGCTCTTCGTGTGACTTGCTCCCCATGTGACTGGCTCCCCATGTGACTTGCTCCCCGTGTGACTGACTCCCCATGTGACTTGCTCCCCATGTGACTTGCTCCCCGTGTGACTGGCTCCCCGTGTGACTTGCTCCCCGTGTGACTTGCTCCCTGTGTGACTTGCTCCCCATGTGACTGGCTCCCCATGTGACTTGCTCCCCGTGTGACTTGCTCTTCGTGTGACTTGCTCCCCATGTGACTGACTCCCCATGTGACTTGCTCCCCGTGTGACTGACTCCCCATGTGACTTGCTCCCCGTGTGACTTGCTCCCCGTGTGACTGGCTCCCCGTGTGACTTGCTCCCCGTGTGACTTGCTCCCTGTGTGACTTGCTCTTCGTGTGACTTGCTCTTCGTGTGACTGGCTCCCCATGTGACTAACTCCCCGTGTGACTGGCTCCCCGTGTGACTGGCTCCCCGTGTGACTTGCTCCCCGTGTGATTTGCTCCCCGTGTGACTTGCTCTTCGTGTGACTTGCTCTTCGTGTGACTTGCTCTTCGTGTGACTTGCTCCCCGTGTGACTTGCTCCCTGTGTGACTTGCTCCCCATGTGACTGGCTCCCCATGTGACTTGCTCCCCGTGTGACTTGCTCTTCGTGTGACTTGCTCCCCATGTGACTGACTCCCCATGTGACTTGCTCCCCGTGTGACTGACTCCCCATGTGACTTGCTCCCCGTGTGACTTGCTCCCCGTGTGACTTGCTCCCCGTGTGACTTGCTCCCCGTGTGACTTGCTCTTCGTGTGACTTGCTCTTCGTGTGACTTGCTCTTCGTGTGACTGGCTCCCCATGTGACTAACTCCCCGTGTGACTGGCTCCCCGTGTGACTGGCTCCCCGTGTGACTTGCTCCCCGTGTGATTTGCTCCCCGTGTGACTTGCTCTTCGTGTGACTTGCTCTTCGTGTGACTTGCTCCCCGTGTGACTTGCTCCCCGTGTGACTTGCTCCCTGTGTGACTTGCTCTTCGTGTGACTGGCTCCCCGTGTGACTGGCTCCTCGTGTGACTGGCTCCTCGTGTAACTAGCTCTAGTGACGCTCCCAGAAGCGCGTTGGGGTCCGGTGCCATTACTGCAGCCTGCTGACTGTGGACCCCAGACTGCACACTGCTGCTGCCCTCCTGCACCTCCAGATGGTGGTCGGCTGCCAGGGCAAATCTTGGAGGTTCGATGCATGTCTCCTGTGCAGCAAGCTGCAGGATCTAGCGGAGGAGAGAATGCATTGGTAGCAAGGAGGTGGCATCAATGGTCGTGGCCATGGTGGCATCTCTTGATGCTGGAACCACCGCTATTTTACGGTTGTCGTGGGGTCCGTGGGCCCCAGTTTAGAACCCCCGAAGTGGGGGTTCCCTAAATGGGAGGAAGGGTGGAGCCCTGACACGCGCCAGAAATGTCATCGGTTGGATACGGTACTCTACTTACCCTCCTGAACAACGGACTCCTCCATTAAAAGCGGATTGGTACGGGCCCAAGGTTACTGAAAGACGAGCTGTTCAATAGCCCTTGATGGCATCTCAGTGCCTAAGAATGGACCGGTTAAAAAACTGGGCGAGTTGAATTTTCATTGTGTGAATTGAAGGTTGTGATATGCTAGCGGTCGTGTGAAGAGGTTTTAATTAAGCTTCGTCCCGAATTGAATGAACAGGATTCACTGGATTGTCTGTTAACCAAAGGGTAAATGTTGCAAAACAAACAAGAATCTGCTGATTGATTGATGTCAAATTCGTGCAATTTTAGCACCAAGCAATGCATGTAGTAATGCTGATGTATCCATGTGCTGGTTTTATTGGAAATATATATTTACGATGTGTCATCTATGAAAGATGACTGAACTATTGTGACAATTTCAGTATTTACTATATGCTGGCTTGTGCAATATTTTGATAAGTAGATATCGTGAATGCGAGCAGCATATGGACAGAAATTGGTTACCATTGCTTCTTTGAGCTCGGACATGTTTGAGTTTAACGTAATATTGACTACAGCACAGTGCGTACATCGCAGCAGAGTGTATCAATGTTAGCGGTGAGTCTGGCTACGGTTTTTTCCATATCAAAATAATTGCGTGCCTTGGTTTTGTTGCAAAAAAAAATCTAATTATATGAATGTGAAAATACTTACCCAAAGTAATCATTCATACTGCCTTCTCGTGGAATAATTCGCAATCAGCTGATGTCCCAAGAAATGGGCAGAGCTGAGAAAAAATTGTGGCTTGGAATTGAAGATGGAATTTTACAATACTGCCATAGAAATAAATGAAATTTGGGAGGATAGCAGCCTGTGAAGTTTTATCTGATTACTCCCACGATTATGGGATTGAATCATCCCACGATCATGCGATTAATCCTATTATGTGATTTCAACCCATGTTTTTCTATTCCACGGGCAGACGCTTTTGACCAGGGAATCCAGTTTCAGGGTTAATCTCTCAAATCAGCAAATTAGAACCCGTCACCAACGCCTCAACATCTAAATTACATTTTATTCATCGGAGGCGTGATTCCACATTTCAGCAGTTACAACACTGGACAGCTCCATGTAATTACAGTGGCACATACTTGCACAAGGGCTGGAAAAAAACACCAATCGTTCACACCTACACCACGCCGGCGGATATCACAGTTTACCGAGTGGGAGATGCACGCGTGCACAGGTGTCCGTATCTACATGGCACGAGTCCATGGCACGTGTAAAGCCAGAAGGGTCACAGAAACGTGAGGAGTCTGAAAAACGCTTCGCTTGCAAAAACTCACGAGTTTACTGTTCCATGTGTAGCGAACTCTGTTATGGAGAGTGCAGATATTGCCATACCAGACATTGCTAGTTTTTGTAATATGTGAACATCTGCTTCGTAAGTGACTCGGGTAATTTAAAATGCGCAGTTAATATTGCAATCATAATTCTCCGAATCATGCCTGCCTGTTTAACAAATCGCCGTGCTCCGTAAACCTGGAGAGCCTGGTAACTACTGTGTACGAGGAGCTTTATCTTAACATAGGACTGGCCAACTACAACTCTCACAAGCTGCACATAACCATCATGTTCTACCAACATGGTCCATTTACTTGTGAAGAGTGATAATGAATTACACATCCCTGTTGATCGACTTATACCAACAAGTGGTGTTTTAGTCCACAGAGGCGAAAACCTTCCCATCTCTTAAAGTAACAGTTATGACCCGAGTCCTCGCCATCCTTCACAAACGTTTCACATCATCGAACATGACCCACACGTATAGCAATCAACGTGAGCTGGGCAGTAAATATCGAACGGGCCGCTTAATTGTTTGACTTGCGAAGCTGGGCTGACGGCTCTGGGGCATGGTGGTGATGAAACCGAGAACCACTGCTCCAGTCCCATCGTGGTTGTGGTGATCACCAAGTGTGTGCCACCATACATGGATTGAGTATATGGCTTGATCACTGCCCCGGCAGCCCTGCCACACCGACAGGGCCATTATTGCACAAGACGACGACCGCTGCATGCAGACCCGTGGAGTGGCGGGTCGCGTGGCTTGACAACATCGACCTCTCGTTCCCCCCCCCCCCCCACGCGGTCACCGTCACGGCTCTCACCCGGCGGTCCGAGCGAGCGTCACCACGCGGTTCAACACGGGCAGCGTTCACTCGTTTCCTGCGCGTGTGGCGTTGGAGACCGCACGGAGGGCCTCGCTCCCACTCCGCGCACAAGACCGTGGTTTCTCTTCATGGCTGCGGCCGGACATTGGAATGGGATATATTCTCATGGGATAGATTCCCATGAGCAAGATTCCCATGAGCAAGATTCCCATGAGCAAGATTCCCATGAGCAAGATTCCCATGAGCAAGATTCCCATGAGCAAGTTTCCCATGAGCAAGATTCCCATGAGCAAGATTCCCATGAGCAAGATTCCCATGAGCAAGATTCCCATGAGCAAGATTCCCATGAGCAAGATTCCCATGAGCAAGATTCCCATGAGCAAGATTCCCATGGAATAGATCCCCACATCAGCCGATAATTGACAATTGGCAGCAAGCAATGCAAATCCCACGTTCATAATCTCAGCGAGCTGCACCGTGACGTCTGTGCAGTGGCTGCGGAAACTCGCTGCCTTTTTACAAACGACAACATTTACACAAATCATGCAAACACAGGCACACTTACAGCAACAGTGGTCAGCACCAGCCACCAAGTCACCGATGGGCGCACGCGACTCTACACCGATCCCTACACATGGAATGCTTCACAACCGATCACTACCCGCTACGGTGCTGTACAAAGACTGATTCGCTAAAGTGACGCAGCTCGTGGAGGTAACGGTGCAGGCGATCGCCACGTTGGGAACCTGTCGGGGTTGCTAGAGGCGTGCGTCTGTTTCTATAGCCCCCCCCCCTCCCATAGCCACTCGTGCGCTTGTTTTTTAACCAATTGCATAGCCGATGCATAATGCCGCGAGCCTTCGATTCCGCGCAGCGTGTCCAGGCATACGAGAGCGTTGCACGCTTTCCGGGATGTCCCGAGCACGCGTAACGACGCAGTTGCCGTGACCGCAAAGAACCGAGTCGCGCCAGCGAGATCCACGGACGGCAATCGATGTCGGCGCGCGCTGGACTCGCGCGTCGCTCTGCACGTGGAGAGCGACGCGCGAGCTGGACTCGCTGCGCTACGGCGGTGGAACATGCAATGTGCTTGGCCACCGTCGTAGCGAGGGGTGGGCGTGGGGAGACCTTTCAACCGCACTCCGTTCACTTATTGTAGAGGCGGAGAGCAGGAACCGACTGGAGCGGGAGTCCACAGGGTCAAGGTTCACCATGCACACGTCCGCGCGCACTTGGGCGAGCACGGTCACAGGGGGCGACGTTGCTACTCATTGTAGTCGACTTCCAATGTGCGTTTTTACTCTCACTCGCAGTCTCCGGCGAGCGATACGTTCAACCCACAGACGAACTGAACACACTTCATGGGTAGACGCAAGCGTCGCTTTCTTGTAAAAGGGGAAGTCAAAGACCGCCACTGACGTTAGAGACTGCGGTGAGCGCAAAGTGTGGCGCTGAAGCGGTCTGACAGACACCACGCCCCAGTGGCAACAGACAACGATCGGTGACTTTGCACGGTACAGGGACGTGACAGGCACCAGCGAAAGCAAAGAAGTTCACTGGCCTCTCTGAAAGCTGCACTCTGGGCCAAGGCCGCCAGACTCGAGAGGAAGCGGCGCATTGTGCTGCTGTGCGTCTCTCCGCTTGGTCGGCTCGCCAGTGACGCCGTTCAGAGTGCCCGCGTCTGCCCACTTGTGACAGGAAATGTGCACTGGTTTTATAATGGGCTCGTAAAAGTGCACCAGTCCCGAGGGGCCCTTTCTTACATTTACCCAAGAATGTCAGTGTGCAACGCGCCTGACGTCACTCCATCAGCCCCCCCTCATTAATAATCATGAACAGGTTACGTCCTCCACATGGACCCGCCCACCATTAATAATCAAGAGCGAGTGACGTCACTCCGCATAGAGAACCTTCATTAATAATCACGAAGAGGCGACGTCTTCCAAATGGACACCCCTCCATTCATAATAATTAGCGGGTGACGTCACTCCACATGGGGGGGCCGAGGCGCCTCCTCCCCCCTCCTCGGCGTCACTTCCAACCCTCACTACAAAGGCAGAACCCTCACGTCATCACGTGATCTCCGTCACGCTGTTGTTGAGACATCAAAGTAAAAAGGACGTCGTGATGAACAAGGGATTAGAACCTTTAAATGAAATAAGTCTTCTTGGTTATTTCGGTAAAGTCACGTAGAATGAGATTAAAACAATAAAACAAAATAAGACAATATTCTCACGACGTTTCGGTCACAACACAAGTGGCCTTCTTCAGGTGACGAAACAAGTCTGTCACTGCGCCCTGACAAATTGCACACGAATTGATGCAATGAATATATATGACGTCACGGTCTGATTTTCCTTTGCAAGTTTCACATTTACTACAATGCACCCGTCCTTGGACGGACTAAAGGCTCGTTTTCCTTACGAGTGGAACAGGAGAATAAAACTAGCGCCACATTTAATTCCTGTTTGCATCTCTTGAACATAAACAAGATGGCAAAACTAACAACATCTCCGTATAATCTTTGGCTCTTTCGGATAAGTCACGTAGATACAAATTAATAAAAAATAATAAACATAAAATAAACAAAACTACTACGTTGCGATCACAACACAAACGATTGTCTTTCCTCCTGATGACGACCGCTTGTGTTGTGATGGAAACGTCGTAGTTTTTTGTTATTTTCTTTCAACCCATCTACGTGACTTTACCGAAAGACCCAAAGATTATCTCCGTAGTGAGCAAGGCTTACATATACAACAAATTAATGTGTAATTTGATGCAACGTTTTGTTAAAATAGTAAAGTGCATGTTGGGTAAAAACTAAGTTTGAAGTGATCATTATGAAATAGGTGAACGTTGGAGATGTTAAAATCACAAAACCGAACAAAATTGACTCCAACTGCTTGTGGATAATAATAATAACAACGATCTAATGCGCCGTACCGCATTCACCATTTTCACGACTTGAGGCTGACCAACTCGCTCGTGGGTTACTGCCAGCGTCGTGGTGGACAATTCCCCGCCAGGTGATCTCTCTCTCCCTGCTGTTACCAATGGAGAGATTTGTGTTTGGATCAGCACATTCAGCACTCGGGTTGCATTGCCAAGGCCTCAACCGCAGAGGGTATTGCTCGCAATTGAAGCAAACCCCCGGCAGCAATAATTAATTCATGTGCTCTTTCCGTGACAAACACCCACATTGAGCTTACTTTGGTAGCCATGGCTATAACATTGGAAGAGCGCCAGCCAACGGACGTTGTAACATGTTACACGTGTGTAACATCAAGTGCAAAATACATGTGCGGTTCACTAACGAAGTGTGCGGCGACGCACGGCAACACGCACCGAGTGTGGACTAGCCAAGCTCCTTTATTGCAGCGACACGGGCCGGCGCTGCGAGCGTCTCTCGAGGCGTCGTGGCCGCACAACCGAGCGGCAACGCCGAGCCACCACCTCCCTCGGGGTTGGAGTCAGGAACAACGCGCGGTGCCCATCTCGGATTTCCACACCGATCCTCGCCGACGAGCGCATATCCATTGTCGGCAGGACAAGTACCGACACGCTGAGACACGTGCACGCTGAGACACGTGCACGCTGAGACACGTGCACGCTGAGACACGTGCACGCTGAGACACGTGCACGCTGAGACACGTGCACGCTGAGACACGTGCACGCTGAGACACGTGCACGCTGAGACACGTGCACGCTGAGACACGTGCACGCTGAGACACGTGCACGCTGAGACACGTGCACGCTGAGACACGTGCACGCTGAGACACGTGCACGCTGAGACACGTGCACGCTGAGACTCGTGCACGCTGAGACACGTGCACGCTGAGACACGTGCACGCTGACCAATGTCCCCTCGCCTGTGGAGCCTGCTTGGTCTCGTGGTTATGCATCTTAGCTCCACACTTTCCCAGCTCGTGCCCCGATATTGAAATGCTATACATTAAACCAAAACATCCGTAAGGGAACTGCATTGGCAGTCGTGGATATATTAGATTTCGCGATATAGATCAGTAACTGTGCAATAGAGCGGGCAGAAGTAATGGGCAAATGCTTAGGGCAATGTCCCTGCCGTTCTACACCAAATAAAGCAACTACCCAACACTTGAGATTATCATCATAATTTTATCATGATGATGAAAATAAGTTTACAGCCTTTTGTTAATCCACTACTGGATGAAGACCTCCCCACATCGTGTAATTGAGGGGGGGGGGTGACTGACCATACTTCACCATGCTGGTCATAGTGGATTTGTGAAGGGGTGCGAGCGATGACTCGCCACCTGTGGGAGCAGCGGCCGGGGCTCATACCCAGGCCAGCGGGTTCGTAGTGCGGTGCGCTAACCGCTGTGCCACTACCCTACCACCTCATGTGTGTTTTTTTATGAGGCAGCAGTAATGATGAATGTGGCAGTCACGTGTGGAGCGGCGGTCTCTCTCGCTGTGCCGTGGTGCGGCCGCAGGGGACGTCGTCGCTTCTGCCACGAGGGGGACAGGCGCGGCTTCCAGCGATTCTGCGTCCACGCGGAACGAGCGAGGGTGGCACTCCAGCATGAGCCGCACTACTCCCTTCCACAGAGGACATTACGAACACGGTCACCACTCGAGTACAATGTACAACAGAGACTTGATTTTTTGGGAAATCACACGGTATAGGATACACATTTTTTTTCATTAAAAAAAATCTAAATGTTTTATCTTCGAATTGAAAACCATGGCACTGGGCACCTGTATAAATTAACAGACTTAAAGAAGCATAAACAAACCCGCGAAATTAGCAGCACTTTTAAATCTAGATATAAAGAAATGTTTTCAAACAGCTTTTTGTGTTTATTTTGTTGCGCTTCCCCCGCACCTGATTATCACGGTTGGCTCCATATGGTGCGAAAGAAGTTCAACATACAACAAAGGGGGAGTGCTGAGTATCGGTGTGTCTGGATTCATCATCAGCCATGGGGAGATGATGATGATGATGAGGCTGGCTGAGGCGCAGGCACTGCACGGACTGCTGCTGTTGCCTCCCGAGACCGTGAGAGTATTGACGCCTCAGGCCAGCCTTGATGATGAATGGTCTCAGAGTTAACGAGGTGAGAAGAGCCCATTTAGAAATTAACGACCATGTTGGCAAGCTCACACGTAATTATGCAGAGTTCTTTAGTGGCAATTATTCATGTTTACAATTTAATTTTGAGGTTAATGTTCAAATTTAGGACTTGCAGGGACAATGACATCAGCTGTGAGCCACAAAGCCACAGTGATCGCGGCACGGCCGACAATCGCTTCAGAGCGCCCTGCAGACACCGCGTGGTGGCATGGGGTGGGGGGCAGAGTCGCCCCCCCCCCTCCCGCCCCACATGACTGCACTGCCCGGCCTCTCACTCATGGAGAGGCCCACGGTGACACCACGAGGCAGAGCCACAGGACGCAGTGGAGACCGAGGTCCAGATGACCGTAGTGCAGGGATCACACGCTAATGCGTAAAGACAAAGATCCCCCGCATAGCCTGTAACAGGCTGTTAGGGCAAGTGCTGTTAGCAAGTATCTTTGTGTTACACACACACTAGAATCTCAAGGCAAGGCGTTTTCTGACATGGAAGAGGGGCGCTTTTGACGTTACTGTAGATGCGTTATGGGGGCATTTTCCACTTAGGATAGAAGAAAAGTGGAAATCCAATATTCATAATTTTATCCGATTTATAATCGGACCAATAATTCTGTCATCGATTACTTGCAAAAATGGGAGAGCCCAGCCCCCTACACGCACGCGCTACCACTCGCCTGCAGCCCTCTCGTGCAGTCGTCCATGATCACCACCAGACAGGTACCGCCTGTGGCGCATCGTGTGGGTATAGCGTCTCTCCGTGCCATGCACCGTAGACTCGGCATGCAAAGGTGATCATCGGGTTTGCCGGCCGCCGTGACGTCTTGCTCTCCTGCCGCGCTCACAGAACCAACGTACTTCCTCAACGCTAGATTTTGCGTCAATTGCCTAAACAAATATAATCGCGTGGGGAGTAGTGGGACAACGGTTCGTGCACCGTGCAAACAGCTGGCGACTTCAATGCACTGCACCAACCGGCATGGTAAAGTATGGTCAAACAAACCTGGTCACTGAAACGGCATAGGGAGGGCCTCATCTAGCAATTGATGTACACATTTCTGAGTTATTTTTGTAATTATAAAAAAATTGAAATAACAAAAACATTATTTATCAATCCAGTAGACGGTTTATATAAAACACAATTCTGGTATAAGGGCAGCATAGTGGCACAGTGGTAACGTTTGTGCCTCACAGCAAGGAGGGCCTGGGTTACATATCTGACTCTGGTGGCTTTCTGCGTGGAGTTTGTGTGTTCTCCCTCGTTTCTACATTGGGTATCCCCCCTCTCTGGGTTCTCTGGTTTCTTTCAATCGCCGAAAATAAACTACACAACGCCACCGGTATTGGTCAAACATCCCAATGCTGAACAATTACCTGCAAATGACTCAATTGGGACCACACACAGCAACATCGCCCCCTACTGTGCAAACTTGGCAGGACCCTCCTGGAGTCTTGAGACTCAGTGAGGCTTTCCTGGGTAAACAAGGACCATAATATTCACAAGTGTAAATAAATAAAGACATCCTTACGTTACACTGATGAGAGGCAGGTGGGGAACGGCTTCTGATACAAGCACACTATTTTGGATATAAGCACACGTGGCCTTGCCACCCGAGGTGTGTGTTTATATCCAGCCTCTACTAAAAACCTCTCAGACGAGTTTTCAATCACGACACAAACACACGGCCGCTAGTTCCACCGAGCCGAGATGTCTTTGGGACCCAGAATGGGAATTCAGAGAAACGCAGAGCACGCGATAAAGAGTTGGATATGCAAGACAACACGAGAGAACGAGCTCCCTGTCAGTCGCACGTGGCATGGTATAATTGTAAACCTGGCGATAGCTTCTCTGCCCGTTAAGCGTTGCATCCCAGACGCGGCAGAGCGACGAAGACTCCGCGCTTCGCACAGCGCCGCACGTGCCACCCAAGCGGCGGCGCGGACATTTTTTTACGTTCGCTTTTAATCCCGGGAAAATAAGACAAGCACTGGTAAACCGAAAATAGTCCATAGGACCTTGCATCCCTCGGAGAGAGCCACCGGTCTACGGAGCGGCCGTACTCCCCGGAGCGGCCGTACTCCCCGGAGCGGCCGTACTCCCCGGAGCGGCCGTACTCCCCGGAGCGGCCGTACTCCCCGGAGCGTCGCCCGTGCCCGGGGAAGGCGTGGCAGGGCCGTTGGCCTCGGGGATGCGCAGCAGCTGCTGCACGAGCCGCTCGCCGAATTGCGCGCGGCCGTAGCGCTGCGCCTGGTAGGCAGGGGACAGCTTGTAGAGGATGTAGGCGTTGTTGATGGCGATGCTGAGCGCCAGCCAGAACACCTGCTGCCACGTCTTGTTGGGCTTGTGCGATATGAAGTACCTTCGCGCGTAGAGACAAACGAATGACACGTGGTGAGCATTGCCGCGCCGAGAGAATGCAAAGGGTAAAAGTGCGGCCCCCCAATTGCTTGCTCGCGGAGAGGCCTCGGGTAAAGGGGGCCCTTTAGAAGCCCTCCAGAGGGTACTACCATGATGGGTTTGAGATGACGATGCGAGCGTGTGCGTGCGTCAGCATTTGGGGGTCACGCTCCTACCGGCTATATTTGTCGTCATATTTACAGATGTAGCCCAGGTGAGCGGCGAAGGCTTCCACAGCTTGTGGGCAAGCCACCTCCATCAGGTGTCCACCCTTGCGCTTGATGATGGCTCCTGGCAGAGGAGACACACGCAGGGGTCTGCTGTTGGATCCGAAGGCCCTGCACATGTTCAGTGGTATGGTTGGGTAAATCGGTTTAGAGGAACACAACCCAAAACGTGCAAAGCTCTTGTTAACGCATGAAACTGGGCTGCCTGTCACGAGTTAAGCTTCATTCATGATTTTAATCAACTAAAACTGGCGACGCTGCTGCGTTGGCAGCGGAGCACAGGAACAAACAACAACAAAAACTCTACACAGTAGTCATTGACACTGTGGCCTGACAAGGAAACATACAGTATATATACTGTATGTGTAGATTGTTTTCTGCTTTGCAAAGCATCTTGAGACGTGGTTGCATCGAGACGCTCTCCTGGCCCCAAGCGCTGGGGTGGAGCCATGCTGCTGCTGGGTGGGGCCATACCGACGACAGATCGGACCTCACCACTCCCCCTCGTGAACCTCACATTGACAACTTATGAATCATATCTACAAGATATTAATAATACCTACATGCTCTACTGATTAAACCACCGCTTAGCGAAGGCCTCCCCACGTCGTATTGCGTCATTTCTGCAAGCAGCATCTCGCCACGTTGCACGATCCCCACACACACAGAGAGTGCAAATATACAGTAAATATATTTTCAGTTAATTAACGATGCGCGTTTATACGCGTGGGAGGAAACCGCAGCACTTGGAGAAAACTCACGCGTGGGAGGAGGTAACACTCCCTTACCATCTCTCTCGGTGGCGAGGAGTGGCTCAGGATCAGTTTAAACATCATTCGGTGCTGACGTTGGTCCCGACCCGGAATCGAACTTCGGACGCTGGGCTCAGAGTGCAGTGCGTGGATCGCTGCACCACCATTCCACTCCCAACATTTTTCATTTGGAAACATTTTTCACGCACATTTCGGACGCCAGAATTACCTTTACGACTGTGCACAGTGGTGGATTGAACAAGCATGTCAAGTTATGACTACAACTGCCACACACCTCTTCTTGAGACGTCTCAATCTTTGCAGGCTATGCAGTAATTAATAAAATAAAATGCACAAGAGTGATGAATATTTTACCCAAATAAGATACGTCAACATGTTGTGCTCACAAGCCAGACAGCAAGCCAGAAAAACTGGTCCCACAGCACGAAAACCACAACAGCATTCCATTCCAGAGTCAGTCGGTGTCGGTCTATATTGACAGCTATAGTCAGCTTTGCAACCCGAGGAGAATGCACAGTTTAACAAGTAGGCTTTCGCGACCAATACCATACATAATACAGGTGACGCAATCTAACCCAAAACCCCTGTATTATGGAGGAGAATGCACGATGGCAGAGGACATTTACTGGTGCTTGCTCAATACGCACAGCTGCAATGCCCTGGCGGCGACTCAATCTGGGACTACCCGCAGCTGTTGCGATCACGGTCGAAATAAACAGTGGTCACTAGCCCTGTTCACGTGCACCACGCTTCACATTGTGCCCCGCACTTTGGGCGAATCGCTTGGACGCGCCGACAGGGAGCGGACGGCCAAGGGACAGCGCGAGCAACAGCGCGAGCGATGGACACTTTCTCCAGCGCGTGAACGTGCTGGCCAGAGGCGACGCCATCCGGCGTGCCTGGATAACACCGTCCTGGCACGGCAGCAGCGTCGTCCCATTCCGTTTCTGAATGGTTGCATCCAAATGCCGTAGGGATCCAAACCATGTTTACCGCTGACATCACCCGCCGTGAAAATGTAACGTCAGTGGTGCAGCCACTGAGGACTTCCCCAGCTCTGCCCATCGCATCATTACGACACCCGGCACCACACACGCGTGTCCATCACCCATTCCACACGGACCACAAACAGAGTTCGCACTGCCGCTACTCGAATCCAGAATCACGGTCCAGTAATCCCGGTGGCTGCCAAGCCTCAGTGTGCGTCCTGCCATGGTTGGTGAATCACCTTGCTTGAGTGGCGAGTAGGCGTTGGTTAGGAATCTGAAGAGGCTCTTGTTGGACCAGCAGAGCAAGGAGGTGCTGCCCTTGATGAGGGCGCTGTGCTGCCCACGAGCCAGCGGGTGCTTCGGCCCCGTCAGGGCCATGCGGGGCAATCCCGTGCAATCACTCTTCCGTGGGCTCAGCAGGCCGCAGCAGTGGATGCCTGCACATTGTCAACAGGCCACATCGCGCTCATGGCTCCCACTTACTTTTAGCACGTGACTATCTAGAGGATGCTGCCACGGTGGTGCGATTTTTTTTGGACACTGGAACCGCAAGCCAGAGGTCACCGGCATGGCGGTTGAAACAATGGTTGCAAGTTTTTTTAAAATCCCCCACCCCGGTTCACACAGCAGGGTAATGAATACACTACAGTTAGTCGATTAGTATGTCACGTGTGGTGGGGTAAATTGTCAGTAGTCTCACCTCCACTAAAGGTTGTTCTAGAGAGCCCGTCTAGAGAGTATTTGGCCTTCTTTTCCACGCTGGCCAGATGTCTTAGAAGAGGTGGGACAACCCACACTTAACCCCTCCACACGTGACCTGCCGATCAACTGGGTAGACGGGCGCGGGGATTCAACTGCCGCACCAGAAGATAGAACCGGCAACCTTGGGATTGCAAGTCCTGTACGCAGAGCGTTGCACACTTTTGCAAGAGTGATCTTTAACCCTTTCCCATTTCGAGACGTCTAAGTTTCAGGGTGGGTCCTGTTCACCACTGAATCTCGGAACGCGCAAGCAACTAGCGTTAATCCTATTTAGAGAGGAGTCGCACTGCCGTTTTAAAGACATTGTATTGTACGCACCTCGGAGAACTGTAGCGAATCGACCACTCTATGGTAGCTGGCGCCAAACTGTGCCACATGCCCTCTCACATGGCCTTTAACTTCCGATTCCATTTGGAATAGATTTCATTCCGTTCTGATGACATAAACGTACGTAATTAGAATCGGAACGGAATCGGAAGAAAAACCCGGCGACGGGTGACGCACCCTTTTCCTGGAACTCTTGGAAGAGTGGCAGGCTGGTGATGCTGGGCCCACAGAAGATAACGTAGCCGCTCGGGGGGAGGTTGTGGCACAGCCTCCTGGCCACCAGGCCGTGCAGCTGGGACTTGCTGCGGAAGGCGTCGAGGCAGTCCGAGCCGCTGCTGCCGCTCTCCTTAAGATGCACGTGGATCTGCCAGGAGCGCACAAAGTTGTGAACCGCATTGAACTTCACGACGTTACACAGACTACTTTACAGCTTGTACTAGGAACGAGTTTCGGATAATAAACATTCTGAAATAACATTTAGTAGTTTTGGTATTATCTACATTAAGTAATAATTGAATGTGTCTTTGTGCGAAGAAAAGTGATGTCTCCCGGTAGAATGTGATGCCACGTTTGGTTGAATCGCTGAAATAAAGTCGTAGTTTTCCAGAAGTCATACTTGTGGATAAATCCAAAAGAAAGGTTTTTTTCAGATTTTGAATATTTCATATCAAGTGACATTTTTGGATTTTTGAAATTAATACAAAAATTGGGAACACATCCCAAACCCATGTTTGTCAAAGTTGAAAATTGAGCAGGGTAGAATTGATCAGACAAGGTGCATCTAATTTACTGCCAACAGCGACAAAGCCGTAGAGGTTACAATGGCCACGTATCCATTCAATAAATTGTAACAATTTGGAGTCGTGATTTATATCAATAATTTATTTTTAAAATATCTCATTATTAGTCTCATTTGTGTTTTTATTTAAATGTTTATTCTGGCTTACTTGTTCGGTTTCATTTGTTTCATTAGCCTAAATGTAACATCAGCATATCGCACGATTTCGTTAGCTTTGATCAGCGCTATCCGACTGCTACACACACAATTCGATCCGTGTATCTTGAGCGTAAACATTGATTTTAGACTACGAATCAATTAATTGTGACATGAGTAATATAGAATCAGTGTCACACACGACGCTGATCATATATTATGAAATATTAATAAGGTAAGTAATTTTGAGTGAAATAGCTTCCCATGATTGTCTTAAATTTGACCAGAAATATAGATCACTATCCACTGAGGAAGCAAATATTTCCCGAAAATAAAGTGTAAAGAACACGAGATGGAAAATCGAACCATTAACCTGGGAAAAACACAGGCAGCATTGTAGCCAGAGGGCATTCACCTCGAACATTTGGCAGCGTAACTGTATTTGTCTGAATTCTGGAGGGGGATGGGTTGGATTCTGTCTCGTGGCATTGGTGGCTGCCCGTCTCTCTGCCCCCGTTTGCAGGAATTTGGTTTGGGCCTTCTTGGAAGTTCTCAACCTTCTAGAAGGCGACGGCCCAGACTCACCCTCACACAGGGAGACACAGCTGCATGCTTCCTGATGCACCCGTCGTCTGATTTTTGTTGAAGTTTTCGTAATGCATGCATGCTCAATGCTCTACGACAGCGCACAGCGAGGAGTTTATTTCACATACACGTGTGTGTGTGTTTCCACGAGTGACCTTCGCATTGGCGAGGCCGCACCTGGCAGATGAACCCTGTCTGCGAGCACTGCCGCACCCACAGACCGAACTTGCGCTTCTTCCTACGCCGCCGCTCACCCCCCTCGGACGCGCAGCCGCCGCTGGCGCACGCCGCCAGGAAGGTGGGGTCCTCCTCGATCAGCGGCTCGTGCAGCACCTGAGGGGCAGCGGGGGGGGGGGAGGGGCTCGTGAACCCCCCCACTTGTGCCGCTTGGAGCGCCCCCACTGCAGAATGCTTGTCTGATTCGACCGGATTCTACGAATTATAGGACGCACTTTCCCCCCCCCCCACCCCCCCCCCCCCCGGTGTTGAGTGTTTATTGTGAATGTGTGTGTATGTTGAGTGTGTATGTACGTTGAGTGTTTATTGTGAATGTGTGTGTATGTTGAGTGTGTATGTACGTTGAGTGTTTATTGTGAATGTGTGTGTATGTTGAGTGTATGTACGTTGAGTGTGTGCGTTGAGTGTATGTACATGTTGTTTACATTTTGAGTGCGTGTATATGTTCCAGATGTGCTTGTTTATTGACATTGGGTACACGTTTTTGGGTGCATCTTGCTTTCCGGGGCACCTTGTAAACCGGAGAATACGGCAACAAAGTTTGTGAATGCCGCGCAGGGACACGCTGTGTACCGCCAACCCTCCAGAGAGAGCGGCAAGTAGCCGAGTTGCTCGCGCACACTGTCTGTAAACCGCAACTTGCCAAGGTCAATCCTCTGTGACAAATATTGTACGTGCACAGCAAAAACATGGTTTACGAGTTGATATCACTGGAATGCCTCTGGGACCGCAAACAGGCCGTGCGAAATGCAGCCGACCCATAATATTGTATTCCGCTGCTGCATTAGAAGCTCAAGTGCCTCTCGCGTGGGTGACGTGTGGCAAGAGACGCCACCCATAGACCCTGACCAATAACAAGCCCTATCCGAACCATATACACCAATCTTACATCTAAACCCCTAACCGTAAACCACTACTCCATACGAAAACTTGATAAGCAGCATCAACTAGTAATTCAACCAATGAAACCAAGGAAGATCTGTGGATGAAGCTCTGGTTTACAATTGGACAAAATCTGCGGGGGAAGTAGCGATGCCAGAGACTCGGATCTGCGAGGTGGGGCGGTCACCTCGGTAAGGGGAGCGATAAACCCACCGCACCTGCGTCTGGGAGGGCATGAAGGAAGCTTCGAAGGATGACTTGAGCGAGTCGAGGAAGGGCTGCACCTTGTAGAGGCCCGGCAGGTCCTCGCGGGCGGAGCGGAACGCCACCACGTGAAAGTACTTGAGCAGCTTCTCGAAGCGAATGCGCGTCATGGCCACCGCCACGCTGCGGTTGCCGTAGAAACCGCCACCCCAGATGCTGAGCACCGACTCGCAGTGGTGCGTCGCCGTGGAGGCCACCACGCCTGCCACGCTCGGACGCAACGCGCGCCAGATCTCGTTACGCACAGGCACACGCACACTCATCATCGCCGTCAGCAGCGCCTTGGTCTATCCACCAATGGATGAAGACCTCCCCAAGCCATTGCAATCTCTCATTGTCATGTGGCTCGTCAATACATCGAGCTCATGTGCACACGCTGCATGGTGGGCGTCCTCTTTGTCGCGTTCCCTCTCCTGGCTGCCACTATTATTCGTCTCGACCACCGGCCATCGTCCCTTCTCGTGACGCGTCCTGTGCCCAAACCCCACCCTTCTTTAGGGTCAGTGTGATGTCTCTAACTGGGGTGGGTGGGTGTGGGTGGGCTCTTCTATGTAGGCAACATGAAGGGCAGATGACATCACACCTGATGTGACCAGACACTCCAGGATAAAACACAGCTCTTGATTTTCACGCTTCCTCTCCTTACTTTGACCGCCCCTTAACACGCAACTCATCTCCGGTTCTCAATCCCCTTGTGTCCTCCTGACACCAGTGGCAGTGAATTCCCCATCAATGCGCTGCGAGGAGGGGGTGCGGTCATCTGCTCTGCGCGGCGCTCTCTCACCAAGGAAGGCTCGCATCTCGGCGACGTCCACTTCGTGCCAGGCAGGATCCTGCCCGAAGCGCTCCTGGAACTTGCGAGCGTAGGCGTTCGTCTGGGAAACCATGATCTTGAGGAGGCCATCGGGCACGAACAGCTGGAAGAAGTCCGCCGGAGTGGCCGACGCGGGCATCTGCAGCGTGGGGCCTGCAGAGACAACGACGACCGCTGCTCTGAGTATCAACGTGTGACAACGGCGCCGAGATTCGCGATCGCTGCCCTCTGACTCGCACGCCGCGTTGGGCTGTCGGCATGCCTGGCAGACGTTGGACACGCAAGGTTAAAGCTGCGCTTAACACGATCCAGTGTGCTATCAGAATTGCACAAGTAATGAAAGCACGGAGCACATCTCATGCTGGTCGTGACAAACTCGCGCGGCGCTCTGTCCAGGTGACCGGATAAACGGCATCACCGCTTGTCGCGTTAACGTTTCTACATTACGAGCGAGTACGGCATTTGTGTGGTATCAATAAATCACCAGCTTGTTGTAGACATTGGCTTTCGTAAACAATATCATCCAGTTTCAGAATTATCCATGACAGTATTAATAATCCAATTACAATAACGTTATAGTATTTTATACAGAAATTTACGTAATCATGTGGTCAGGAATATCCACCTCACTGAGTCATTTTAAATCGATTGACGATGCCAACTCTGTTCTCTTATTCCTCTTCTGCGGATGCGGCAACAACCTAAGAGTTAATTACATAAGATTTTCTGAATACTGTAAGAATTCACTTCAGATATTCCCACGTATTGTTGGTCTGTCACCGTTCTTACTTCAGGATATACAATGTGTGATTTCAGAGATCACTGAGCTGAAATCCCATTTATGTGTGAGCCAGTATTATCTTACACTGATACAAAATCTATTCTGGCCACAGGATTAGATCACTGTACAACAGGCATTCGTCGTGTTAAAGCTACTATTGAATACCGTAAAGTTAATAGCTACACTCTACAACATTCACGAATCGCACAGCTTCATGGAAACAAACGTTTCCGTTAGAATATTACTCTACCTGTACATCTGGTCTAAATTTACCCTGAAATCCATAGCTTCATATAATTATGGAATATAATCAAATCATATAAAGACACATTTAAGGTTGATTTACTATTTAAATAATATATGTGGCATATTGTCATAGAGTTGCACCTTGCACGATTGTTTTATTCAAAGAAACAACAGTGGATGTCTGTACGGCAATTGCTATGGAGTCGAGCTCCGTTCACAATACGCTACCGATTTACATTCACAAAAGCGGCGTCCAAATACAACCGCATCCCCAGACGCTTCACCAGGGGTTTAAATTAGCTCTATACGCATGAAAACAAATGGGGTCTTAAATACGTATGTCGAACTTCTTTCGCACCGTACATAGCCAACCGTGCCAATCGCAGGCGCAGGAGCAGGGAGAGCAAACCAAAAACACAAAAAGTAGGTCTAAAGAAATGAGTTTTCAATGGAGGTTGTTGACTTGCGGCAGGCAACAAGAAAAAAACGCCTCAACCGTCCTTGTTTGATGCGTGGCTTCAGCATCCTTGCGTGGCGTGCGGTGCTGGGAGGTGAACGAGTCTGGCATCAGCTGGGATAGAGGGAACTCGAGCCAGGCACCTGACCTTGCGCAGACAGCTGAAGAGGACCCGAATCAATAAGAAATAATTGGTATTGAGCAATTATGTGAACTCGCACAATCATCATCACCATCGTGGTGACAGAGGGGAGTGCCGTGATACTGCCAAGACATCACGAAGGGGTGATGCGAGGGAGATGAGACTGCGATGGTAAATTAACGGGTACTCTCTCCTCAAAGGGCTCGTTCCTCGTGGTCAGAAGGGAGCACCGGTGAGTTAACAGCACAGCGGACAACTCAGCCGTGCGGTTAATTGCCCCACTGCTCGATACTAACTACCTAATTACATTTCATATCGGGGTCATAATTATTCCATATTTTGTTAAACAGCGCGTGCTCTTTACGTCCTTCCGAATGGGGTAATTGAACGTTACGTCGTCATAAGTGCCACGCGATAATCTAGGATAGCTTCAGGGAATGGCATGCCCTAGTCTCCCACCCCGGGAACTTGGGCGATCCATCAACACGCGTCTCCTCCTGCATCGACACAAATGGCCACGTTTGCCCCGTCACGGTGACATCTCTGACCTGCGTGTGTTCTCTGATCCATCCGTTCCTCTTCCCTTATCTCAAGAGTAATTCCAAGCGTGCATCTCTCTGGACTTGTGCACTTTTCGGGTTTTGTACTTTTTTTGTCAATGCCGACGATTCTAATTCATGTCATAGCAGGTGAAATAAACATTTTGCTTTGAGCTCCGTGTGCATGTCTATAACGCGTCGTGCATGTTTGTCTTTTGCACGTTAAGCTTTGAACGTGTTCTTCATCAGGGTCCATGTTTCACCCATGCATTATCACATCCCAGCCATTAGTGTACAGTATCTGATAACCACTTCCCGCATTTTGCCACGGTGCACAATTAATCTCTGCACCAACCAAAGGTTACTTTCTAACAAAAAGCAACTGCCAGATAACACATCTCATCACCTGCTGTACAGTACAGTACTGTACATCACATTACCTGCTGGAGGGATAAACATCACCCAGAGTCTCCATGGCCCAATGCAATCAGGGCTCCTCCACGGTCATTCAGCAGAGGCGGCTCTCCTAATTGCAGTCAACGACCCTGCCTCTTGGTAATGGGTCCCCTTAACTCTTCGCACCTCTAGACCTCACTGCTGCGTTTGACAACATGAGCCGATCCTTCCCTCAGAGAGTCTCTAATATGGTGTAGGCGTCTCAGAACACTTCCCTCTGGAGTCCGGTCTCTTCTCTCAAGCCGCCCTCTCGATGCTGCCGCTAAAGCACCGCCTCCATCTATGAAATTCAGGTGCCGAGCTGTGCCACATCCAACTCATTCCTCTTGGCAAAATCATCTCCACCAGCAACACCGAGCCCCACCACTCATGCTGGTGACACCCAAGAGCTACATTCCCATCGACTCGACAAACCCAACCCCGCTGCTCACTTATGCATCTTACCGGGACGTGGTGACATCTTGCCAAAATTGAAATCCACATAATCAATAATATAAACTCCAGTTCGAACATGCACCTCGTAAAACTTCAACAGCACGTTGGCAAAACAAGTGCAAACCCTTTGAGTTGTCATTGATCCCGAAGGCTAATTTTCCCTTCAAAAATATCTCCAATCTCTCAACTCTGAAGGACCTCCTGCAACACCTCTCGTATCCACCGCTCCCTCATCCCATCCGCTGCCGAGACCCTTGTCCACGCCTTCACTAGCTCTCACCGGGCCTACTACAATCCTCTCCTCCACGACCCTCCCCCCAAACGCCAATCGTCCAGAACGCTGCTGCAAAACTCTCCCCGTCCAAACCCGTGCACGGAACCACGGCACCAAAGTTCTCGGATCTCCCCACTGCCTCCAAATCCAGTTGAGAGTGAATTCCAGGATCGCACTCACTGTATTCAAGACCCTACATATGCTGTCCCTCCCTACTACCCATCTGTTCTCCATTGCAGCACCAGGCCCTTCTCTCACAGCCCGGGTGACCCTACACTCAATGGGAGGTCGCTCCTCTGCTGCCTTTCCCGCAGTCTCGACTTTCCTCACCCCCGACATCCGTGATATCAGCGCCCTGCGATTTTTCAAATCGAAGGCTCAACACTTTACTCCTCTCTTGTGCCTATGACGCCCCATCCCTCTGACGATGACCGTCGGTTTGGCTGTACACTACTACCGATTAGATATGCTTCCTGTTTTCGGCAATTATCTGCAATGCACACGTCCTACTTTCTGCTGCGTCTTGATATCCTGCTGCATTTAGACGCTGTCAATCCAATGTGTATTCTTTATTATATCACATTACCTGCTATTGACACCTCACTCGCTGTATGAACATCACATACTGTGCAGGCATCATCTGCTATATAATAAAATCACAACGGCTTCAGCACTGCCATCCCATCACCTGCAAGTCGTATCGTTTACAGGAATCACACCATCTGCCGTACAACACATGTAGTCAAATCACCTGCTGTATAGACATCACATCCCCTGCCATCACATCCCCTGCCATCACATCCCCTGCCATCACATCACCTGTGAGCGCAGCCCAAAGCTCAGCGCAGGACCCCCTGGCTTGTGGGAGGTGGCCGCACAGCCAGAGGCTTCGTGAACCTGTCTGTGGGGGCATTCAAGTGGTGGTATCCCCCCCTTCACGTGTGTGCGAGGTGGGGTTTCTCCGGGCACTCCGGTTTCCTCGCACAAGAAAACCGCTACTGCTAAATTAATTGGTCAAACATCCAATGTAGGGGACCTCCTGAAAGAGAGGCGAGGCTCATTGAGGCTTTCCTCGACAAATGGCATCATTATGATCGTTGTAATATTATTGTACAAGTATGCATTGTCCGAGTGCATTGTTGGCAACACAATGATCATGAACAGGCCTGTTTAATAACCACGTAAAAATAAAATAACTTAATCCATCATTCGCTGTATGGCCGCGTGGATGAGTGTTTTAGCAGCACTAGTCTATGGCCAGATCACTCGGAATGCGCCCAACACAACAAGATAAGCATGTTTAAGCCTGCACGGTGCTTGAATGAGGGACCACCATTAATAAAAAAAAACCAGCGTGCATAAACACAGGTGCTATAGGCTGCTGCGGTAATCTAGAATTGAAGATTTCGTGACTGCAGGAATTACTATAGTCATTGGTTCTTTCGGTGAAGTCACGTATATAGAAATAAAATTTTAATAAATCAAATACTGCAATTATTATTAAAATAATAATTTAAAAATTAAAATAATTTTAAAATTATTTATAGCATTTAAATAAATCACTAAAATTATTTAAATTTTTAAATTATTTTAATAATAGTAATTGTATTTGTGATTTATTTAAATTGTATTTTATTTCTATATACGTGACTTTACTGAAAGAACCAACGAGTTTGTACGGTACTTACATCATATGCTACAATCCACGTATATGCTCTGCTCCTTCACCAACTCGCACCGACCAGCGTGGTGAAGTATGGTCAAATAACGGCGTGGGGAGGAAGCTTTCATCCAGCAGTGGATTCAGAATCGGACCGTTACGTGTATTTTACATGTTAAAGCAACCAAGCAAGCGCTGCTGGGACCGATTTCCACTGCACTGGGTCTCATCAGCAGGGCTTCTCGGGTTCCCGGTTGAGCCGAGTCACTCGAATGCCGTCGTGCCTGGCTATGGCCTGCTGCTGGCATAATAAATAATAGCGATATTAGTTCAACATTGGTCCTCAAGGCCAAGAGCGACGGCTATCCGTGGCGATGGACTTGGACGCCACCGTAGCAATTGCCACTGCGAGCGAGCGCGGCTCTCGCCTCCGTCCCCCGCTCGCACCCCGCAGGCCCCGTGCTGTGTGCACGCTCGCACCCCGCAGGCCACGTGCTGTGTTGCACGCTCGCACCCCGCAGGCCACGTGCTGTGTGCACGCTCGCACCCCGCAGGCCACGTGCTGTGTGCACGCTCGCACCCCGCAGGCCACGTGCTGTGTGCACGCTCGCACCCCGCAGGGCCCGTGCTGTGTGCACGCTCGCACCCCGCAGGCCACGTGCTGTGTGCACGCTCGCACCCCGCAGGCCACGTGCTGTGTGCACGCTCGCACCCCGCAGGCCACGTGCTGTGTGCACGCTCGCACCCCGCAGGCCACGTGCTGTGTGCACGCTCGCACCCCGCAGGCCACGTGCTGTGTGCACGCTCGCACCCCGCAGGCCACGTGCTGTGTGCACGCTCGCACCCCGCAGGGCCCGTGCTGTGTGCACGCTCGCACCCCGCAGGCCACGTGCTGTGTGCACGCTCGCACCCCGCAGGCCACGTGCTGTGTGCACGCTCGCACCCCGCAGGCCACGTGCTGTGTGCACGCTCGCACCCCGCAGGGCCCGTGCTGTGTGCACGCTCGCACCCCGCAACGCCCGTGCTGTGTGCACGCACCGCAGCTCCCCGTGAACTCAGGGAAAGGCGCCGCGTCCCGCAGGCAGCTGCTCCACCCGTCTTCTCCGCACTCCTCCGCCTCCCTCTCCCCGTCATCTCCCCTCTCCTCGGCATCCTCGGCCAGCGGGTTTCTGAAGAACAACCCCGCGTCCTCCGCTGCCTCGCTCGCCTCGCCCTCGTCTCCCCCGGCCGCCTCCGCCACCGCGGCGGCCACGGCGGCGGCGCCTCCGCCGCCGCGATCCGAGGAGCTGTCGGAGGAGCTGTAGAAGGGGTTCCCCGCGCTGCTGTCGCCCCCGTCCGTGGCGTCGTCCCCCGACTCGCCGAACACGTCGTCCGATATGTTGAGGCTCTCGTAGCGGCACTGCGCCTGGCGCAGCAGCGACAGCACCGAGCGCCGCTCCTCGCCTGCGCACGGAGCAAGGGCGGCGGTGGCAGCCATGGCGATGCGAGATGATGGTGCAGACGACGACGATGATGTGCGCGGAGCGAGCAAGGGCGGTGCGTGATGGTGCATGCGCAGCGCGGGCTGTAGTGAGCGTGCAGGCGGGCTGGGTGTGTGTGTGTCTCTGTGTGTGTGCCGGTGTGATGAAGCACTGCTCGAATAGCTCCGCCTGTTCGCGGCAGGGCGTGCGTGTGAGATGTGCGTCTGCGTGGGTGTGTGTATGATTGGGGTGGGTGTGTGATTGTGGTGTGTGTGTGATTGGGGTGTGTGTGTGTGATTGGGGTGGGTGTGTGATTGGGGGGTGTGTGTGGTTGGGGGGTGTGTGTGATTGGGGTGTGTGTGTGATTGGGGGGTGTGTGTGTGATTGGGGTGTGTGTGTGATTGGGGTGTGTGTGTGTGATTGGGGTGTGTGTGATTGGGGTGGGTGTGTGATTGGGGTGTGTGTGTGATTGGTGTGTGTGATTGGGGTGTGTGATTGGGGTGTGTGTGTGATTGGTGTGTGTGATTGGGGTGTGTGTGTGGTTGGGGTGTGTGTGTGATTGGGGTGTGTGTGTGATTGGGGTGTGTGTGTGATTGGGGTGTGTGTGTGATTGGGGGGTGTGTGTGTGATTGGGGTGTGTGTGTTTGATTGGGGTGTGTGTGATTGGGGTGTGTGTGTGATTGGGGTGTGTGTGTGATTGGTGTGTGTGATTGGGGTGTGTGTGTGATTGGGGTGTGTGTGTGATTGGGGTGTGTGTGTGTGATTGGGGTGTGTGTGTGATTGGGGTGGGTGTGTGATTGGGGTGGGTGTGTGATTGGGGGGTGTATGTGATTGGGGTGTGTGTGTGATTGGGGGGTGTGTGTGTGATTGGGGTGTGTGTGTGATTGGGGTGTGTGTGATTGGGGTGTGTGTGTGATTGGGGTGTGTGTGTGATTGGTGTGTGTGTGTGATTGGTGTGTGTGATTGGGGTGTGTGATTGGGGGGGGTGTGTGATTGGGGTGGGTGTGTGATTGGGGTGGGTGTGTGATTGGGGTGTGTGTGTGATTGGGGTGTGTGTGTGATTGGGGTGGGTGTGTGATTGGGGTGTGTGTGTGATTGGTGTGTGTGATTGGGGTGTGTGTGTGGTTGGGGTGTGTGTGTGATTGGGGTGTGTGTGTGTGATTGGGGTGTGTGTGTGATTGGGGGGTGTGTGTGTGATTGGGGTGTGTGTGTGTGATTGGGGTGGGTGTGTGATTGGGGTGTGTGTGTGATTGGGGGGTGTGTGTGATTGGGGGGTGTGTGTGATTGGGGTGTGTGTGATTGGGGTGTGTGATTGGGGTGGATGTGATTGGGGTGTGTGTGTGATTGGGGTGGATGTGATTGGGGTGTGTGTGATGGGGTGGATGTGATCGGGGTGTGTGTGATTGGGGGGTGTGTGTGATTGGAGTGGATGTGATTGGGGGGTGTGTGATTGGGGTGGATGTGATTGGGGTGTGTGTGATTGTGATTGGGGTGTGTGTGATTGGGGTGGGTGTGATTGGGGTGTGTGTGTGATTGGGGTGTGTGTGATTGGGGTGTGTGTGATTGGGGTGGGTTTGATTGGGGTGGGTGCTGGTGTGATCCACTGGTGATGGCGATGCACGACTCTGTGATGCGTGTTGGAGAGTGTAATGAGTAATAGTGATGCGTGCGATGCACTGGAGTGTGTGTTGTATGTGGTGTAATTGCGATGCACGATGCACGAGTGTTTGGGATCCACGCGTGGGAGGAGCGGAGCGGTGTATGGATCGTGCGGTGTGGGCTGTGCATTGCTGATGGGACAGAATTTATTATTACTCATCTGAGTGGATTGTGGACAATCCATCACAAAGAGCCAAGGGTCTGTCTCACCATTGAATGTGAAATATACTCGAGCTCCATCGGCTGAAAGGTTCGGTAAAGCAGTGTCATCTAGCAGCATTTGTTTGAGCAACTCATCAATATGTGGCTTGCCATCTCAAATGTCAGCGTCTTTTAAAAAAAAATCCCCGAGGGTAATCACAGCGATGTGAGATGCAGGAGGGACCTTCTAGGGGTTCGTTGTAGGGGGCGACAATAGCCGTTTCCCTGTGACCTGTTGTCAAAGTTGGTAAATATTGACCACGACCCCGGCACACAATGGCCTACTCGTCTTCGAATGGTGTCACGGGATCTTTGAAGCCCGCTGTGGAGCATTTAAAACGCCCGCAGTATTAACTGGGCGGCCTTCCGGACTCGAACCGCAAACCTCTGCAACAAGCGACGAACTCCCTCCCGCTCGGCCTTGTCGCCGCCTGTCGAGGCCACGAAAACAACAACAACAACACGTGGACGACACGGGGTAGTGTGGCCAGCACCAAGCCCTGCCGCCCGCCTTTGTCCCCACGGCGTTGGATGTTCACCAGGCCAATCAGTCGTGGTCACGCACACGCACGGGGCAACTTGAATGAGTCTGGAGGGTTCCTGCACCCTTGGGAGGAGAGCCGATTGCCGGGATAACCCCCACGCGGGCATTAATCGAGATCGCAGCACGCAGCCTCCCTCCACCAAACATCAACCGTGAGTCATCCCCTCGACTCACAGTGTCACCCTCAACCCCACCTGGAGCAAAGACAAAGATCCCCCGTATAGCCTCTGAACAGACTGTAGGGGCAAGTGCTGTTCGCGAGGAGCACCTATGAAGGCCGGCACGGTACACAAGGGGGTGGGTGACCAGCACACGCCCGACCGCCTTTGTCTCCCCAGTGGCGATGTTTACTACACACCGCACCAGGTACTCATTTGAGGCCGAATCGACCTAAGGGAGGCCGATAACCGGTTCAGATAATCGTCACTGCGGTTCGCCGTGAGCGGGACTCGAACCCGGGCCAAGGGGTTCGTATCGCAGCGCGCTAACCGCTGCACCACCGCTCCCTCCGAGAGCATTCACATCCACACCGACAACCCCCACCCACATCTCTAGCCCCCCCCCCGCCCCTTCATTTCGCTCGAGCTCATTAATCGCCCCCCCCCACATAAGCTCCCACACCCCCACCCACAGCACCCCCCCCGTCTCTCTCCCCAAGAGCAGCCCACACCGCCAGCGAGCTCCCCTCCCTTGAGCCCCCCTCATCCCGTCAACCCCCCCCCCCCTACAGAGCCCCCAACACCCGCAGCGAGCCCTGCATTCCCACCCCACAGCCCCGCCCCCATCAGAGCCCCCCCCCCCCCTACAGAGCCCCCAACACCCGCAGCGAGCCCTCCATTCCCACCCCACAGCCCCGCCCCCATCAGAGCCCCGCCCCCATCAGAGCCCCCCCCCCGCCCCCATCTAGAGCCAACCCCGCCCCCCAGGTTGGTCCCCCCCCCACACCAGAGGCGGGTGGGAGGGGGGATGCGAGGTTGCCCAGCAACGCCGTGACGTCACGCGCAAGACATGCTGCCACAAACACCGCTGGGGCGATGCCCCCCCCCCCCCCCATGGGCTCATGTGTCTACGTAGTTCCCATTATTAATGCTGATTTTGTGATTGCCTCCAATCCAATTGATGTATCTGAAGGTTTAAAAAAGACTGCGGTATATTTTACGGTCCATTTTCATGTTTAACACACAGCGATACTGCGTGTGACATGCGGGACTTATAAGATAGGCGCTTCAATCGCTGCTCCAGCAACCAAAGCTTTGAGTGGTCAACCTTCATCTTCTTTGGTTCTTTCGGTAAAGTCACGTAGAAACGTCTTGAGAATTTTATTGTGTTATTTTATTAATTTATTCTCATTCTACGTGACTTTACCGAAAGAACCAAAGAAGATGAATCCTTGCAGTCACGAAAGCTTCAAATCGAAATTTGGTCAACCTTCACTCAGCGGGTAGGTCGCTCATTGGCTTCTGATGCCCTCACGGTCTGGAACATTCCCCCCGCCCCTGCCACTCGCGCCGCAACTCCCTGCCACTGTTTCAAGTCCAGGCTCATCTTTCCTTTCGCATTGACCGACTCTCTTCCTCTCTTGAGATTCATTTGCCACGTCCATAAATTGTCGCCCATTTCTAGGCGCCAACGTCACACGCCGCTTTCCCTCGTCGCGATGACGTCACGGCCCATCTCTGTGTGCCGCGATGACGCCACTCCGTCGCGTGCCGCGATGACGTCGCTCCGCTGGCGGCGAGTGCCCCACGTGACGGTGACGTCACGGCTGTCTACGTTGCAGGTGCCGCGCCGCGATGGCGCCGCGAGTCCCGGGCGCCGCGCGCGTTTCGCGGTAGCGACAGCGACTCTCGACCCCACGCCGCCTCGAGCGACATGGCCTCGGAGCCCAGGGGCGTCCTGCTGCCGGGCAGCGGCAGCAGCTTGTGCTTCGACAGGGAGCAGTTCATGAAAGTAAGCGTGCATGTCACATTTGTTTCTGACGCAGGGTCGGGGAAGAAGTCGGGTCGTAGCGGTGGTGGGTGGGTGGGGGGCAGGTTCTGCCCTCCACTTTCCCCGAGATCTCGCCTCGTTGTCCGTAGTGAAACTAAGCAAGGCCCAGGTTGTGGCCCGGCAGCAGGCCTGAGAGGCGAGAACACACGGGAGAGACGGGCGAGAAGACAGAGGCTCGTGGAGCACGCTGCTGAGGCGCGCAGCACGGCTGCTATGGCAGCTGTGTGTGGTGCCACATGCGATAGATTAGAGTTCCCCTGTTGGAATATGTAGACGTGTCGGTGTCTTGTATCTAATATTCCTCGCCTACGTGTCAAGCTGAGAACTTTGCGATATACGCGGTCGTTGGGCTGGGCTCTCAGCCGGGAAACGTCCCGTAGGGGGACGAGCTACTGACACGCAGATCTGCCCGTAAAATCAGTTCTACATGCGCCACTCTGTCCCTAGCAACGCAGGCTCAGACAAGGGGGACACTTTGACTTGGCGGACGCGCTGAAGAATCGTGTGGGTTGTCTTTAAGTGTACGACGTGAATTACTTTCTTGACACGTCACCTCCGTATCAGCTGTAATGCAGGCAAATATCAAGCCAGCCTTGTGGTTTGTGTTATTTGCATTTAGCAGAACGTATGACGTTAAAACGTTTCGTGAAACATTCCACAGGACGGATTTGATGTGGACAGCTTCGTGGCAGAATGCAAGAAGCACGTGCAGCTGGAGGTGCTGCGCGAGGACCTGGAGGTGTATTACAAACTTCTCAAGAGCTCCATGGTGGAGCTCATCAACAAAGATTACGCGGACTTCGTCAACCTCTCATCCAACTTGGTACGCGGGCCCATCACATGGTTACTTACTTCCTGCCAGCCTCCATCAGTCGAGTCGACTTGCACTTCATTGTCTTGGCTGGCAGGGTGGCCATGGTGTTCGGTTTTTTTTTTACTACATCGCCGGCTTTGTTTGGTCAATGATATTGCATAGCAAACAGGATATGGTGGCACAGCAAACAGATGGCACTGATCCTGCCACCCCCACCTCGCAAGCCACCCACATCCTTTTGCCTTCCACGACTTACCCCCTGCCCTCGAAAGCCCGTATGGGTATGCTATTGAATGCTGCATGCAAGCCGTGTGTCTAATTACAATTAATAATTTTCCAAAGCCGTCATCTATCGACGGCTGAATAAAGTACTACCATCGGCTTTTCTCATTGCCTTGTGAATCCATGATCTATCTCTTGCACATCACCTGATTGAATCACTCCGTTTGAAGTGGTCTGTTTAGCCCTATCAACTATTTTGCCTGCCAATCTCTCACCATTCACTTCTGTTTGCAATCATCGCAAAGAGTTGAGTGCTGCCCCAACGCATATTTATTAAGAGTTATTACGTCTTTAATTTGGAATAACAGCTTCTCTGATCAACGTGTTTCATTTTCTGTCGGTGTAATTCCCAGCATGCATTTCTGCACTATTCTTGAGTACTTTTCACCATTTGTTCAATTCTATACACATGTCATTGCAGATAATATGCAATGTCCCCTCCCGCCCGCCCCGCTCTCAATCTCTCCTACTCTTCACCGTTTCCCCCTTGTGCACAATCCCGTTTCCGCACCTTTTCCCTACTCGCCCCCTTGCACCGGAACACACTTCCCCTCCACATGAAGCAAGAAGCACCCTCCCTGCCTAGTTTCTGCTCCTCCCTCAAGACCCCCACCTCTTCTCCCTGGCCCATCCTTCCCTCCATCCCTAGGTACCCCTGTAATTCCCGTTCCCACTAACTTCCCTCCTCATCCCTATACTCCTCTCTTTCCCCTCCTCTCACATGCCACCATATCACCTTTAGCTAACCTGATTGTACCATTTACAACCCTTGTAGAGTGCCTTGGATATAGGGCGCTCTGTAAATGTAGATGATTGAAAGCGTTCTTATTTATGAACATTGATCTCTATTGTAAAAAAATAATTTTACAAAAGCACTCTAACCTACTTTCATCTGCCTATTTCATGGTTTTCCTCAGTCCATGTAATAATTTTATATTTACATATTCTACTTTCTTTTCCAGTGGTGTCTTTTTTCCTTCACCAAACTAGTACAGTACATTCTAGTACAGTACATTCTAGATTTAGTACAGTATATGATTTTTCACCTCTTTAGTCCAACTTTTCAGGGATAAGGATGCATCAAAGCTGTGATTGACAAACCACCACAACACCATCAAAGTGTGTCTTTAATAACATACCAAACATAACGTGTAATGGCAAGTACATGGGGGGAAATGACTTCATATTTAATGTATGCAGTTATATAGCATAATTCATAATAAAGGTTTTTGTTGGGTTAGATCGCGTTTTTTATAAATGTGTCGTAAACCTCCACCACCCGACGGCCAAACAGTAAAAAATGTGTCACGTTTACAAAAGAAATATAGTTCACTACTTTAGCCCACCGGTGTGTTGAAGAGTGAATCAACATCATTTAAAATTTGAGTACGACGTTTCGCTGGTAATTACATCCAGCTTCATCGGGCAATTTGCCAGAATGGTGGGGCCCTCCACTTGCTCCCGGTCTTAAATAGAGCAGCAGCAGGGTGATGTCATCATTTAATTCATTCACGTGCAGTGATTTGACGCGGGCAGGGTATTGTAATTATATAATAGATTGGTAATCATTCAATTGTTATTCGTTGGTATTTGTTTCCCTATAAGAAATTGTCATTGTATTATATATTTTATTTAATAATACGCTTCCAGGCCGCACTAAGCCTGTAGCTGTCAGAGCGATTAAACTTATTTATATTTCTCTCAATTTCAATGGATTTTCTAATTAGTCTTGGCTAATAATAATTAGTTATATATCAACAAAAGTTACACAAGTTACAAGCATTTGTGAAATTGAAGTGCAAATTGCAGCAGTGACTTATGGTTATGGGATATAAGTATAAATTATAACACAATTTCGTTGTCATGTTACTGCAGTTTCCATGTTTTTATTGTGTTTATCTGTAACGCTTTCATATGTAATTACGTTTTTCTATCAGGTTGGAATGGACAAATCATTAAATCAGCTTCGAGTACCCCTGGGGCAGCTGAGAGAGGAAGTCCTGGTAATATTTTTTGTCTCCACATTAGCTCTGCCTCCCTCCAAGGATAATGCACATTAAGTTGTTTTATGATTTTACTTATTATGACATGTATATTATAAACTAGCTTGTTTGCACGTCCTAGGACGGAAGCTGTAATATTTACGAAAAAAATTGAGCAAAGTATAAATTTTATCTTGTGTTAATTTAATGTCAGTGAATCTTGCACGAAAGTAAGTCATCAAACACTTCACTGCATTTTACTGTAGCACTGTATTAATGGCAGTGATTGGTCCACACCAGAGACAACTTTCTGTCTCTGGTGTGGACCAATCAGTTTCAAAGACGATGCATATATAATCAGTGTGTTTTTTGTTTGCATTCTGACCACAAGTATTGTGGTTAATGCAGACATGATTCCTTGTAAAAGGTTTCAGTTTGGTGTTTTAACATCTTAACACCTGTTTTGTTGCCAGAAAAAAGGGGAAACCTATTATCAAATCCACTTTGTTGCTGTGCAGAATAATTTACTAGATTAACTTTCAATAAAGAAACGTTAAACTTAAAGCAAATTTGCGAAAAAAATTACTTCCACTCGACCTTCTGCGCGAGTGTAAAAATCCACCCACTCATGAATATTAATGACGGGGGGGGGTGCAGCATGTGGAGTGACGTCAACAGGCATTCTTGGCTCAGAGTCGTAATGCTTTAGCAAATTTCTGCATATATTTATGAAGGTTTGGGTTTATTATTGCACTGTTTTATCATTTTTTACTGGTTTTATGAAATGGAATGGAATGAAATACACATTATAGAAGAGCTGTCAGGAGATATCCTCTGTCGAAGGCTATTAAAAGTTGAATTAGAAGATAATTTGAAAATTAGGTTGAAGAAATAAATAAACAAATCAAGATCATATTCATAACATAGTTATAATAACACATGGATGTGAACCACAGGAAATCATAGACAATTGTACAAATAAAAGAAGGCTGCAAAATATGACAGGTGGCATTATCAAAAAGGTAACCATTGGTTGAAAAAGGCCTTTGAATGTTAAGGTAGAAAATGAACAGTCTCTCGGAACGTTAAATTATCAAATTTACACCCTAGGTTGCCAGTAGCTTTCAAGAAAGCAATAGTTAAGGCATGCATCATTGATTTTGGTTAAAAAAGGCTTTCACATTAACAGGTCCTCTTGATTCAAAAGGCATTGTTTAAGAAGCGGTCTGTTAAATTCACTTTAAGTATACAAAGAGAGATGCAATGCTGGTTAATGTTGACAAAGCAAGGGAAGCAAGACTGAGATGGTATGGCCATGAGGTGCGGAGTGAGAAAGGAAACGTCATGCAGGAAGGAGAGGAAGATGCAAGGATAACGTGAATAGGGAAATGCAAGTAGCTGGGTGACGAGGGAAGCCTTCCACAGACAAGTGGGAGGGGGGAGACTGGGCAGCCAGCCCGATAGCAATGTGAGAACAGCGGCTATAGGAAGGAAAGAGAGATGCATTATGGGAATCACATTGAGAGACCTGAAAGAGGAATACATGGATCAACACCACAACATTAACTTACAGTTTGCAGAATCTTAAGTTTGTAAAGCACACGTGGCAAATTTAGTTCTGTTGTGGACAAATAAACATCAGTTCTCTCGTAGGCTGCTGAAAGGCTGAGAGTCGATTTGTGTTTTTTCCGCTCATTGTTAAGAAATAATGTTTCATTAAACATGTATTGGTACATAAGGTAAATCATGTTTTCTTTGCTGTAGTGTGTGAGGTCTGCACTAAACGAAGTCATTCAAGCCTTTGATGACAGGCTGGCCAAGAGGACAGATATTCGTAAGAAAAAGGTGAGGTGCTAACAAACCAACCAAAATATTACCCTGAATAGGGTTGTATATATGTTATATTGTTATTTCTGTATTCTCTGGATTAAAAGGTGCATATTTTCCCTCTGCATATAAAGCGAAATCTGTGAGTGTGCCTTATAATTTAGTAGGTGTGTGTGCATACAGATTTATATACATTTCATGGCACCAGGGACAAGTTTGGTGCTGTATTAATCATCGCACACCTAATTTTTCACGTCTTTCACTAAAGGACCTTTCACATTCTTCATGACTTCAAATCACTGAGGTGGTTACTGCTGGATTGCTAAATTGTGCTAAGTGTGCATTGTCTTCATATCCCAGGCTTGCCTGCAGAGGTTAATGCACGTGATCCGCTCAGTGGAAAAAATAGAGAAAATCCTTCAAACGCAAGGCTCCAGGGACGGCCTTTCTGCTTCTGACACCAACAGGTATCCTATGGTGATACCACCACCACCACCACCACGCACTTGCCCGCACGCCAGCCAGGCAGCGAACATTTTTTCTATATGGTGTAAAATGTTGAGCTTAAAATGCGACTCAATATTAGGTGTTTGTGTTTTTTGTATCCTTGTTTCCAATAGCGTTCCACTGGCTGGGCAGACCCTGGAAAGAATCGCCACCGAGTTTAACCAGCTGCAGTTTTACGCTGTTCAGAGCAAAGGCATGCCCCTACTGGACAATATCCGCCCGGTAAGAATGAGCGCACAACTGACAAGGTCCTCGACAATCAAGAGCAGCGTCAGAGTTGGTAGAGAGCTGTTAATCCTCTTTAAAATCTTTGCACATATGGTCAACTATATGGGCAGTTCCATTCATTGGGGAAACCCAGAACATGTTTCTAAATTGTCCTAATAATACAAACGGGTTGCAATTGTTAACATCATTATCTGTAGTTTTAGAAAATATATCTGAAATATGTCGGCATCGCAGCACAGATGAAACAGTTTAAGTGTAAGTCCAATGCCGTGATATTTTGTGACCATTTCCCCTTAATCAAGAAAGGTGGACACATACTATTCCGAAGTAAAACACGACTTTGTAATTATACTGATGACCTAAATCTTTTAAGTATCTGACTTGTATCTCTGACAACATGGAACTGCCCACGCGTTCTGTATGTCTTCATATTAGTGTGATACATGGTGTCCAAACATGTTGAACCTCAATCCACATGTTGCTGGAAACTTCTTTGCATGGATATGTGGCAGTAAATATTATGTCAGGAAACTAGTGTTGAATTAGGTCCGTTATTTATATTGTGTGTGTGAGAAGTTAGGCCGTGCAATTATTTCATGGCATTAACAAACCATAGAGCCAGTTTCGTTGCGTAGCTTCACTCATCAGTGACAATGGTGCCCCCATACAAAGACCCAGCTGATACGTGTAACATGTGACAGGTGCGATATGTACTCCCCACACACTGCGTACCAGCATGTGCCGCCTGCGTGTGCCCACGTGTTGGTATGTAGTGTAGGGAGCGGTAGCGTAGCGGCCAGTGTGCTGCTCAACTAATCCGGTGACCCAAGTTCAATTCCCGCTCACGGCCAACACCATTGATGATTATCTGAACCGGTCCTGGGCTTCCTCTAGGTCGACTCAGCCTCAAATGAGTACCTGGCACGGTGTGTAAAAATATTTCCACTTTGGAGATAAAGGAGGCCGGGCGTAGTCTTGGCCACCCACTCCCTTTTGTGCCGTGCCGGCTTTCATAGTATGTTTAGGCTATATGGGGGATCTTTATCTTTCAGCGCATCGCGGGCATCACGGCCACGCTGCAGCACTCACTGGAGGGGCTGCTGCTGGAGGGGCTGCAGGCGGGCGACGGTGGCGTAGTGCGGCAGTGCCTGCGCACGTACGCCACCATCGACAAGACACGTGACGCAGAGGCTCTCGTCTCGCAGATCCTCGTCAGGCCGTTTGTTGAGGAGGTAGACCGCGCACAGCCACCACCGTGACGGGGAGTCAGATGGGTGTTGCATTAGGAACAGTTAAGGTGGACGAGCACAATTGAAATCGTGATCATCATGGGGCAGTGATATGGCCCAGCAGTAGCACAATAACAGCTGTTGCAGAGGTTCACGGTTAAAAGCCAGGAGGTGGGCCTGGTTAAAACTAATTCGTACCATAGATGTGCATTTTATGTTTCACAGTGGATACTAAAGATCACTTGACGGAATTTGAATAATAGGGCATTGTGTATAGGAGTTATGGTCCAATGAACAAAATTTGAAAAATAACTTGGAAATTACTTTATTGGGAAACACAGCAAAATTTTAGTTTGGGTGAGTGATAACTTTTATACCAGAATTCCTGCATTTATGATGTCCCATGTTATCACTGTGTAACGATGACTTTGGCGGTACATCTTAAAACTAATGCGGTGTCATGTGCTGCTGCTACTGCCGCCGCTGCTGTTCTTACAGGTCGTCTCAGAACAGTACGTACAGAGCCACCCCCAGGGTCTCAAGGGCATGTACAGCAAGCTGCTAGAGTTTGTACCACACCACTGTCGTCTGCTCAAGGAAGTCACAATGGGAACACTTGTCAGGTACACCTACTATAGACGTTCTATTTAATTCGGTACTACCTGGCCAGGTGGCTCAGCAGTAGAGCAAGCGGCCCGCAACCAGGAAGTTTCAATTTCATGTCTTGGTTGAGGGTTGACTCTGGGGTCGATAAAGCGAGTACCACTGGGGAAATGAACAGTGAGGTAGTCCTACGGGTATACTGACTTCTGCCCTCGGGACATGGAACTTCCACCACTGGCTCAGTCTTGTTAACAGGAGATGGGGCACCACTGGCTCAAGGCTCATTTGAGCATGAGATCCCTTTGACTCATTTTTGAGTGCCAGTAGCTTTAGTTAAATGTTATTTAGTCCAGCATGGTGAACCGTTTTACTGTTCAATTGCAAGAACTTATCAGTTGGGCATCACCTATGATGAGTTGTCTAATCAGTTTTTTTGTGCCAGTTAAAAGGGTAAAACCTATTCCTATATCTTGTTTCTGGCAAAGGAGGTCTCATAATGTTAATGCTCACCCCGAGCCCTCAATACTCTGATAGTGCGCTGTTTTTGAGTTGTACGCCTTTTGGCGTCTTCTGGTCCCACACCAATGGAGACTAGGCTCTAAGAAAAGCTGTCTCGGGTGTGGACCAATCAAATTCAAGGACAGTGCATATTATTATCAGAGTTGTCTTTTTTGTTTGCATTTTGACTGCTTGTGTTGTGGTCATTGCAAACATGATGCCTTGAATAAAGGTGTCAGTTTTTGTGCCAGTTAAAAGGGTAAAACCTATTCCTATTTGTCTAATCAGATTATAGAGCAGTTGTATTGCTCATTTGCTGTTCATCATAGAATGAACAGTCAATAATGTCTGTACATGTGTTTGGAGTCGGGTGTGAGGTTACTTGAATCCTTTTTTATCAGCAATTGCACAATTTTTGTATTAAAAGGAACTTTGTTATTAAACTCGCAAAGAGGTGGCAGTGAAATGATGAAGAGTGCAATACCTCGTTCATCATGCCTAGTCTCGACACTGGTTAAGTGGAAACTGCCGTGGTTGCGTGGATATAAACTGACGTGAGTCTGTTGCGTGCAGCGGGGAGAGAACGGAGGTTGTGCATGGCTACGACTTCCCTGTGAACTCCGTGTGGCCTGAGATGGTGCGGTGTTTGGAGCAACGTCTCTCTTCCATCTTCAATGCGGGGAATCCCGATGTCTTCCACGAGGTGGGCCTATTCACCCTTCATTCGCATCTCAGAGTTACACTGACAGGATGCTGCCGTGGTGGAATGGTGAACGCACTGGACTTTGTAATCCAGAGGTTGGATGTTCGATCTCCCGGCACTGCAGTCAAAACTTTAGTGCAAGTTGCATAAATCCCTGTTCCTTTGCAGACCCAGCAGTTTAAACGGGCCCAACCACAGTCGATCGGCAGGTCCTGTGTGGTGGGGTAAATGTGGGGACTCGCCAGTGTGAAAGAGTAGGCAAAATACCCTCGAGGGGAGCCCTCTAGAGCTCCCTCTCGTGGCGAGGCCCTTCCACCAGCAGTGGTTGTGAGTAAGCAATTGCAGGGTTGCATCTTTACCACATCTTACTCAGTGTGATTGTATTCACGTAGAACTCAGAGATCCTGAGTAAAAATGTCTTTCAGGCATCGTGAGACTGTGAAGGATAGCGACATCCTTCACAGTCTTTGTCCAGCATTTGATAGATCTTGGCTGATGATGACGATGGAAAATTTTGTTTTGTTTTTACTCCCAACCACAATGCCCTTGCTGAAACCAGAAATACAACATGAGCATGGAGTTTGTGTCTGCCTTTGAGAGGCAGTGCGCATCCCAGGCCAGTGTGCGCCGGCTGCGTGCACACGCGGCCTACGAGAGCTTTTCAAACAAGTGGAGCCTGTCCGTGTTCTTTCAGATACGGTAAGTGTACCCCGCAGGATTCTGCCTCAGTGCTTAATTGAGGAGAAAATTACTTTGACTTTTATATGGTGCATTGGCATGAGCGTTTGTCGTTATGCCTTTCCAATGTGTACACCACAGTCCCTGATAGCAAATCACATTACCTAAAGAGTAACACTAATTTGTAAATCCCATGCATGTTATGCAAAACAATTCATCATGTGTATTGATTTTTCATCAATCTTTAAGTTTGGGATTCTAATTATTCAAATATTCCTAATAGATTTTTTTTGCCAAGGCCGTGTAATGATCTCGCCAAATCTGTGCTAAGAACACTTTACCACCCGACATAAAAACAAATTAAAAGCCACGAATACAAATCTGAAATGCACAAATGTTTATTGTTTTAGGTCGCTCACCGGTGAGTTTCAGAAAAATTCCCACAACCAAATTAAGTGATTAGGTGCAACGTTTTGTTTAACTTTGTCAACCATAATCAGGACAAGGTCCATGTGGGTTGCTGAGCTATCTTCAGTGCTATCTTACCTTGTCCATGGAATGTCTGTGGGTACACCACATGAAGGCTATCCCTATAAAGCCTACGAGAGACTCGAAGTGATCTCTGTCTGGGCGGTTGTGATTTTGGACGTATGTTTTAGACACGTTAAATATATGGGTAATCATTAGTATAATCATGAAGTATTTTTTTACTTAGGCATAGAATGTCAACCAATGAAGACTGTACTTCAGATATAAATAATGTGTCCACGTTTCTTTCAAAGGGAGAAATGCTCACACAATACCACGGTGTCGGACGCACTCATACGAACTGTGTCATTTGTGCTGGGATGGGGACGGTGCATTCATTTTAATATACGTGTCAATCCATTGACCAATTCCATCAGGCATATTTTCCAAAATTATCGGTAATTACCTTCAAAATGACACCATGCATATTATTAGGATGATCCTTAAATTTGTTTAAAATGTTCAAAGTGTGGTTGCTTATTTTTGCCCATCTTCTGGGTCCACTTCCTTGTACGACGTGATCTTGTGGTGGCTGCAAGATGTTCCATAAGACTTGTTGTACACTGCATGGCTCCACTGCAGGTGTATCACTCGGGCGCGGGGGGGGAAATAACTGAAAGTAACAAATAAAGCAGAGGAGGCTCATTTTCCTTTGTTTACCGTGAAGGGACAAGGCAAAGCATGAATAACATCCCATCATTCAGCACCATTACCATTGTGTGTGGGTTTCATGCACCACGATTGATGCACGTGCTGTCTATGGCCTGTAGGGCCTCGTGCTCGGCTGACAAATTTAGCTGTCATGTACAGATTTTTTTCCATAGCTTGCACATCTACACGCTTGGTCTTGCCTGTTTTAGAGAAGGTGTATGTAATCGCTTGTTGTAGGTGGATTATATTTAAAGATGCAATTATCAGATTAAGTCATGTATAAATAGGACTTACTCCCACCAACATTTCCCTTTGACACATGCCCCTATGTACAAACTTTAACTGTAATGAAGGAAAATACATCGTTAATGTTGTGATCAAATGATAGTAATATAATGTTTGTCACGATCGATCCACTGTTTTTTTGTGTTTAGTTTGTTTTCCTTCCCCCGCACCTCCGATTAGCACGGTTGGCTACGTACGGTACTAAATAAGTTCAATAGATATACGTAACAATCCACCCAGCACCCGCACACGAGCTGATTCCCCGCTCCGCTTTGGTGGATGCTCTCTCTGACACTTTTTATCCCTCAGCTGCTACTCCATGATTATTGTTGACCATCGGCCCTCATCCCTTCTAGCATCATGTCCTGCCCAAGCCCACTTACGGCGATGGTTGGTGATGGGGAATGTACTGTTAGTGATGCTGACACAACCTTAGGGATTGGATTTTTGTTTCGGCTATACAGGTTCAAGGAATTGGTTGAAAACCTGGAGAGCGCGCTGCATTCAGGGCTCCAGCTGGCACCAGGTCAGTCGTCTCCACCTGATGTTACCCACACACAACACCACAAAGGTTTTACGGTGCATTCGGCTTGACCCTGTGTATCGCGAGGGTCATGCTTTTCGATGATGTATTTCTCAAGCTTCATACATTGTGCCGTTCTTTAATAGCTGCCTACGTTTGAATATTGGTAGAGCTCATGCTGTGCAGTATATACTGTGCTTTATTTTCTATTTAAACATTTGTACATAATTTTGCATGAAAAAACTGCATGCTTGCCTTTTTATGCATTAAAAATATGAATTACTTACAGCATTTAAATGTAATGCCTATTTGCACGCAACAATGTTGTTGCATGTAATAACCGGCTCTCTGCCGTGTCCCTTGTGTAGCTGACAGTGAGTTCCGGCTCCACGCTACCCACGGGCTGTGGATGTGTCTGCAGAGGTGCTGGGCCGACCCCGTGTACCTACCGCCCCTGGCTCATCGCTTTTGGAAGGTCACGCTGCAGATGCTGGCTCGCTATGCCATCTGGATGCAAGAGGTCAGAATGTGAGACCACGTGTGGGTCCTCAGAGTGTAGAGCAGAAATAAACCAAATCTGGCAATTTCACTTAGAAGTGGCATTTGTGACTTAAATTGTGTTTTTCATACTCTTTGGTTCTTTCGGTAAAGCCACGTAGGTGTCTATCTTACGTTTAGAATCCAGTAGCATCAGAGCGTCTCTCACATCAGGCCACAGCAATACTGCTGGAGTCTGAGCCAACACTAGGTGGCGATCTGGAATGTGCCGTCATGTATTGCGATGCTATTTATAGCATCGCAATACCAATAATTATTTCCAATAATTATTGGTAATATAATGCTAATTATAATTACATTATATTACCAATAATTATTGGTGATACTGCCGAGGGGAAGTGGTGAACAATCACAAAGGTTCATCTCATGTCTGGTTACATGTTTAATCTCATTAATTTAGTGAATAACTAAACCTATTGCTTAGTTTGTGTAGGCATTGGCATCCTGGTTTGATGATTGAGGGGCTGCCCTGGTTTCAAACAGAGTATTTTTGTGGTACAGGTTCTGACAGACATGAACCTTCTGCTAAAATGTGAGGTAGAAACACTCATTTTGGAAAACAATGACCATTGAAAAAACAACATAAAAACTTGAAAATGTACTTTGTGAAAAACCACCACAGATGTCAATGGTACGAGTCCCTACTCAGTGCTCATGTTATTTACGTAAACGCCAAGTCCCCGTGAACACGCCACACATTCAGAATGACAGATGTGAATTGTCGATACGGGCGAGACAGTATATAATTGTAATCGTACTGTATTACAATATATCATTGTAATCGTACCGTATTACGGTACAACATCGTAATAGTACTGAATTACAGTATATCATTGCAATCGTACCGTATTACAGTATACACGTACCGCATTACGTATATCATTGTAATAGTACTCAATTACAGTATATAATTGTAATAATACTGAATTACAGTATATCATTGTAATACTACCGTATTACAGGTTTTCATTGTAACTCAGGTGGTGCGATACTTGATTGCCCCTCTGCATTATTCGCTGTGACTTTCATGCAGCTGCTGGAGCCTCCGGCCCCCAACCCGCACGACCATCCACCACGGGAGGGTGGAGGGCTCAAGCCGTCGCAGTCCACCCCCGGGTTTGGCTCCATGCTTCAGCAGCATCAACATCAGCACGAGCCTCACGGTGCGGTCAACGCCTACGGTGGCGCGGGGGTGAAGCGGTCGCCCTCGGTGCAGATCCTGGGTGGCGAGGAGAATCACACGGGCAGGACCGCCTCTGATGTGTCGAGCTCCAAAGCCCCGTCATGTGGCCAGCTGGCATCAGTCGTTGGTGATAGTGACAGGATACAGAAAAAGGTACGTCAGATGTTGATATGTTTTCGTAAAAGAAATTAGTCCATACTTTGTGTGTAGCTATGTTTTGTATTGTACAGGATTTGTTTATATATTTGAAAGCTAAATAAAAATTAGCGTTTGGTAGGTTTTGTGGGTGGCACAGTGAGTGGTTTGTGCACTGCACTCTGATTAGTTCAATCCCCAGCCACGGCTAACGTCGGTGGCGAGTGATATCTGAACCAGTTCCGCACCTCTCCCTTCACCAGCGCGCACACCGAGCAGCATTGTGTAGAATGGTCACACACCCACTCACACAGCATCAGTGGTTACACACCCACTCACACAGCATCAGTGGTTACACACCTACAGCGGTTACACACCCACAGCGGTTACACACCCACATTCGGTTACACACCCATTTACACCCCACAGTGATCACACACCCACTCATGCAACTACAATAGTCAAACACCCACTCGGCCCACGTGACATGGCTGGACAAAGTGGCTGTAAATTGAAATAGAGGGTTTTTCATACAAAGGTCAAGACGTCATCACGGGCAATGCTGATGTTCCCACACCCCACCATCACACCTTTCCATTTGTTAGACCTCTCTGCTATGGCTCAGTGGACACACCCAACCACCACAATGATTGAAACTTACAAATGTTTGAATTGTAAGCTAATATCGTAGGGAATTGAAATTGGATGCACGCAATAGGGCAGGGAATATGTGTGTTGATATAGGGTCTCTTGAATAGTTTTACCTCCACAAATACTTTTAAACTATGAATAGCCTAGAATGAGTGCAGTTAATTTGGGTGCGTCATCACAATGGTAATCTCCTGAAAGTGATATCTTACACTGAGAATAGTTTGACTGTGTAGTATTACATCATATTGAATACTACGGTGTGATGTAACTTGCCTGCCAAGACATTAGCATATTGATCATACACCCAACCAGTGATGCATCATACTTTTAAAGTGTGAATCAACCGTATTCACGTTGGCTGTTATCATTTATAACATCCATTAATACGCCATGGAAAGTGTGCAGCCTAGTAATGGTCTGCTAGTAAGTACTATGAGCATACAATGGGAAATCTGTTGTTTGGTTACCAATGTAAAATATTGACGTTGACAACACCGAAACCTGATGGGATAAAAAAAAATTAGTTTGAGCAGAGTAGCTTTGTTTTATAAAGTCATGTGTAATGCAATTATGATGTCGTGCTACATTATATGGGCCCCTTGTGAAACATGCCTTTTTCTTTTTCAGCTTGAAGACTTTTTGCAGACCGTGATCAAGCCCCGGTTGGACCTCTTGGGGTTCAAAAACTATGACAGCCTCTCCGGTGGGCTCCATTGCTCCGGCACGCACAATACCGCACTCACAGGACCTCGCGTGGGTGGAGGGTGCTGCTGATGGGAGACGTGCATGAGAACGGGGCTTAAATCTTGACTTAAAGCTTTCGTGACTGCAGGAATTCATACTCGTTTTGTCTTTCACTAAAGTCACGTAGATAGTAAAATGAAACGTCGTGATTTATTTTTATTTTTCTATCTACGTGACTTTACCGAAAGACCTGAAGCGTAAGAACAGGGCTTCTCCTCTTAGTGTGGTCCATGTCTACACACTTTTAGGTGCCGCCATGCTAGTGCTCATGAAAGTACTGATGCTGTGCACTCTAACATGTGACTTTATTTGCCTCGTCTACCACGTAACCACAATCACCACTCGGGCAGGGCTGCGTGTTTGCACAGTGGTTGGCGCGCCCTGCACTATAAATCCGGTGACCTCGGTTTGATTGCCAGGCACGGCTTACGTCGATGGCGAGTGATCCCGGAGAGCCCTCCAGCAAAACTGCGAAAACCTACACAGTTGTAAATGGTACATTTAAAAATAAAATCACTGCAGCTTGTTCTGCTGAAATTATTTCCTTTCAGTTAAACAGAAAGAAAATCAGTATTAATTGAAAACATTGTTTTAAACATAGGAATAAAATAGTTTGCAACATTTGTGAAAGTTACCGTAGTCGTGATCGTCTCGTGGAATGCGCCTCAGATCGTGACCCCCTCGGCTCCCGTCACTTTGCAGTGGCACGCGCAAGGTGCCCCCGCACTGCGGCGTCACGTGATGACGGTGTGCTTTCCTCCGCTGTAGGCGCGCTGGCGGAGTCGCGAGCGGCCCTGGAGGGGGCCGTACCGGCATGCGGCACGCGCATCACGGGGGAGCTCGCCGAGCTGTGCTCGGGCTGCCTGCGTGGTGCCCAGGAGGTGCCGCGGCTCTACCGCCGCACCAACAAGGCGAGCAGGCGCGCCGCACGCACCACGGCGCCCCGCACGCACCACGGCGCCCCGCACTCACCACAGCACCCTACCCTCCACGCACCCCTTCGCCGCTCCTTAACAGGGCCTGTGTGGGATTTGTATGAGAGCTGCAGGCAACCAAATAGCCTTGTAGGAATTGTTTGGTCACAATTAAAATAACACGGTGCAATGTAATTTGAAAGGTGTCCTATAGCAGACTGCTCGGGGCCTTGAGTTGGCAATGCATTCTGCATGGCATGACCCTTTGTCAGCCCACTGCTGGGTGAAGACCTCTCTCTCCATGGCATGTTCCTTGTGGGGGTGGTAAACTTGCGAGTGTCTTGCTGCTCAAACGAGCACGAGATGCATTGCTCGTGTCCATCGACGATTCTCAGCCGGTGGTGGAAATTCCATGTTCCTATTACAAGGGCCAAACTCTCTCAATAGGCTATATACTGGTAACTTGCTTCAAAATATGTGGACCCACAGCAACAACTAAGTGATGCTTGCATATCCAAAGCACTGTATCAGGTCGCCTAGATAGTTATTATTAGTCTTAAATGGGATTGACAGAAAGTGTTGTAAATTATTAATAATATTCTCAATGTTGAATGCGCACAGTATTCACGCTCAAAGAGAGAGAACGACTCGGAGAAAACCACAGACAAGCAGGAAGGCAGCCGCTCAGTGAGCCGGGGCCAACAATTACCCGAGCTCTGCAGTCCTCTGTATATTAAGGTGTTAGCGGCCAATTAATGTGGAGTATCCTCCGAGCTGGATATCAGAACTTGTTTGTTGGCGGCTGAAGATCAAAAATGTGTACTTACTTGCACAGCCTTGTGTCTGGGAAGTTATGAATGTCTGGCAGTTCCAAGAATGAGTCTGAGACGTCGACCAAGCTTGTATTTTTTTTTACAGAAATCAGTGAAAATGTAACACAACATAGGAGGCTGAATTTATTAGGAGTGTTCTTTACAACCTTTTTGTTTATGCCAAAGCGTACAATATATTCAGAGATAAGCCGAGCTTTGACCATAGTCCAGAATGCAGTGGTGAAGAAGTTTATGGTCGTGCATTCCCAGCTACATGACTCGTGGCTTATTATGATGGGTGTAGTTGTTGACGGGTGTAGTTGTTGACGGGTGTACTTGTTGACGGGTGTAGTTGTTGACGGGTGTACTTGTTGACGGGTGTACTTGTTGACGCACCTTTTGCTGCTTAGAGTTCAAGGAGATTCTTGTAAATGGAGAAATTGAATCTCAGAAGATGATATCAGAATTCAGTGCTTTATGGCAAATGCACTGAGCACGGAGCCAGGTGATTCCCCTTTATTACCGTGGGCTATGTAGACGTCAATGTACACATCAGGGGAAGCTATCCTGAGGCTAGACTGCAGACATTTAAGAAAACGATACCTTACCCTGGAACTATATCCCTTTCTCAAATATTATCTCAAAAAGTGGGTTCGAATCTTTCTGTTAATTTGGAAGCATCGCAGCTGACATCTACTGAGGTATTATTCAGGGCTGCGTTATCTCAGATTGAATGGACGTGGCACTTTAGGCGGCAGGGTAGATTATGGTAACACTTGTGCCTCACAGAAAGAAGGGCGTGGGTTTGATTCCTGACTCGGAAGCTTTTATGTGTGGATTTTGTATGTTCTCTTCTGCACGGGTCCTCCATGTTCTCCGTCTCCTCCAATAGCTAACACATATATATGCAGTGTAACCCGTATTGGACAAACATTCCAGTGCTAAAAATCACCTGCAAATTACTCAATTGGGATGACTGATTGAGTACTGCCTCCTACTGCAAAAACATGACAGAACCCTCCCCATCGAGAGGCTTGGGACTCCATGAGGTATTCTTGGGTTAACAAGCATAATAATTATACCTCCGATTAGCACGGTTGTCTATGCACGGTGCTAAAGAAGTTCAACATACACATGTATCACTGATTGTGAGACTTGAGTTCTCTTCAACTGGAAGTTGCTGATGATATGTCAACGCCTACTGTGAACCTAATCACCATAAGTAATCCAGAATGAGAATGGTAAAAGTGGTGACTTTAGATTTGGCCGAAAACTGGAATCTAGTGGAAAACAGGTTGGTGATGAGTGCCAGAGTTTATCAGCATGGCTATACAGGATGAGGCAAAAGCACTTTGCGGCAGTTGGTCAGTAAGCAAGCGCAACTTTCATGGTGAGAGGAAGGCCGGTGGGAAAGGGGACTGCGATAGGCATAGATGGCTTGGGGATGCATGCATCCAGCAGTGGCTTGGTCATGGCTGATAAGGAGAACTTTGTTTGATTTTAGTCCCTAACGTGGCAGTTGTTCAATGTGCAGCCTTTAATCAAGGAGGAAGTGGCCATGTAGAGGTTACAGCACTGCTGTGATCCTGGCGACCTGGGATTATTGGTTATGGCTAACATCAGCTTTGAGTAATATCTGAGCCCTCCGCCCTTTACCAGAGGGCTGGGAGGCGAAGTAAGTAGTAGTACGATCGTAATGGAGAAGGGCAAAGATCCCTCGTATAGCTGTAAGACTCTTTGAGCAAGCGCTGTTAGCGAGCACCTATGAAGGTCGGCACGGCATATTAGGGGGTGGGTAGTCAGCAGGACGCCCGGCCGCTTTTGTCTCCCGAGTGACGATGTTTACACATCGCATTTGAGGCTAAGTCTACATAGGGGAGGCTCAGGACTGGTTCGGATAATTGTCACTGGCGTTGGTTGTGAGCAGGAATCGAACTCGGGTTGCCGGGTTTGTAGCGTTGCACGCGAACTGCTGAACCACCGCTCCCCAAAGGAGAACCCCACCCAAAACAAACAAAATATTCATGAGCCATCCCACACACATGGATCTCTTTATTATCCCTAAACCTTACATTCATGGTTAGTTGTATGTTTTTATCACCTTCGGGATGTCACAGAACCCTCCATTACAGCTGCAATGTCTACAGCCCTGTACTGGGCCATCACTTCTCAGTCTGTTTTTAACAGCAACAAAACTTGAAATGTACGTTAGACAGTCACTGTTTTGGTATTTACAATAGCAGAGCGGCTTTAGTTTTAGGATTGTCTTCCAATATAGATTGCACAATATTGAACAAATCCTTTCTGATGCCCATATGGAACTATCTGATACACATTTAAATGACCTTAACCGTGCTATGCGAGGAAGCAAAATACAATTAAGGCTGTGTGTTTATAGAAACCCCATTCACGCATGAATTACCATAAGTTCCTAAATAGGGGCGGATGTTGCAATGATGAGCACACTCAAGTTCTGAAAAATAAGAATAGGTGTTTACCCTTTCTGGCAATAAACCAGGTGTTAAGATGTTCAAACACCAAATGGATACCTTTTGCAAGGAACCAAGTCACTGCATTAACCACACACAGTGCTTATGGTGAACATGCAAACAAAAGCGCTTTGATAAAATATGCATTGTCTTCTAAACTGATTGGCCTACACCAGAGACCGTCTTCTTCATGGCATAGTCTCACATGGCATAGTCTCACCATTGTCAGACCAGAGAACAAAGACAATGCGCGTGTCATAGCATTTCCAGCTCTGGGTGAGCACTGAAGTTCGCAGGTTCAATCTCCCGGCGCAGCGGTTGAAACGAAGGGCAGGTTTCTTAAGTACCCTGCCGGCCTCTGCCCCCGCAGCAGTTTAAAGGGGTGTCCCACAGTTGATCAGCAGGTTGTGTCCGGTGGAGTAGTGTGGGTAGTCTGTGTGGGCGAGTCAACAAAGTTCCCTCGAGAGAGAGAGGCTCTGGAGAAAACAATTGTAGTGGTGCACCTTTACAGAACTGTTTGTGTGTGCACCGCAAATGCATGTGTTCTTGATAAGCTTGTGTGTGTACGGTTTGGGGAGTGATGGCATAGCGGTTAGCATGCTGGGCTACGAATCCGGCAAACCGAGTTCGAATCCCGTCCATAGCCAACACCAATGACGATTATTTTAACTGGCCCTGGGTCTCCCCTCGAGTACCTGGTGTGGTGTGTAAAACATTGCCACTAGGGAGACAAAGGCGGTCGGGCATGGTGCTGGCCTTCCACCCCCTCGAGTGCCATGCCGGCCTTCATAGGTGCTCACTATCTTGCGCCAACAGTCTGCTAAGGCTATATCGGAGTTCTGTGTCTGTCTCTTTGCAGGATGCCCCCAGCAGGCCCTCGCCCTACGTGGAGAATGCGCTCCGACCCTTGGAGCAGATGCTGAGCGAGCACACGGGCGCCGTGGAGCACGCTCGCCTGCACGCCTGGATCCTCGACTCGTTGCGGAAAAGCACGGAGAGGTGACACATCGAGAGCAATGCAGCGCGGACTCCCCCTACGTCTAGACGCGACGGGAGTTCCAAGACGCCGTACGGAAACAGTTGAAATTTTTATTTTATAGGCAGTTGGTCATATGCAGAGAATAAAAGTAAGGTCCTGAGCCTGGACTGGAACAATGAAGTAAGCCATCATTGTGTGGAATATATAATTGTTCAATGGAACTAGGTACTGTTTTGTAAGCGAGATACACGCATGTTTTAATTTGGGTCACATTCCAGAGGAAAGAGAAACAGACTCATCTGGACTAGTGGGTGATAAAATGTGTATAGGTGGAGATGGGATAGTTACCATTGTTACAGTTTTACATTCGATTTATCCTCGAATTATCTCATCTTGACCACCAATGGGGTTGCATTCAACTCTGATTGCATGGGAGCACAGCTTCATCATGGCCTTGGAGGCGCGCACCCTCCCTGCAGATGGGAGGGGACCGGTTTCAGAAGCCACCCAACGCCAGTAGTGCAGCCACACAAAGCCATCGTTACCACCTCACGCGTTAGAATGCATCGGTGTGTTTATTTGCCGCGATGCGCGCAGGTACCACGAGACGGTCTCCGATGTACTCACGTCCGTGCGCAAGATGGAAGAGAGCCTGAAGAGGCTGAAGCAGGCGAGAAAAACGGGGGTAGGGGTGACAGCGGCGGCAGCAACAAGCGGTACAGGGCTGACGGACGATGACAAAATCCGGTTACAGCTCTACCTGGATACGCAGGCCTTCCGCCAGCAGGTAACGGCGGAAGGACAGGGAAAGTCTCGTCAGCACGTAAATGTGACCGCGTCTTAAGACAACGCAGACAAACAGCGGGCCTTGTTTTTAACTCGGTGAATGTGTCGAAATTGTGTGTGTGACTTGTGAAATTAAAACATGTTGAAACCGTGGACAGCCATCGCAGGCATTTTTTATGTGAAGGGCACTTGATGCACGCACATCCACTTTTGTGCTGCACATGTATGCGTAGAGCTGCCCCTCGGCATAACAGCGTGATGGAGAGCATTCTGTCCTTTATAGAATAATCCCATTGAACCAGAACACACGTGTGCAGGGCAATCAAGGTATTCCACTTAGGCTTGCCGAGAATTAAGATTTATAGATAACAAGGTGGCTTTGGTCGTAGAGCATGGTCCAAGTCTCGCCTCTCTGCAGGGGAGTGTGGAGCATGAAGGGGGCAGGTCTATTGTGCCGAAGCAACAGCGTTGTCCCTGTTGTCTTGGTTGACATTGATTTGCCTGCGCATACCTGAAATATTTTATCCAGCACTCGGAGAGAATGTGTTCGCGTCGGTAACGATTCTATTTCACAATGACAAACAGATTTTGTGTTAGAACGTTCATGCTGAACGCAGTTGTGTTAAAAGTATGGTAACGGGATTTATAAAATGTTAATATGTACAAAAAAATTAGTAGAATGTAAATATTGATGATGTTTTCTCTCCTTCCCTTTGCCGACACGGCGTGTGTTTTTTTTTCATGGCAGATTGAGAAGCTTGGTGTTGAAGCATCGGAAATCCCAACACTCCATTCACTCATAGACACTGTACAAACAGCCAAAGCGCTCGTCACTACAGAAAGTATATCATGACCTTTTGTTTTGTTCTTAAGTGGCACTGGAGAATCATTCTCTGTTTATAAGTTACTGAAATAAAGACGGTACAAGTTACGGATATAGTGTGGATTTTTGTCAAAAAATGGGACATTGTACCACCAAGGGGGGGGGGGGGTATGGTGCTTTTTACAGGTGTAAAATAATTGTAAATTAAAAAATTGTGTAATACTGTATAGTTAGTATTGGTGATTGTTCTTATGGATTCTGAATTAAATTCTCCACTTTCTGGGTTTTAACCGAAGTGCGTGTGGACGTTGTGCTGTGCGAGTTGAAGCTTCGTGGCAGTGAAGGGAAATATGCTGAGAGTTGTGACAAGCAGAATTGACATTTATTTTGAACTTGATGCAATCATACAAAAATATCTAAGATTACAAACACGTGTATCAACTTACGGCAAATGTGCTTATATGCTGTTAAATGTTTTTTCGTGAGTGGTTTGGATTTAAGTGCGGGTTTATTCATTTGCTAGCATGATACCCACCACACCCACAGGCTGCGCCCCTGTGATCATTTCACTTGCTGCAGTGCTGTTAGCGACGACAATATTTAATGTCTCTTTCACTCAAACTTTGAGTGCCCTTATAACTGGTACACGCAGGTTCTGCGCAAGGGACCTCATGCTCATTGTGCTCCGTGATGTTTATTTAGGTGATAACAGCGCTCTGCGTATCCGATTCCTAATTGCTATTTGTACACTCGCGTTCGCGCCCCTCACCTGTACACAGCACTTATAAAAGTGCTGCGAAGGTTAACGTTGCTTTTAACTTCCTCTTTTAAATAACTGTGTTGAGGAATATACGATGTTGGCTAATCATGGCCGGCGTAATCTATAATTTGGCTTCTAAATAATGGATATATAATTTAGAGTAATTATTTTTTCAAACAAAAGATAGTTCTGTTTATAGCAATAGAATGGGTATGGGAATTAAGCATATACATGGTGGTATACAGTGTCTTCGACTACACATCCTTCCTATGCACTACAAAGTGAAAACGAAGCAGTTTTCCCTTTATTATGCATCTTTTTTGAAAATGCTCTTGTGACAATAAATCGCTTTACACGCTCAAACATTTAAAGTTTTTCGTGTAGATACTGACTTGGAAGAAAATAAGAATGCATTCCAGGGTGTGTTAACAAGCTTGCCGTTCGAACAGGGGGAAATCGTGTGAAGTTTAGACATTTCCTGTTATTTCACAGTTGGAATATTTTTACTACAAATAACGATCGTAGTTGGCACGTTCTCTAATATCACACCTCCGCTATAGAGTTGAATAGACAACTCATCAGGGAGAGGAAGGGGGGGGGGCAGATACTATGAACATATTTGACTTTGCAAAAGTACAAAAAAATCCGATTGCAAAGATGTTTATTATATTTTTAACCTGATGTCACCAATTTGGGACATCCGATGTTTGACATTGAAGTTGAGGTATTAGACACGACAACCTGAGAAAAAGGCACGACGCAAATATTCTGGCTTCTTTTAGAACGCAGAGTTTCCATCGCTCTCAATTTGCATAATGATGTAGGGTAAATAAAATCTACCATTGTGCCATCATTGAGATGAAAGAACGATCTCGGTGTTTCTGCCAAATTGCCTTCAAGAAATGTGCACTTTTACCGAGTCCATGATGCTGGGGAGAAAGCATGGGGATTCGCGCCGCCACCGTTAATCGGCAATGATCAGCGATCAGCGATAGGTGGGAGGTGTTTGGCTGTGTGGAGACGAGTTCGGTCCCACTGAAGTAACCCGTGCGTTTGAGTCAGAATTGTAGATAGTGAGGCTGGTTCCATTTTGAAGTTCAATTGACGTTTTATTTTAGAGACGGCAACCTGTACAGGTGAAGTCAACACACCAACACATTCTATTCTTGTGTATGGCAGTAACGTGTTCAAGGGCTCCATGCCAATGTCGAGGTCTGCTGGCCACATCGTGTCGCTATCATACAATGTCATGAATGAAACGATGGTAATTTCCATAGGATTGAATTCCTTGAGCCACCACAAGGCACGCGAATTAAGGCGAGACTGCGTGTCTTAAATAATGGCCCGGGGTACCCAAGAGCAATTTATGGTATGGAATATGCATGTGCCGTATGTTGAACTTCATTCGGACCATACGTAGCCAACCGTGCTAGTCGGATGTGCGGGGGAAGGACAATAAAAAAATGGTTATAAGACATTTGTTTTCTATTTAGATTTAAAAATGCATAGTTCCAATGGCTTCCTATATAAAATAAAATGGAAATGTGTAGCCCTGCAATTTCTTCCTCACGCCACTGCTGGTTGATTGGCCTCCGCGAGAGGGAGTTCTAGAGAGCCCTTCTCGTGGGTATTTGGCCTACTCATCCACGCTGGTCAAGCATCTTGGAAGAGCAGTCCCCACCCTTTACCCCACCACACTTCCAACACTTATTTTAACAGGGAAATCTTAATGAGCTATGTAGCTCTTTTTCAGAAGCAACTTGTCCACAAATGATAGCTCAACGAAGTGGCTTATTGCGTGGAAATGTATCGCAACCCAATGATCTAAACGTCGTAATTATAATATATATTGGGGGGGACTTTTCCCACCCAATATTAAAATATGCTCAAAATTTCACCCCCAATATATTGCTATAAAAAATAATTGCTATGCTATGTAAATAAAAACAACAATTGCTAAACCTTGGCCACAATATCTGGACTTGTCTTCATATAAATCAATGCATAGATTTCTGTTTATATGATTGTGGTTATGGTTGTACTTTATTATACCCTAATCTCTGCCATTACATACAATGCAACAAGAAATGGTAAAAAAGTAAAAACAGAGCAATGTAATACAATACACTATTAGACACCCTGGAAGAATTGGTCCCCCCCCCAATGTTGACTCCATGGCTACGGCCTTGCATGTTTCTAAATGTGGAAGGAAAAACAAGAGGGCCCAGAGAAAAATCCTCTCGACCACGGAGAGAGAGAGAAATACACGCAATCTCCAAATATACAGCAGGCGTCAGGGTCGTTTTATCCATTTATACTGCTGGGTGGACAGTCAGGGGAGGGGTGTGAGTGTTTAGAGCCCACGCTCCCATTTCAATAAAGTTCCATCTTTACCGTATAGCGGTGTCCAAAGTATGTTATATTGGTAAGAGCACGGATATCGCATTAACATCCTCATATAACCCCTACATGGCTGCACTCGATCCCATATAGATTAAACAACACACACGAGGGGGGTACAGCATTGCGTGCACAAAAGCTCTGAGCCTTATTCAGACCACCAGCTGGAGAGAACTGAACGTGTGGACATTTTTTCAAGTGGACGGCCGACTCATACAGTTGAGAAAGTGTGGCCGTCCCTACAACAGGCAGCATTGAAATAAAGACAACTGTAGGGCGGTTCCGTCCTCGTTAGGACTCATCGGTATAGTACATACATCAAGGGTCGCTGCTACTATTTTCCTCTGGAAGCAAAATGGCTATGCATTCAGTTCTTTCGAGTTGGTGGTCTGGATAAGGCTGGGGAGCGAGGGGGCTTTTATACATGCAATGCTGTACATCTGTGAGTGTTGTGGATCTGTGTTCCGGTCTGCACTCATGTTTCCGCTGACATTTTTTTGCGTCAATGGCAGATTTTTAAATCCATACTCTTTGGTTCTATTGGGTAAAGTCACGTAGGTGAAAATAAAATAGAATAGATTCTGAAATCCTCCATCATCACCGTCAAGTGTCGTTTGCTGATCGACAGGGGCCCGACTCGGATCCCTGCCTCCGTGGACCGCTTGGGGCCACTCCCCTCCCCTCCCGTCCCCCTCCCCTCCCCCTCCCTTGTGAATGACCCGCAGGGAAGTTCGCCCTTTTGAGCTCGAGGCCGATTCTTAGATCTTCATTTGCGTGGTTGACTGCCACCTGTAAAGTTTAAAGTCCAAAAGCAAGAATCTGGTCGTTTACACACGAGAAAGGTGTTCGCTAAGGAGACATTTTGGCAAAGGTGAAGATGATGCGTCTGGGTACGAATGGTGGGCCACTGCTGGTACTCTTCATTCACGGTAAGAATGTTTACGTCTGGACACATTCTTGGAGTTTGAATAAATTGCGTTCGCTGTTCACACCCAACATTACAATTCCCTGTAATGTATTTCCTTCGGTTATCATTACTTCACCATTGACAAATCTGAAACGGTCAATATGTTATACGTTTATAATTACGGTCTGCGTTTATTTCTCCAATATTGTTTTTTGGAAAACACCTCACGATTAAAGCAGCTCGTCTACAGGTGCTCGGTAGCGAGTAGCGTGTCAGAACAGTGAGAGCGATGGTAGAGACGGATTCACGAGGCCTTCATCCAGCAGTGGATTGACCATGGCCGATGCAGCTTATAACGTCTCAATTCTCTCCGTGCCTTTCCCTTCGTTACTTCTGTCCCCCGTGTCCTTTGTCGTCTTCTCTCCCTCTGTGTGCCACCCTCTTCCGCTTTGCCACTCTCAGGAATCCTCCTGCCTCTGACCGAGGCCGGGCAGGTCAACGTGAAAGGACACCTCGGCGGATCCGTCACCCTGCGTTGCCTCTACCCAGGGTCCGAGTCGCCAGACAGCATCATCTGGTTCAAATCAGAGTACGGGGACCGCGTGCAGATTGCCTACAGGAACAGTCGCGGCAAGAACTCGACCGACTTCCACGGCAGCTACTCCCGGCGTCTGGAGTTCACCAACATGGACCCCGAACTTAAAGACGCCTCCATCGCCATAAAAAACCTGGAACTGCAGGACGACGGAGACTTCTTCTGCTTCATCAGCGCCATGGACGCTCGGGAAATAACCTTCACCCTCGAACTCTACAGTGGGTGGCACGCACCTCGACGCGAGCCGTGAGAACTTCCCCTCCTCCCAGGGCGGGTTCACGGCCTCGATCTTTCGCTTTTCTCGCGCGCGGATGCTGCAGCAGCGGCAGCAGCAGGAAGACGTGCAGGAGCTCGATGCCAATGTCGAGGTCAGCTGCTGGCCACGACGGACGGAGAGGGCTTCAGGAGAGAGAGATATATCGTGTCGGTTTGATGTTCCTTCTCCGTCGGACTACAGTGGGGTTACTGTGCGGTCCTTAGTTTGGAGCTGCATGGCCACAGGCGCACGCACCACTGTGTTGTCTTTCATGTATTCCCGTGAGTCTCTATGTATCCCTATGAGTCTCCATGTACGGTCTCTCAAGGTGTCTCTATGGGGTTTGCTTTACGGTCCAGAGTTTGGGATGCATGGCCACAATCACACGACGTGGCTTGTCTTTAATTTTGCACTTACGTGTGCATCGGCCTGTTGATGTTCTGACGAAGTTGTTGGTTCCACCAGTGTCTTGGAGTAATGTGAAAGGCAGGAGGTGCAATTATGTCTATTCTGGAGCACCGCATTGTCAACTCTGTTTGGACGCCTGTGATTGGGCATCTTGGAGGCGAGGCTTGCTGAAGGATGTAGAATAGAGCGAGACTTCCATCTCTCCGGGATGCTAAGCGGCCAGGTGATTGTGTAGCATGCTTTTGCAAGTGTCGAGTCCAGGTACAGTATGGGATTACATTAATTGCTTTTAATTTAAAATCTAAAAGTGATCAATGCAACGTGGAGTTCTTCGACACAGCGGCGACTCCACAGATTTCAGCGCCAGGCCGCTGTGCCCGGCACGGCCACGCGTCGTGGTGGCCGCTGCTCCCTGCTGACCGTGCTCCCTGCTCCCTGCTGACCGTGCTCCCTGCTGAGCGTGCTCCCTGCTGACCGTGCTCCCTGCTCCCTGCTGACCGTGCTCCCTGCTGACCGTGCTCCCTGCTCCCTGCTGACCATGCTCTGTGCTCAACTTCTCAGAGCCAACGCGCCCAACCAGCGTTGGAATTGTGCTTTGTACGTTCTGGCGGTGTCGGGAGATTTTGCATACTCAAAAGTGGCCAGATGATTACAGTACAACAAGTGGGTTTGCGAACCGGTCCGTATGGACATTTCATGTCATTCCCTCGCATTCAAGGGTTTTCTCCGGGCGCTTCGGTTTCCTTCCATGTTCCAAGCACTCCTGACATAGAATTGGGCAAATATTCCATTGTAGCAGCA